GTGAGTGAGTGAGTGAGTGAGTGAGCGAGTGATTGAGTGAGAGTGATTGGGTGGGTGAGTGAGTGAGTGATTGGGTGATTGAGTGAGTGAGTGAGTGGGTGATTGGGTGGTGATTGGGTGGTGAGTGATTGGGTGGGTGAGTGAGTGAGTGAGTGAGTGAGTGAGTGAGTGAGTGAGTGAGTGAGTGAGTGAGTGAGTGAGTTAGTGAGAGAGAGTGATTGGGTGGGTAGGTGAGTGAGTGAGTGAGTGAGTGAGTGAGTGGGTGAGTGAGTATGAGTGAGTGAGTGAGTGAGTGAGTGAGGAACGAGTGAGTGAGTGAGTGAGTGCCTCATGAGTTAATGGGTGGGTGAGTGAGTGAGTGAGTGAGTGAGTGAGTGAGTGTGTTTAAATGCCACTTTCAGCTACATAACAGCACTTTATGAGTGAGTCTGGCTTAGTGCCTTTTCAGTAAAACTATGGTATCTCATGTGCTAAGCTCCTCATAATTTAGCGGAACAAGTGAATCACCACAAAGGAACCATGAAGATCTGGTTCAAACTGGTCTCAAGCAACCCATGCTTGTTGTAAGAGGCAACTGACTTTCTGACTCAGGTCGCCAAATCCCAAATGAGTGATCAATGTTCATAATGTCAATCACTGGATTGTCTGGTCCAGACTTGATTATTTACAGACCACAGTAATATGGGTGGAATATTGCTGAGGGTAGCGTTATTCAACAACAAAACACAACAAATTTCACCCTGAGGCTGCCCTACCATCTCAGCACCAATGACAGGTTAACAAATCATGGTATAGGTCCGTCTCCTATTCTCGCGGGTTTCCTATTCTCGCGGTAAACACGTTTTCTGCCAAATCGCCGAAATCGCCCGACCGGTAGTTGACACTTACCGGGTGTTTACACCACCGACTGGTAACTAGGAAGTGGAGTGTCACAAATATTGGGTAGTTTATACCAACTTGGACATATCATTACTTTTTCCTGCCATTTCCGGCAGGATTGCTCTTACATACACTCAATAACGTTAATTCCTGGTAATACCGCGAGAATGGGAGAAGCCTCGTTTCATCAATGGCGGATGGCATTGTTTATCACCGGGCTCACGAGTGGTAATTCACCTGATGGATCTGGCAGCTGATAGATGCAGATGTTAGAGGAGAAGGCCCTTCATTTAAAAACAACAAGCATTCATACGATAAGAATTGTTTATGTTATTTTTTCAGCCGATATCCGTAAGTACCGCAAAAATAGGAAACACCTTCCTACAGATTATTCAAAATCACAAAATACTTCGTTGACTCTACATAAACATGTTATGAAGCATACTAAGGCCTTTTCCCTAAATTACTTGGTTTACAAAATTTTTTAAAAGGTATTAGGTCGGTAGGGAGTGTGAAAAGAGAGAAAGGGAATATGGAGTGAGTGAGTGTGGTTTTACCCCGTGTTTAGCAATATTCCAGCAATATCACAGCAGGGGACACCAGAAATGGGCTTCATATATTGTGCCCATGTGGGGAATCGAACCCGGGGGCTTCGGTATGAAACCGCCTCCGTGGTGTAGTGGTTAGAGCGTCCGCCCGGAGAGCGGAAGGTCGCGGGTTCGATCCGCGACTGCGTCATGCCAAAAGACGTTAAAATATGGTACTTGTTGGTCCCTGCCTGGCGCTCGGCATTAATGGCTACAACAAGGACTGGTCGGCTAGGAGTCAGTATAATGTGTCTGAGTGGGGTATTCCTGCTTCATTGTGTAATGGTATCTCAGTGGGCTAGCACTATAAAACCAGCTTAAATCTGGGCTAATACAAGCAGCTGCACATACACATACACACGCATGCACGTTGTCATATGAGCGAAATATTCTCAAGCACGACGTTAAACCCAATTTCACCTCACCTCACCTCACCTTCGGAGTGACGAGGGAATATGGAGATGTTATTTGCACACTTGACTATATCAGATATGCCAGGTGCAGCATGCCTGTGGCATTACCTTTCTCTCTGTTCCACAGGTAAAAGCGAATATGTCTCACTAATCAGCTCAGAGAATAAAATATTTAAGTTGAATGGAATGGTGTGGACCAGCAGAGATCTTACACCCACATACAAGTACTGTGAACAGGGTTGCACAGGGAAAGCTCAAACTTGAAATGTAGTAATTTCTGAGACATGATTTGATTTCTTTTGTAAAATATAAAATAGTTTCAGGGAATACATCTATATCACTACAGTGAAAGGTGACCCTCATACCAATAACATGATTGGTGATTTATGATTGATCCTCTGTGAGAAACTGTGATTTATGATTGATCCTCTGTGAGGAACTGTTATTTATGATTGATCCTCTGTGAGGAACTGTGATTTATGATTGATCCTCTGTGAGGAACTGTGATTTATGATTGATCCTCTGTGAGGAACTGTGATTTATGATTGATCCTCCGTGAGGAACTGTGATTTATGATTGATCCTCCGTGAGGAACTGTGATTTATGATTGATCCTCTGTGAGGAACTGTGATTTATGATTGATCCTCTGTGAGGAACTGTGATTTATGATTGATCCTCTGTGAGGAACTGTGATTTATGATTGATTGAGGAACTGTGATTCATCTTTGATTTTTCCCTGTGATTTATGATCATAATTTAATCACCCCTACCATATGACACATGGATCACAAACAGTTACTGTGACTTTTCCTAGCCAAAATTGTGACTATTTATATCCGTGACTTTTTTTCCTGTGACTTGTGATAAAGTTTGTACAGCATGTTTCAACAGAATGAAGCCATTTCTGCTACGTGCATCAGATTGAGCACTTCCCTCATATACCACGATGAGTGAATTAATTTCTGGACTTTGTAGAACTTAGCATGGAAAACGTCATGACGGCTGCTCCAAGAATCTCCCCTTGTTTGGATTGTAGACAACAAATATGTATTACATGACAAAATGGCTGCAACAATATCTTCAACAAAACAAAAGATATAGTCAACATGGCTATAACTTCCATGGATGGTTAAACTGAATAGATTACATGATGGAAGAATTATCATTTTCTAGATTTGTTGACTACACAATGTCATAAAAGTGGTCAAATGTTACATGTTCTATTTGGGATTACAATTTCTTAGAAAAGTTCAGATTCTTGTACATTTGTTGGGTTGAGTCCCATCCGGGATTCAAAACCACACCCTCAGAGTCAGGCACCTAATCGCCAGCAAACAAAGTCAGCCGCCTAACTAGCTCAGCCACCGCAACTTCTACAAAATGAAAGTCGGACAACTGGTAGTCTAGACTGCGGACATTGTGTACCCCGCTGAGGGTGTGGGTTCGAATCCCGGATGGGACTCAACCCAACAAACGTACAAAAATCTGTACTTTACTAAGAAGTGTTATCCCAAATATAACATATGTCACCTTTGATCACTTTCTAAACGGCATTGTGTAATCAAAGGTTTCGGCCATGGGAGCCGTGCCAACTTACAATTATCACTACACATAAAAAGACACCGCCCAAAACTGAACAGGACCCAGGTTGATTTCATCCCACCACCTAATCCAAACCCAAATAACTCAATCTCCCTCTCTCTGGCTTCTCTAACTAATCCCATCGCCTACTATAGTTTGGCATGAAATGCATGTGGACCCGTCTTTTTGTAAATATCTCTTCATCCAATGACCCAATCAATCTCAAACTGTGCAAGTGGATGTTTTGTCAGACAACCTAATCACATTGCAAATCACCGATTTGATGCATTTGTATTAAAGAATCTGTCTATGTAACTGTCAACAAAATAAACAGCAGAACGCAGACGGCTTGCAGAGGGAGGGAGCCAATGACCAGTGTTGGGTCATGTACCCTCATGTGCCCTATTTATATACGAATGTACTCATTCACCACTTCATGCTTGAAAACAGTATAAGTATCTATAGCGAAATGTCGTTATTGTACAATAAAGAAGTTGATCATCTATTAAGACTTGTCATTCCTATTGCTGAATCTTCAATGAGTGAGTGAGTCAGCAATATTAAAGCAATATCACAGCAGGGGACACCAGAATTGAGCTTCAGTCATTGTACCCATGTGGGGAATTGAACCCTGTTCTTCGGCACGACAAGCGAATGCCTTAACCTCTTGGCACATTCTTAAACAAATCTTGAAAAAGATAACTTTCATTAAAGAGCTATTATTTTTAATAACTCTTGTCTGACACCAACCCTTGTCTCTCACACCCATCCTTGTCTCACACCCACCATTGTCTCGCACCCATCCTTGTCTCACACCCACCATTGTCTCTCACACCCACCCTTGTCTCACACCCACCATTGTCTCTCACACCAATCCTTGTCTCACACGCACCCTTGTCTCACACCCACCTTGTCTCTTGTCTCACACCCACCCTTGTCTCTCACACCAATCCTTGTCTCACACGCACCCTTGTCTCACACCCACCCTTGTCTCACACACCAATCCTTGTCTCTCACACCAACCCTTGTCTCACACGCACCCTTGTCTCACACCCACCCCTGTCTCTCTCACACCAATCCTTGTCTCACACCCACCCTTGTCTCACACCCACCCTTGTCTCGCACCTCCACACCAACCCTTGTCTCACACCCACCTTGTCTCACACCCACCCTTGTCTCAACACTCAATCCTTGTCTCACACCCACCTTTTGTCTCACACCAACCCTTGTCTCACACCCACCTTGTCTCCACCCATTCTCTCTCACCCACCCTTGTCTCACACCAATCCCTTGTCTCACACCCACCCTTGTCTCACACCAATCCCTGTCTCACACCCACCCTTGTCTCACACCAATCCTTTTCTCACACCCACCATTGTCTCTCACACCAATCCTTGTCTCACACCCCATCTTTTCTCACACCCCATCTTTTCTCACACCCACCTTGTCTCACACCAATCCTTGTCTCACATTCCACATTCAACATATATCAGGCCTATATATTTGTAAAATTCATGGATGCGAAATACTTAACACTCACCCTTTTTCAAGATCTCGGATTTTAGATTCCAGCATCTGAATTTCCCTTTCTATGTATCTGTTGGAATTTCTGAAACAGAAACATTATTCAAGTCACAACATGTAATGATCGGCAAACCTCCAACCACTTGTATATACAGTGTGTTTGTTACACAAGGAACACAAGGTAGATATACTGTGGAACTACACTGTTCTGACATCAGTGAGTGAGTGACTTCAGTTTTACGCCGCTTTTAACAATATTCCAGCTATATCACAGTAGAACTACACTGTTCTGACACCAGAAATGGGCTGGGACACCAGTAGAAAATGGGCTTCACACTGTTCTGATATCAACACAGGGAAGGTGTACAGTAGAACTATACTGTTCTGATATCAACACAGGGAAGGTGTACAGTAGAACTACACTGTTCTGATATCAACACAGGGAAGGTGTACAGTAGAACTATACTGTTCTGATATCAACACAGGGAAGGTGTACAGTAGAACTATACTGTTCTGATATCAACACAGGGAAGGTGTACAGTAGAACTATACTGTTCTGATATCAACACAGGGAAGGTGTACAGTAGCACTGTGCAGAGAAGGTGTACAGTAGAACTACACTGTTCTGATATCAACACAGGGAAGGTGTACACACAGGAAGGTGTACAGTAGAACTATACTGTTCTGATATCAACACAGGGAAGGTGTACAGTAGAGAAGGTGTACAGTAGAACTATACTGTTCTGATATCAACACAGGGAAGGTGTACAGTAGAACTATACTGTTCTGATATCAACACAGGGAAGGTGTACAGTAGAACTATACTGTTCTGATATCAACACAGGGAAGGTGTACAGTAGAACTACACTGTTCTGATATCAACACAGGGAAGGTGTACAGTAGAACAACACAGGGAACAGTAGAACACTGTTCTGATATCAACACAGGGAAGGTGTACAGTAGAACTATACTGTTCTGATATCAACACAGGGAAGGTGAAGGTGTTCTGATATCAACACAGGAAGGTGTACAGTAGAACTATACTGTTCTGATATCAACACAGGGAAGGTGTACAGTAGAACTACACTGTGATATGATATCAACATATCAACACAGGGAAGGTGTACAGTAGAACTACACTGTTCTGATATCAACACAGGGAAGGTGTACAGTCTGATATCAACACAGGAACTGAGAACTATACTGTTCTGATATCAACACAGGGAAGGTGTACAGTAGAACTACTGTACTGTTCAGGGAAGGTGTACAGTGGATAACACATACTGTTCTGATATCAACACAGGAAGGTGTACAGTAGAACCATACTGTTCTGATATCAACACAGGGAAGGTGTACAAGAACATAACTGTACCGGTAATCTAATCTTTAAAACAATCAACACAGGAAGGGTGTCAACACAGGAAGGTGTACAGTAGAACTATAATATCAACACAGGAAGGTGTAAGGACCTTTGGTCACATACCGTTCTGATATCAACAAAGGAGACTAGTTGGTTATGGTGGTAAAAGCTCACCTCTTTTGTACATCATCGATGCCAGGCAGACTGCCGTACACCACTGAAACAGAGATGACGAGGAATGTATCAATAATATTCCAAGAAATGACCGATCAGCACAAACTAAGGCAAGACTTATTTATCTTGGTTTACAAATCCGCTCTCGAAACTGAAATGTAAAAGAAGGAAAAAAGCAGTCGTATTATTGTTCCAGCCAAACCAGAAATAAGCAAAATGTTAAACACCCAACTCACATCTGTTGCTATCATTTTAAATATATTATTTCACATACTAGCATTAAACCTATTGAAAACGTTTCTTTAAACTTCCTGCCCCAGTTTTATTGAGGTCTTATCCTGCCTATTCAAAATCTTCAGGAAATTAAAGAAAATTATTTCAAGTATCAGGGATCATTTTGGAATTTATCTGAATAGGGCCTATGGACTTAGATATGAGTGGACCCTGTGTCCCAGCACTGGTGTCTCCACGGGGTACCAACCAGACACAGAACTGTCGAGGAGGGTATGAGAAGTAGCAACCCTCCATCAGTGTAGATATGAGTGGGCCCTGTGTCCCAGCAGTGGTGCCGGGACCCACGGGGTACCAACCAGACACAGAACTGTCGGGGAGGGTATGAGAAGTAGCAACCCTCCATCAGTGTAGATATGAGTGGATCCTGTGTCCCAGCAGTGGTGCCGGGACCCACGGGGTACCAACCAGACACAGAACTGTCGAGGATAGTATAAGTATAGCAACCCTCCATTGGTGTAGGTTTTGAGAGGGCCTTAGGAAATTTTGGAATTTGTTTAATGAAATGATTATATCTGAGGCTGTGAATATATATCCATTTTTTTCTGCATTTTTTGTGGCTGAACGGCCATGATGATTCACTGTCAAGCTCATTATTGAAGCCTGAAAGAAAATGAATACATTTTATCATAAAATTTTAATCAGGGCCCAGGGTCATACTGTATTGTACCATGAGGGATCAGTATGTGTTATACCCCCCTGAACTTGTTTACAATGTGTCATTTCATATTTCAGTCCACATATGCCGCAATGGCACAGTCATAAATGATCCCTGAGTATGTAAATTTTGTGTCTTAATTGTTTCAACCTAGTAACCTGAAATTTTGGGATGACTTATAAATACCCGTAAAGACACTTAAAGTAGAAGATAAATGAACACATGCAATGTTTTTTAAGCTCACATATCAAACATTTGTGGAAATTCACTCTCTGTCATTGATTCAATGAGGGAAAGAACTCAGAGTATATATATATATATATCTATATATCTATATCTATATATATAGATGGAGGTCTACTGATTAGTGAGTGAGTGAGTGAGTGAGTTTTACACCCGCTCAGCAATATTTCAGCTACATGGCAGGGGTCCGAAAATAATCGAGTCTGGACCAGACAATCCAGTGATCAACAGCATGAGCATCGATCTGCGCAATTGGGAACCGATGACATGTGTCAATCAAGCCAGCGAGTCTGACCACCTGATCCCGTTAGTCGCCTCTTACGACAAGCATGGGTTACTGAAGGTTCATTCTAACCCAGACCTTCACGGGTTCTACTGATTATAGGGTTAGTGAATATTTCATTGCACTGTTAATAACTGCTCCAAATTCACACCTAATAATATCCCAAAACGTTCGACGTTTGCAGTGCTTTCGCCTATATCGGGCTATATACGTGCGCGATCGGAGTGAACAAGCACTTTCATCGATAAGGGCGGATGACTAGTGGTTGTCTTGAGAAGTTTTATTGACAATGGAAATCCGGAAGTTAAGTTATATAAAAAGCAAACAAACATCAAAATTATTTACCATGATCGTTAATATCACTTCAGATGCAAAATCAACTGCCTATATAACAAGAAATAGCAAGCGAAATTTCAGTAAGATCAGTCGTCTGCTTGGGACAGGCAATATATGAATACACATGTAGGAAGCCACGTTTTCACAACACTCCCTCGTGGTGCAGAGCGAAAAGTATGGCTCAATGTGGAAACCCCAAACAAAATCCCTGGATGTTGACAGCGGCAACGGTTTCGCCGATATGATGTCATCAATGCCATTTTTTAGGAAAGACTTGATATTTTTGTGTGAAATAGATGAATATATCCTTTATCACTCAAGGTTAGTAAAATAAAAACTTTAAATGATATTAAACACAAAAGTTACGTTTTTGTCTTACATAGTCGAAAACCCCTGACACCGGGATAGAGGCATAAGAAATATCATTCATTGTAACAATATGCTTTATCTATAATAGTGGTAGACTGACATCCAGTGCTATGTAAACCCCTCCTAAATGAAGTTTTGTTTTGCCGCTAACATCAAACAATAGTCAAAATTTTTAAGCTGCTGTGAACAGAATACAATACCCTCCGAGCAGTTTACTGAACATAAACATCATGTATTTTAGCTATCTGGTAGATTCATAGTCAAAACAGTACAGATATCAAAAGTATCTAATTTATCTTTTGTGCTTCATTGATTCATAAAAAATACTAAAATATATGTCCCTCCTCTTCAACCCTCACTTTGATGTCGAAAAGATATCCAAATACACCACGGATAGAAATGCACTTCACAGTTTTTAATTCTGCAGGAAATTCCCTCTTCTGTTATGCCATCCACTTGGAGGGAGGGCAAAGTCACTGAGAACTACAATCATAGCTGTAGCTTTAGGCTGCTTTATCTAGAATACAAAGCCATATGAGCGGATACCCTTAAGCTGCTTTGTCTCGTATACAAAGCCATATGAGCAGATACCCTTAAGCAGCTTTGTCTCGTATACAAAGCCATATGAGCAGATATGCATAAGCTGCTTTGTCTAGAATACACAGCCATATGAGCAGATACCCTTAAAGGTCACATGCAACCAAAAAATCAAACATAATTAAAACACAATTATCACTTCTTCATGACATATAATATGCATTGCTGATTATGAAAAAACAAATAAACAAAATTATAAGCGTATAATCGCAAATCAAAAGTGCAATATTTTGTACTTGGGTTTACCTCCCTCGAAACGAAGCAGCCGGGATACCGAACCCAGTCAGAGCGGGTGGGTGTGCACTCAAGTGTAACGGCTGGTTCATTAGCAGATGCTGCCTTCACGGCTCATTGTGTGTGTATATATAGAGATGTTGGGTTTTATAAATACATGCTCATTTTTTGTGTATAACATTTTGCAATCAACAGACATCATAACATGTCATGTGTTCAAGTATCACACCTGCCTGTCTGTGTAATTACATAATGTGACAGAGACCGAACTCGGGCCATAAATCAATGCGTTTTGTTTATGGTGTATAGCCTGATTGGTGTTAAGTTCAAATTGCATGTGGTCAGTGATCGCAGTTGTGTATTTAATATTGTCATTAGCAGACAGGCAGGCAGGCCGACACACAGGTGTCAATAAAACAAGACATTGAGTTTTGTCTGTGGCAGCAACATATCTATATCACAGTTAGAAATTGTGTCAACGCTAAATAATGACATTGCTTTTAAGCATCGAACTGAGAAAGTGACTCAGTAAGAAGAACGCGGTGGTGAAATAGACAAATGAAATTATATAAACAGTTTATTTACTGTCATAACATATAAAAAGCTCGCTACTGTGAGATATCAACAAAACATTATGAAAATAGCTCACACCAAAGCCTTCACCGAGTATTCACCAGACAGCCCGCTTCCAAGTTGCGCGAACCTATTTCACTGCGCACGTGCTATGAGCGCAGCCCAGCTGTTGAAACCCGTATTCCCCAGAAAAGTCTGGGGAAAATTAGTGAATCGTTTGAACTCCGATTTCGCGCGGGTTTTTTCATCGCGTTATTTTTCAACTTTATAAGTTGAATTTGCATTTTTGACGCTTTGTTTCGGTAAGTCCATACCGAAAGGTATCAGAATCTGCAAAGTTGTGTTTTACGTTGCATGTGACCTTTAAGCTGCTTTGTCTAGAATACACAGCCATATGAGCAGATACCCTTAAGCTGCTTTGTCTCGTATACAAAGCCATATGAGCAGATACCCTTAAGCTGCTTTGTCTAGAATACACAGCCATATGAGCAGATACCCTTAAGCTGCTTTGTCTAGTATACACAGCCATATGAGCAGATATGTTTAACCTGCTTTGAACAGTATAGAAAGCATATATGAGCAGATATGCTTAAGTTGCTTTGAACAGTATACAAAGATATAGAAGGTGACATTTATAAGCAGCTTGGAACAGTATGTTTTGCAATGATTAGAAATGCTCTGTTTCATTCGTAGATAAGAGTGTGAACAATCTTCAACACTGCAGAGGTACAGATAAGCTGCGTATCTGCATAAATTAAAAAAATATATATGTGAAAACTCAATTCCTATTAAGTCTAGTGCATACAAGTACGCTTGAGGCTTGGTAAATACTCATTAAATTTGATCTTACATGCATGCTTACAAAAATGTCAAATCTTAGCTTGCGTACCGGTGGATAGATAAAATAACTAATGTATATTGAGAGGTTCTATTTCAACACATGAACTTGGCAACTTGCTGTCTTTCTTATAGTTTCTCATACTACAAATCAAATATAAATAACAAACCCGTAAACCAACATTTAAACTTTATTATATTTTACAGTTAATGGAAAATGGCAAAATACCCAATTGAGTTTGAGTGAGGTGGGTACAATTCATTAGGTTACTCATAGGAAAATTTGGATACCCAATTGAGATGAACACAAGCGAGTACATAACTCAATGACCAAAAAAGTTATCTGTAGCTCTGACACTCGGGTAGGGCAAAAAAGTAAAATCAGTTGGCGGGAAAGTGAGTCCAAGGAAAGATAACTCCTCAGTTTGAGTTGCTGAGTTTGGTTTTATGCCGCTTTTAGCAATATTCCAGCAACATGCCTGGGGGACACCAGAAATGGGCTTTACACATTGTACCCATGTGGGGATTCGAACCCGGGCCTTCGGCGTGACGAGCCAACGCTTAAACCACTAGGCTACCCCACCGTCCCCTCCTCTGTGTTTGAAGTGGGGGACAGCCCTAAATGTTGCACATCATTGACGTCTACCAATGAGCCATTGACATCCAGATTCAAAGACATGTCCTCAAAGGAAATTAGGTGGACACATCCATTTGAGTGTGAGTGAGTTTGGTTTTATGCCACTTTTAGCAATATTCCAGCAATATCACGGCGGGGACACATCAGAAATGGGCTTCACACATTGCACCCATGTGGGGAATCGAACCCAGGTCTTCAGCGTGATGAGCAAACTTCTATTTAAAGACGAACAAACACAATATGTACAGTTACTAGTATGATTTATTCATTTCGTTGTGATTGCTAAAATGTGATTGCCAACCTCATTATTGGGTTTTTATCTGCTCAGCAGGGAATACAGTTGAGTCAGAATTATGGATTGACAGCCACATCTAACCAAAACAAAGTTTAATTCCCGCAAGTAATATACAACAGCTGTGATCATCACTAACCCAAGAACAGATGTGTCCATAGATGGATCAATTATCAAACCTATGCCATTTAAAGCTGATTATAATGACTCATGCTTGTGGGATAGCTCTCATTTCATTGGGATTCTGACACAGTCCTTCTCAGTTGTATTTTGACAAGATTCTGATGAGGTACAACTATAAGGAGGTATATTGGTTACCTGTGAAATGACACTTGAACACTGTCATGAGGCTGAGTCGGCTAAAGGACTAAGGACAGATAATTCAAAATAAATTCAAAACTTTCAGTTTCAAAAGCAATACTACTCATTATAATCACACAATGCCATTTAGAAAGCAGGGGTTCAAAAATCCCATCCCCCGACGCCCGGGACAAGTCAGTTTTCATTTCGGGCAATCAAATAATGGTATCATACTTGTCCATGGGCTACTAGATAATTTCCACTTTCAAACTGCAAATAAACTTGGATTTAATTTCATATCTGCTAAAAAATGTAGCTATTAAATTTGGCAATGATAATAAAGTAGAGTTATCTTTCTTTGCTATTTATCACTTTTCAATAAATAGTCCAGTAAACATTAACATCAAATACCATGTTGATTTATTCTTTCATGATTACATCATCATAATTATGTCATAAAATCAGGGCACGTGGAAAATTAGTCAGGACAAGTTACTTACTTAAAGTCACTTGCCCTGTGGCAACTGGCTTTTCAAAAATATTTTGAACCCCTGGAAAGTAGTCAAATGTAACAAGTGCAAGTTGCGGTGGCTGAGCGGGTTAGGTGACTGACTTTGTGTGCTGACAATTAGGTGCCTGACTTTAAGGGTGTTGGTTCGAATCCCGGATGGGACTCAACCCAACAAAAGTACTAGAATCTGTGCTTCACTAAGAAAGTGTAATCCCAAACATAACAGATGTTACAATACTACTTGTCCTTTGACTTTGAAATTTCTTATACTGGTGCAGAATCAGATTCCCTTAAATTTTGACTGTAGGACCAATGTGGCTAAAGGCACTGTTTGGCAGCCATATTGGATTGAAGTTTTTAGACCTGTTTTAGTCAGTTTTCAGCTCAATTCACTCTAATTTACATTCAAAACGGAGGACTGAGTTCAAACTTGACAACTAAGGTTAACACATTTTGGGGAAACACATTTAGAGTTCACACAAACAAAATCACCAGAAATGGTACCATGAAGACATCCCAAAAGTCAGTATCGTGTGTGGTCTCTATGGGCATCTATGAAATCGTTGTATCGTCAGTACATGGAATGAATTAGCCGGTCGATGGAGGTCATACGCACTTGGGTCCATACTCTGCGAAATGCCTGATCGAGTCAAGCCGTAGTTGTCGGCCTTGGTTGGAGGCCATTCAGTGTTCTTTGAATTTTGTTCCAAAGATGTTCTACTGGATTTAAATTCGGAACGAGTGCAAGATTTTGTAGGGTTTGGATGCTATTCTATCTTAGGAAGTCATATGTTGCTCTGGCAGTGTGGGCACGACCGTTGTCTTGCTGGAAGATGTGATTTCTGTAACGTCGAAAATGTGGTACAACATGGGGTCCTGTGACTTAATCAATATAGCGAGCAGTTGTCATGTCATTTCCTCATCCTTGACCAAGATTCTGGAACACCACAGTATTAACTAACTGGTTCAGACCGATTGCACCCCACACTACGTTGCTTGGACCACCCCACGAGTCTCTTTCAACAATACACTCATTGGAAAACATTTCAGCACGTGCTCGCCATACTCTCACTCTGCCATCGACTGTCGAAACACAATATCGGCTTTCATGAGATAACAGCACAGTTCTCCATTGTCAATAAAGCCAATTTCGATTGCTGAGTTGCCCATTTTGGTCGGTTTTGGCGGTGATGAGCGGTGAGGACGGGAGTACGATATGGTCTGTGACAGTAGAGGTTTGTCCCGTGCAAACGTCCACGCGCTGTATCGGCACTGACAAGTCTGTTGTGAGTCCAAATGGTCTGCCGTGCTGTTTCCGTCGCTTTCAGAAAAGCGATTCTGCAGATGATTGCGCACAGCCTGCCATTCTTGACGTTGTGATGTTATTGAAGGTCGCCCACTGCGTGGACGGTCTTGAATGCTGTTAGTGACCTGATACCATCCCTGATGTCCTAACATGAACATTAAAATGATTGGCAACCCTCCATGCAGTCTGGACAACTTGCAACCGTCCCACGACTTGGTCCCTCTGAACTCTTGTAAGACGTGCCATGGTTATTGTGTCAAAACAAAAATGATTTCAGGCGAGTTTGGGACTCGCTTTCATTGGTAGGGTTATGACGACATGCACGTGCATTTTCATTTTCACGAATGTCATACGGAACCGTTAACCATGTCTGCCTTTTTCGGTGCATTTGGTCGATATGCTTTTTCATCAGAAAACACACTGATGTTGGTAATAACTGTCAATTTGGATTGGAAAACATGTTAAAGGTCACATAAACCCTAGGGGGTACAAATACATAAATCACTAACTGGCATCGTTATAAATGAAACCCTGTCATTAAAACTACTCATTTCGACCTTTAATTGACTTAAATCGACCTTTTTGACAACAGTGCACAATTCTCACCCGCGAACGAAATTTCAACCAATCAGAGCGGCGCGCCTCTGTGACGTCATATGAGGAATAGCTTTGAGAGCCGATGCAGAATTCATCTACATTTTAGGGGGTAAATTATCGTGTTTACAGGCTTGTATAAACCTGAAATCGTGACAATTCTTGTGGAAAATGAAAGCTATATGTTCTCACAATCTACTGTCATTTAATTTTGTCTCCTGCTTTGCCTAGTTTCCGAAGTTACAACTTGTTTTCATAGACGATTCTGTCAAAATCGATTGGTGTCGTTAGGCCCTATTTGTATAATGACTGATCCAAATTGATCCCATTTCTGTGTTGTTTTACCTCGATATTTAATCATGTCATGTAAAAATCTGTTTGTATTCTCAAAACAGTGTCGGCCCATAAGTTTCCACATGCAATACAGCAATTAATACTCCCTCGTTGTAACCCGTGTTAGGTGGTATAAACCTACACATGTTATTTGTCATCATTCACTTGATGGTCAGTTAATGAATTTATAACAGGTATAATTAGTGGTAACACACTTAGATTACCCGACAAAGGTTCCCATTTGGCATTTCTTGTGTCTGGAGTAAATATTCAACATTATAAACATCGATCAAAGGATTAACCGATAATCATCATCATCATCATCATCAACTAGGAACTTATATAGCGCAAGAATCCAGTCAGTATAACTGCTCAAACGCGCTTTGAGAGAATGCATGTCACATGTATCAGCAAAGTCCACTCGGTCTAGGCGTATGTCTTTGAGAATAAGTGAGTCTTGAGATTGGTTTTAAAAGTGGCCAAGTTATTTATAAGTCTCAGTTCTAGTGGCAGATCATTCCAGATTCGTGGAGCTGCTCTGGCAAAAGATCGATCTCCATAGGTGGTGGTCCTTGCATGTGGAACACACAGCATGCTTTGTCCAATGGATCTAAGAGACCTGGCTGGCTTGTATTCCTGGAGGAGTTCCTGGAGATACACAGGGCTAGGCCTGTCCTTGCTTTGAAGGTTAACAGGAGCACTTTATAAGTGATTCTGTCTGCCACCTTCAACCAATGAAGTTTCTTTAGCACTGGAGAAATGTGGCTGTCTTTCTTTGTCTTTGTTACAAGTCTAGCTGCACAATTCTGAACGCGCTGCAGCTTTGCAATCAATTTCTTTGGTAGTCCAATTAGAAGAGCATTGCAGTAATCTAAATGGGACACAACACAGCACTGAACAAGAGATGTCACGGTCTTTAGATTTACAAATCGACGATTTGGGCAATGTTTCGATATTAAAATATGCATGTCTGCATACTTTGTTTACATGGGACTCTGCATTCATAGATGAGTCAAATACAAGTCCAAGATTTCGTGGCTTCTTTGCTTGGTTCAATGATGCAACCTCCAATTTCAAAGATGGGCAGAGCAAGTTTACTTCTCGCTGACTTTGAAGAGAGAATCAGCAGTTCCGTCTTCTCACTGTTGAGCTTGAGAAAGTTTAGGGTCATCCAGTCCTTGATGTCCTTGATACAGTTCATCAAACCATCGATATGTATCCTCTACTGATGTTCTGTTGGAGGGCTTGAAGGCCAGATACAGCTGGGTGTCGCCAGCGTAGAGATGGAAAGAGAGATTTTTGGCGAAAGCAATGTGTCCCCAAGAGGTGATGTGTAGATTGTGAACAACACTGGTCCCAGTACAGAACCCTGTGGAACTCCATACTTGAGGCTAACTTTCTCTGACATTTGCCCATTGACTCTCACAGCCTGAAATCGTCCAGACAGATAGGACTCCAGCCATAAATAAGCTTCACCAGTAACTCCGAATCTCTCATTCAATCTCGCGGAGAAGAATGGACTGATCAATTGTGTCAAAAGCAGCTGACAAATCGAAGTTAACACCAACACTGCCGCACCATCTGAATCAATGGCCTGCAGCAAGTCACTCTGCACACGCACAAGAGCTGTTTCCGTGCTATGATTACATCGGTATGCAGACTGCAACGCTTCTTCTTTCCCAGTTCCGGATGATATGATCATGAAGCCTTGACGCTGCCACTCTCCATGATCTTAGCAGCAAAGGGCAAGTTGGAGACTGGTCTGTAATTTTTTAGGTTGTTTGAGTCCAGCCGAAGATTCTTGATCAGTGGTGTTATAGATGCTAACTTGAAGGTTCTAGGAACACAAGCTTGACTGAAGGAAGCATTGATCACACTGGTTAGTGTTGGTACTGTTTCATCGAGACACTCCTTCAACAACCAGGTCGGCATGGGGTCTAGTGAACAAGACTTTGTAGGACTCCTCACAATCACCTGTCTCACCTCCATCTCATAACACGCTGATTGATTAATTACTTTTATCTTACACAGCGGAATTGTCAAAAGGTAGTGTTTATGTATGTAGATTTACTAATCTATACTGAATACACTCTGTCGTGTCGGTGTCTGCGTAAAAACAACGTCCTTCTTTCAAAGGATTAACCGGCAATACATTGATTGATTGCCCATTATTGGCTAACTAAATTACTGTTTTTAAAGAAAGGCGGACATTATGCAATTAGTTGCCAGGTGTGCTATCTTGGGTGACCAATGAGACTATACACCAATACCTGAAAAGATTTATCACTTTTTCGTATATTAAACTGTTAAAAGACACATCATTTGGAACAGTTTTGTGGATATTGATGGATACATTCCTCAAACAAGGTAATGGCCTGATATTGTTCCTATAACTTAAATCTGTTTTAATTTTAATATTTGCATTTTGTTTTTATTCATTTGTCGTAGCATTCAACAGAATCCTTGTTTTCGCCGTGAAGTGTAATGAGACAGACAACATGCACTAGGGTGTGTGTGCGAATTATGATTCACATTGGCAAACTATAAAATGTCTAGATATTACAGTTCTGTTATAAATTCACTATAAGTATCAGCAGATCGTCTGCTTTTTATTTAGTTTCAAAATGCATACAAGTGTGATAATAAACTAATTAGGATTATAAGACCAAATATAAAGATGCACATTGACTAGTATCTACATACTGGTGAGTGGACATTAACCATGGGAATGTAGCAAGAAATGTATGGGGCAGTGACTTCGACCCCCACCTCGCTTCAAATCGTTATGTTATAAGTTGTGTCATGCAAAATCCGTTTGGTTATGATTCCAATACATATTTAACAACGAGTAGAAAGTAGTCTTGATTTTCTAACTTGATGAAAACAAACTATAATCTCATTAATTCTAACAGATTTTTTTATTTTTAAAAATGGCGGCGCCCTGTCGGGAACATCCGCCAGTCTGAGGATAAATGGTATTTAGGTTTGTTTTCACCGAGTTACAAAATCAAAACTACTTTCTACTGGTAGTAAAATATGTATTTTATTGATGGCCAATAGGATTTTGCATGACATAGCGTATATCATAACAATTTCTCTCGTGGCAGCGAGGTGGGTGTCAATATAATACTACTTACAATATTATTGTTACTTGACCACAACCTCACTTCCGAGGAAGAAATCGTTATGTTACAAGTTGTGTCATAGAAAATCTTTATGGTCATCAATCATATGCATATTTTACTACAACTAGTAAGTAGTTTTGATTCTTTAACTTCCGTGGAAGCGATCTGAACACAAGTAAGATATCGTTTCAGGCTTCCACAACGCCGCTTACGCGACTCACAAACATAACCCATTTAGCACTTAACTTCGCGGGTCCTGTGGAAATCTGTGCATGGGGACACCATCGCCCGACCCATAGGAGCAATTGACGACAAAGCAACGATTCGGCATGTCGTCGTTGATGTCGAGAAATCATCAAAATGATGAGCGTGCTACACATTTTCTATACAACTAACTGAAAATCGTTCCTCATATGACGTCACTGCAGTGCTCTGGCGACAGAGTTACGTAACCTGTCTGTGGTTTCGTTGGCGGGCGAGAGGGAAGCAGGCGACTTTTTGGCCACTTTTAATCGCTCGGTATTAATTAACCACAAGTTTTTAAAGAATATATTTGGTGTTCCTCATAAGACTAACCACAAATCTTTCATATGTAATGGTTAAAAGAGTAACAAAAAACAAAGTTTAGTGGTTCTTTAAGAAAACGGTACATTCATAAGAAAAACACCACCTTGCAAGAACAAACTTTTGCATTTGGTTTTGAAAAGCGACGTTTTTTTTGTGGTTCAGTATATAACAATGAGGTGAGGTGAAAGTGGGTTTCATGTCATGCTTGAGAATATTTTTGCTCATATGACTACGTGCATGCGTGTGTATGTGTATGTGCGGCTGCTTGTACTAGCCCAATCTTAAGCTGGTTTTATAGTGCTAGCCAACTGAGATACCATGCCGCAGTGAAGCATGAATACCCCACTCAGACACATTATACTGACTCCGAGCCGACTAGTCCAGGTTGTACCCATGAATGCCGAGTGCCAGGCAGGGACCAACAAGTACCATATTTTAAAGTCTTTTGGTATGACACGATTGGAGAACGAACCCGCAACCTTCCGCTCTCCGGGTGGACGCTCTAACCACTACACCACACAGGCGATCTGTATAACAATGTTATAATACAAATACACTTACTGTAAAGCAACCTTACTCTCAACATTAGGCCAGACCAATGTTATTTCTTGTTTTACGGATCCACCGGTCGTATTTTTTCAAGAATAAGAAAAAAAATGTATTCTCCCCGCTGAAAACATACAATTTTCATATTTTTATTGGCCAAAAATGTAAATGTGCAAGAAAATGTTTTAGATATTTTTTTTGCCCCATATACACTTCATAAATTGCCAAAAGTAAAATACTTTTAGTATTTAAAAGGAATATTACTCTGACGGGTGATTTATATATTTATTTATTTTTCCTCCTGCCTTCAGGTTTTCTGACAACAAATATCCGTAAAACAAGAAATAAAATTGGTCTGGCCTTATCAAGAAAATGAATTCAAACAATATTTCCAACTTGTGAGACACCCCACCCGTGAAGATCTGGGTTAGAATTGGTCATCAGCAGCCCATGCTTGTCTTAAGACGTGACTCGCGGGATTGTGGAGTCCGCCTCGCTGGCATGGTTGACAGGCGTTAATTTTCACTGTTATTGTGTGCCAGTAGATCAATGCTCATGCTGCTGATAACTAAAGCAGTATTCAGCTAGTTGTTAATTATTCACAGACTGTCGCTTGGATCATAGATGAGTGTCGTATCAAAAAACAAAACAAATAGTAACAGCTTGAGTGTGGGGCGACATACATGGAAGCTAACAACAGACTGACTCATATTCTGACACCAGTATCACAGACTTAGTACCGTAGCCAGATACCAGCCAGATGTGGCAAATCAATACAGCAAGTGAAACCTAGTATAGCTTTAATGATGCTTCAAACCCATATATATTTTATAAAACCGATTCATTACAGTACATCTGGATCTGCCCACAGGCCAATGTTCAGACCCGAAATAAATGTCAGTTTATGCTCCTGAATTGTTTCTTTTATGAAAATTTCAATTCATGGTGACATTTTGTGTTATTAATGATTGCATTGGTAAGTCGACCAGTGAAGAAGGGCGAGGTTTTAATGCTTGGTGTTACAATATTTTCCAGAATGTAAATTGAACTTACAATGGTGACATGTTAAAATTAGGGCTGCGCAATATCGTCGGTTCTGACATGGAAACGATACGTATTGCATACGCTGATCGAAACTTCGTAACACTCGGAAACCTTCGGATATTTCTTTTTTTTAAATTGTTCCTTTCCTTGTTTAATTTGTGCCAAACATTATTTACATTTATATTTTGCCATGATTAAAAGTTTTCTTAAAGCCTAATCAAGCATTGTGATTTTGTTGTGTTTTTGCTTTATAAATCAAGCATTAACTCGATTATAAGTATTTTTTTTGTTAAAAATAATTCTTGCAATATATTGCAATACATATTGCAATACATGTTTTCGCATCGCAATATATCGCAATACGAACATTCCCTGCAATACCCACCCCTAGTTAGAATCAGAATCTAAATGCCACTTAAAGACATTGAAAAGATATCTCTTCTTGACAAATGTAACTATTATTACACCTTTATCTGACAGCCAAGAACATGTACCTTTGAATCCCAGATAAAGCCCACTTATGATATTGATAATGTCTTTAGTGTAAAATAGCTACTTCACTTTGCATGATGTCAGGGCTTTGCTTTGCAATAGTTGTACTGGATTAATATTTAGCAGCTTACATGAAAAATGGTTCACATATGTATTTTTTTAAAATGTATTTCAATTACATAAATAAAGTACAAGGAGATCATATCAAACATGGAAGACATTAGCCCATGGACGACAAAGGAACCACGTCATTGTCAATGAGTAAGTGAGTTTGGTTTCAAGCCACTTTCAGGTGAAGTGAAATAGGGTTTAAAGTTGTACTTAATAATATTTCGCTCATATGAGGACGTGCATGCGTGTGTATGTGTGGCTGCTAGTACTAGCCTGACTTATGCTGTTTTTATAGTGCTAGCCCACTAAGATACCATGCTGCAGTGAAGCATGATTAAATTACATTTGTGACGTCATTCCATTGTCTGTTCGCTCCATTACTTTTCAGGAATGGAGCGATGTGTACCAGTTTCAAAATAAAACCTTCATTTTGTCATTTTGACATTTAATTTTGATAACAGAAATATTCCCAATACTTCGAATGTAATTTAAGTAGGGTAATATCCTCGTAACTCTCCATTCCTTAAAAATAATGTGCCTCGGCCCCTCAGGGGCCTCGACTCCATTATTTTTAAGGAATGGAGAGTTACTCTGACATTACCCTCTACATAAACCACTCAGACACATTATACTGACTCCGAGCCGACCAGTCCTTGTTGTACCCATTAATGCTGAGCGTCAGGCAGGGAACAACAAGTACCATTAATTTAACGTCTTTTGGTTTGACGTCACCGGGGATCGAACCTGCGACCTTCAAGCGGACGCTCTAACCACTACACCATGGAGGCAGTCTCAAGCCACTTTGAAGAGTATTTCAGCTATGTTGCAGCAAGTCAGCGCCATGTTGGAGGAAAGCCTGACCTGAAGCCTTCACCACTTTGGAGCTGATAAACTTAGATACATAATGTCTGGGACTTGCTGCCACTATCATGGGTGTCTGTTGTGCCCAAGGGACCTAACTCTGAACAGCAAATAGTGGTGCCTTAGATAAATGGGCACCCATACCCATGAAACACAAATATGTTGTACCAAATAAAAAAAAACTATTGTTGCAATCAACAAAGCATATGAAAGTCCCACAATTGAAGGGGAGAGAAGAGACAGATAATGACTCCCATAGCTCTCGGAATCTGTTATCCGTAGTTTCACTCTATGTTCTTCAAAGTTTTAAATGTCAGGGCTCGATTTAAAGAAATGAAACCTACTTGCACCCGGTGCAACCTTAGGTAGAAACCTTGTTGCATCAGATAAAAATAGGTTGCACCTGCTGCTCAATATAAAATCTTGTATAAAATATGAGGTTTGAGTTTTGGTAATGATAGTTTAGAACATTATAACAAAAGAAATCTGGGACTGATAAGATTAGTTATCTTACTTCCTAAAATGTCATGAACAGTAAGTCCTTCAGTCGCTGCTCATACAGTCATCAGAGTCACTCTTCCAAGTCAGTTACTCATCATTCTGTTTTCCAGCTAAAGTCTCAAAAATTGACTTGCACCTGGTACAAGTTAGACTAATAACTAGGTTGCACTTTGTAGTATTGGGTTGCACCAGTGCAAGTAACAAAGCATTAAATCGAGCCCTGAATGTCAATCACTAAAATCACGAGAATATCTAGGTATTATCACATATAACCAATATCAAAACTGCTGTGTAAAAATGTTTGTATAGTTCTCTTGTTGTGTAACACCGCGCTGAGCAATATTCTACAATTTCTACCCACATGACTGAAGCGTGTGAATGAGTGAGTATGGTGAGCAATATCCAGCAATATCATGGCTGGGGACACCAGAAATGGGCTTTACCCATGTGGGGATTCGAACCCGGGTCTTCGGTGTGATGAGTGAACGCTTTAACCACTAGGCTACCCCACTACACCCGAAGCCTGTGAATAATCCAGTCAACCCAAACATCATTGAGATGATGACAAGCATGTCAGCCTCCCATTAGCCACCTCTTATGACAAGCATGACTTGCTGAACAGCCACTCTAACACGGAGCTTCACAGGGGATGTAAAAATGTAAATACCTGTGCTGGTATACAAATCAACTGGACAGAATAGACAATTCTGGCAGCCAACCAACCTGACTTCACCAAACGAAAATTAACCGAAGCAATCCACATCAAACGACACCGACCCCTGATCAACAGAGACCAAGGTTACTTCATCCCCTCTGTGTACGATATCCTCATCAACCAACCGTAACTGGTTGTGTAACTTGTACAAACACCCGTAAACCCCATTGGCTTCTATATATAATCCCTTGTCACGGGCTTCTACATATAATCCCTTGTCACTGGCTTCTACATATAATCCCTTGTCATCACATTGTTACTGTACATCCCAATTCACGTCCTTGTTGTCTTCGTTAATTATTTACTGTATATACAGTCCCCAGTTTTCTACCTAACTCATACTTGCTTGACGATACAAGAATGTGTATAGAAATGTCGCATCTACCGAATAAAGAAGTTGTTTATCCATAAAGTTTGTCTGTATATTACTCTCCAACATCTAGACAATGCCACTCAAAGAAGTTACCTGTGCTGGTAGCAAACAACATCACTCTTGTACTGTCTACTGCACTGTACACAAATTGGCAAGATATCGTTCCACTGCTGTTACTAGTGAGTGCTATTTGCCTTCAACACTGGTCATGTATATTACCAGATTAGTATCATCAGGGGTGGAAATATCTTAAAAATTGCTAGTGTACTCCGGTACAGTGGCACAAGTAAAATCACTTGCCCTGATAATTTTTCCACTGTACTGGCCGATTTTGTTGTTGATTTTTTAAATAAACAACATAATTAACATTGAAAAGTCAACTGGACACCAGTACAGTGTGATATACAAATTTGCTTGCCCGACAGAAAAAAACACTGGACTGAGGCGTCGGGCAATGATCATACTTCTGATTAATACCAGGTTATCTTCTTAAGGTGACACACAGAGATGTTTTAGCTTATAAAGTAAATATTAAATACTGCATCTATAAAATAGCTGCTTTCCTGTTTCTGGTAGATATTTATAGATGGAATGCAGACAAATGCATGGGTACAAATTGACTTGAATGGTTGTGTGATGAGGTATTATAAGGGTTACTAGGCTTTTCATGATATTATGTGTTATCACTTTATACTTAGAAGCTTATTACAACCCATTAAGCATTGAATGCTCTGTCGTTAACACAAAAGACGGCCCAAAGTTGTTTGGATTTAATATTATGTTTTGGAGATTTAAATAAATAAATACAACAAAGAGGATTCAGGTGATCCTGGCAGGCAGACTGGTTAAGCTCATCATCAGCTCAAGGCCTTGTACCTTCACACACAGCCCAGTCAGTGAATGGGACGTCTCCCAGTAACTGCTGCCTAGTCAAACCCACCAAGTACTGACTTTTCTCAGAATATGTAGACTCCCCAACACTGTAGCCTTCTGCATTACTCTGAGTGTCAGAGGGGATGTGTTCTCGGTGGAGAACCTGGGGACATTCCTGTTCTGTGTTAAGTGAGTGAGTGAGTTTGGTTTTACCCCGCTTTTAGCAATATTCCAGCAATATCACAGCGGGGGACACCAGAAATGGGCTTAACACATTGTACCCATGTGGGGAATCGAACCCGGGTCTTCGGCGTGACGAGCGAACGCCTTAACCACTAGGCTACCCCACCGCCCCGATCTGTGTTAAGATGACATCAGTATATAGCAAACCAACGACACAATTTAAAGGACAATGGGGACCCTGGTGACAGCTTATGTGTGATGCAAGCACCACATTTGCGGAGTACTGCACTTTACCGGGCGCACTTTTCCCGATTAGTTAACCCCTAAGGATCGTAAAGGGTGCCTAACCCTAAGAATCGTAAAGGGTGCCTAACCCTAAGGATAGTAAAGGGTGCCATACCCTAACCCTAAGGATTGTAAAGGGTGCCATACCCTAACTCTAAACCCTAAGGATCGTAAAGGGTGCCATACCCTAACCCTAATCCTAAAGATCGTAAAGGGTGCCATACCCTAACCCTAAGGATGGTTAAGGGTGCCATACCCTAACCCTAAAGATCGTAAAGGGTGCCATACCCTAACCCTAAAGATCGTAAAGGGTGCCATACCCTAACCCTAAAGATCGTAAAGGGAGCAGCGAGGGCTGCGCCTGGTAAAGTGCATTCTAGCCCACATTTGTTATTATATATGTTTTTAATTATTATTATTGCCCTCTACTGTATCAGGATTATATAACAAATTCTTATTACACATTCATTACAAACACATTGAACACAAACACACATAATGAAAGCGTTCTCATAAGTCATTCGATAGAACCACTACCTGTATGTGCATTTAAACTGTTAGCTGAAACGTGCTGTTAAAAAGTATGAGAAATTCACGAGACATTTCCAAAACCAGGACGTCTCCTTGCAGTTGATGGAAGTCAGTGAGGAACATTATATTTGGATCGTGTTGTTTCTGCAACTGCTCCAAGGTATCTCTAAACTTCATCAATCTAATTACTAATACGTCATCAAGAAATACAAATTGCTACTTACCCGCAACGATAATAACAACAAGAATAATTATCACAATTTGTCGCATTTTCTTGATAGGTAATTTCATCTGCCGGTTCTTGAGCGCAATCATCTTGTATCTCAACACATCGTTACATATTTCATTTGGACCAAGACTCGACAGTCACGCAGATCCAAATGCAGCTGTTCGACGCAAATCTTATCAACACATACTAACATCCAGTAGATTGGGAACACCTGCAATTCGATTTGACCTTACAATTACTTCCGGGTTACAATGGGGGAGGCTAATGAATATTTTGGACCAATCGTCTTGTAGTAAATTATTTGGCCCGGCGACAAACGTTTGAGCGCCAGTTTTGACAACACATTACGAAAACACGATAGGTAATGCATCCTAAACGTCTTTATCACTGTTTTTAAATATTTGTCATTCATAGTTATTCTGAGATACACATCACTGCCTTCCACATCATTTGTTTGAGAAACAGTTGTTTTCTTTTGTATAGGTTAAAACTCAAGCGACAGTGTTTACGTTTCCGCAGACTCCAGTTTCACTCAGCTGTGAGTGTTTTGGTCCTGGGTCGAGTTATGGACACTTTAAATCAGATGACAGAAAATTAGTGTGCCCAAAATTAGGTTAATAATTGATTGTCTATGTTCAACACCCAGTAATCGTTTTGAGGTAAACATTTTCATACTTTTGTTGAGTTTAACTTCCATCGGTAACGCTTGTTTTGGAAAACCGCTGGCTTTGAAGTTTTAAACAGAGGGTCCGCTAAAGAATATGTTCACCAACAGTTTTTGTCAAAGGATCCCAGGTTAAAGGTTTGGGGATAATCATCCCTGACCCTAACACAACAAACCAAGTTAGAGAATTCTCGAGAGATCAGTGAAGTGATACTGGAAAGATTTCTGCCCGTAACCCCCAATTTTTATCATTCTATGCCAAAGATTTATAGTAAGAATAGATGTTTTTTATAGAAAGCCTAACCTAACCCTAAACCTAACATAATGCTAAATATAAACCCTAACCCCTTGAAATAAACATAATAAATAGAATACATTATGATTCCAAGCAGGGGTTAGGGTGGAACTCTTACCGCTTCTTGTGGCTATTTTGCCAACATGTGTTTTAAAATACCGCTGATGTAGCTAACAAGCAAATTCTGTTACATTTGATAACACCAGTATGCTCGTGATAGGCAGTCAACGTGTTAAGATGCAAATAATGGTCCTTTCCTAAGTAATACTATGATACACCCTTGAGTATTCATAATATATGAGCTTTGATTTGTGTACACCTTTTGTTGCAAATATTGATCAGTGTGTGTTTTATTTTTGTTATGGTTTATTTACTAATTCACTGATTTCAGGCATGGCGGAAGATCAAGACGCTATGGAGGTGGACCAGAGTGTTCCACCCACTCCAAGTGCTTCTCGTGTTTTCAATCCTGCTGGTATGTAACTTTGAGAAAAATGAAATATGTCACAAATGTTTTCCACAGGGCTCCCACAGGTCAGGGAAAAGTCAGGGAGTTTTGGCTTTTCTCTGAAAGTGAGGGAAAAGTCAGGGAATTTTGGTAATGGTATGCCATGCCTGTGGGAACCCTGTTCCATCTCCACAGTAGTAACCATAGAAACAACAGGTCATAAGTGTTTAAACATGCTTAGAATTTATCTAGCTCAGTGTCAACATTGACCAACAAGTCTGCTGCAACTGGCAGTAAAATGTCTAGATTTAAAAACTTTCAATTGCTAAAATATTATGAAAATCATACCTTTTTTGAAATAATACAATTTTGAAAAAAACATGATTTTTACCCCAGTTTGCTGCAAGGGTGCATTGTTGTGGAGAGATGGATGGTACATGTAAAGCTGTTGTCTAAGGTGTGGAAATTCACTGGGCACATCAGAAACACATCTGTTTTGGTTCCATTCCCAGTTCATTTAATTAACAACGCCTAGTTTGGGAGGTGGGGTGGTAACCAAAGTGTGACTTTAATCACTTTAGGCTTTCCTCCCTTGTCAAGCTGACATCATGATAGAACTTGAATGTTGTTGAAAGGTATGGAACCTAACTCACTTCACATAGAACCCTAGATAGATTTCAGCATCAATAAGCTGTTTGATGTTGGCCAAAGTGGCCTTTGGTTTGAATGCTGGATTCATCTCTCTTTGTTTGATTAGTTTACTAGCACCATATGATATAATAGGTGGTGAGGTAGCCTCACAAGCATTTGCTTGTCACGCTGAAGCCCCAGGTTCAATTGCCCACATGGGTACAATGTGTTAAGCCCATGTGTAGTGTCCCCTGCTTGAATGTTGGTAAAAGCAATGCGTAGCCACACTCACTGCCTGAATCAGGATGGTGAGGTAGCCTCATTGTTAAAGCGTTTGCTTGTCATGCTGAAGCCCCAGGTTCAATTCCCCACATGGGTACCCTGTGTTAAGCCCATGTCTAGTGTCCCCTGCTTGAATGTTGCTAAAAGCAATGTGTAGCCACACTCACTGCCTGAATCAGGATGGTGAGGTAGCCTCATTGTTAAAGCGTTATGCTTGTCATGCTGAAGCCCCAGGTTCAATTCCCCACATGGGTACCCTGTGTTAAGCCCATGTCTAGTGTCCCCTGCTTGAATGTTGCTAAAAGCAATGCGTAGCCACATTCACTGCCTGAATCAGGATGGTGAGGTAGCCTCACAAGCGTTGGCTTGTCATGCTGAAGCCCCAGGTTCAATTCCCCACATGGGTACCCTGTGTTAAGCCCATGTCTAGTGTCCCCTGCTTGAATGTTGCTAAAAGCAATGCGTAGCCACACTCACTGCCTGAATCAGGGTGGTGAGGTAGCCTCATAGTTAAAGCGTTGGCTTGTCATGCTGAAGCCCCAGGTTCAATTCCCCACATGGGTACAATGTGTAAGGCCATTGCCTGGTTTTCCATGCCATTATTTAGCTTTAATATTGCTAAAAGCGAAGAATGATCATGCTCACTGCCAGAGGCCTAGTGGTTATAGCATTTGCTTGTCACAGATACTATTTGTCAAACCTTTGGCTTTACTGTGATATTGCTGGAATATTTGCTAAAAGTGGCATAAAATTAAACTCACTCGCTAGACTTCAATGAGCCAGTACACTGTTTTCTTCAGATTTTGCTCCTATTGAGATTCCGAATGCACCGGAGTCAGTAGCGACATATGACATAAACGGCCCACGTCTGATGATCACACACATTGTGAATGAAAACTTCAAGTCCTATGCTGGAGTGCAAACATTGGGGCCTTTCCACAAGGTAGGAGACTGGTTAAACTTGTGCACTTTATCATTGTACACTTTACTAAGTATTTCTTTTAACTATTAATTCTTTTTCAGAAGAGGTCTTCCTTGGGGTGTGCATTTTTTTCTGCTGCTGAAACTGTCTAATGACAATTGTAACAAGCCCATTTCTGGTGTCTCTATCCATGATATTGCTGAAATAATGCTAAAACACTTTGTGTAAAACTAAACTTACTCACTCACTATTAAAAATATTTTACAGATAGAAACCTCATTTTGTAGGTTCCTCCCTTCTCTCCCCTACCATGCATGTGTTGGAAGCCAGAAGAACTCAATCCCCAAATCATCGTTCTTTCTGCTAACAATAAATATCCACACATGACCACTTTCTAGATAGCTCTGTGTATTCGTATGTCTGCTTTTGTACTTATGTGCCTTTGTCTTGAATTACAATGGGCTTCATTTCTTAAAATCTGTTGTTATTTTGCAGAGTTTCACCTCAATTGTTGGACCTAATGGCAGTGGAAAGTCCAATGTCATAGATTCCATGTTGTTCGTGTTTGGATATCGGGCAAATAAGATACGATCGAAGAAGATCAGTGTTCTCATCCATAACAGTGAGAACCACAAGGGCATCACCACATGTACAGTGGCAGTACACTTTCAGAGGATCGTAGATACAGGGGTTAGTAGACAGTAGTACACTTTCAGAGGATCGTAGATACATGGGTTAGTAGACAGTAGTACACTTTCAGAGGATCGTAGATACAGGGGTTAGTAAACAGTAGTACACTTTCAGAGGATCGTAGACAGATACAGGGGTTAGTAGACAGTAGTACACTTTCAGAGGATCAGATACAGGGGTTAGTAGACAGTAGTACACTTTCAGAGGGAGATACAGGGGTTAGTAGACAGTACACTTTCAGAGGTTAGTAGACAGTAGTACAGTCACACTTTCAGAGATACAGGATTAGTAGATTCAGAGGATAGTAGACAGCAGTACACTTTCAGAGGATCGAGTCAGATACAGGGGTTAGTAGACAGACAGTACACTTTCAGAGGATCGTAGATACAGGGGTTAGTAGACAGTAGTACACTTTCAGAGGATCGTAGATACAGGGGTTAGTAGACAGTAGTACACTTTCAGAGGATCGTAGATACAGGGGTTAGTAGACAGTAGTACACTTTCAGAGGATCGTAGATACAGGGTTAGTAGACAGTAGTACACTTTCAGAGGATCGTAGATACAGGGGTTAGTAGACAGCAGTACACTTTCAGAGGATCGTAGATACAGGGGTTAGTAGACAGAAGTACACTTTCAGAGGATCGTAGATACAGGGGTTAGTAGACAGTAGTACACTTTCAGAGGATCGTAGATACAGGGTTAGTAGACAGTAGTACACTTTCAGAGGATCGTGAGATACAGGGGTTAGTAGACAGTAGTACACTTTCAGAGGATCGTAGATACAGGGGTTAGTAGACAGTAGTACACTTTCAGAGGATCGTAGATACAGGGGTTAGTAGACAGTAGTACACTTTCAGAGGATCGTCAGATACAGGGGTTAGTAGACAGTAGTACACTTTCAGAGGATCGTAGATACAGGGATTAGAGATACAGGGGTTAGTAGACAGTAGTACACTTTCAGAGGATCGTAGATACAGGGGTTAGTAGACAGTAGTACACTTTCAGAGGATCGTAGATACAGAGGATCAAAGGGGTTAGTAGACAGTAGTACACTTTCAGAGGATCGTAGATACAGGGGTTAGTAGACAGTAGTACACTTTCAGAGGATCGTAGATACAGGGGTTACTTTCAGAGGATCAAAGATACAGGGAACAGTACACTTTCAGAGGATCGTAGATACAGGGGTTAGTAGACAGTAGTACACTTTCAGAGGATCGTAGATACAGGGGTTAGTAGACAGTAGTACACTTTCAGAGGATCGTAGATACAGGGGTTAGTAGACAGTAGTACACTTTCAGAGGATCGTAGATACAGGGGTTAGTAGACAGTAGTACACTTTCAGAGGATCGTAGATACAGGGGTTAGTAGACAGTAGTACACTTTCAGAGGATCGTAGATACAGGGGTTAGTAGACAGTAGTACACTTACAGAGGATCATAGATACAGGGGTTATAGTAGAAAATTTTGCATTTTTAGAAGAAAGCCGATGGCTAGTTAGCTCCTAAGGAAACACCTTGTCATCATTGTGAGTGCCCTGTGACACGTTTGAAAAAAAAGAAACATTTCCCTGTTATCTATATCAACTGCTGCGTATTCACTCAAAACTTTCGAGGACAGGATTTCTGAATATTCCCTCATTATATTCCATTATTAACCAGAATAGCTTTTATCATGTGTTGACATGTTTAGACAACTCATAAAAAAACCTGTTGAACATTATTCAGGAATCTTACGTCTTTCTTGGGGGAAAAATTGAGTTTGAGTTATTTTTCTAGCCAGGAGATGATGAATATACGATTGTCCCCAACTCCAAGTTTGTGGTATCTCGTACAGCATCGAAGGACAACAGCTCCAGCTATTCTGTGGATGGGAAGCGAGCCACGTACAAGGAAGTGGCCAAGTTTCTCAGATCTAGTGGCATAGACCTCGACCACAATCGTTTCCTCATTCTACAGGTTTGCTGGTTTTGTATCTCACTGAAGTTAATAAAGCATTGCATGTTGAACATTTTAGACTTCATTGTAGCCACGGTTTTAGATTTTGGAAATTTTGGATCCAAACAAGGAAGTGACCTTCTGTTATAAGCACAAGGCATCACGCAGGCTTTGTATTTTGTTTGCTGTTGTCACCCTGCGACTCTATTTTAATGCTAAAGATCCCCATGACTTGTAAATATATTGATAAGCTAATTTCAGTATAACACGTATATCATGCATTTATTCCTAAATTTCAAACACTGACAGTTAAAGTGGTTGAATGGACCTTTGTAAATATTTCAAGTTGTCCAAAGTTTGACACAAAACACACAACTGCAAAATGATGACAAAATAAGGAATATATGGGTATAATAAGAGACCCACAGTGTTCTTGTTAACACAAAAACCTGTGCGCTTCACGCAAATATTTTCTACCTGCGTGTTTTGCGCGCAAAGCATTTTGTGTTCTGGGAACAAGTAACCGAAAAACATTTTCCCCAAGGAAACAACTAAATAAAATATAGTTTCTCTCAGCTAATTTAACTTGCTAATGATGACAACATGCTCTAAAATGCAACAAAATGACGTCTAAATTTCAAAAGTTTACGGGGGAGACCCCGCACCTGTCTAGAGATCTTGCCGCACTCTAGCTCAGGCATACATCTGTGGTGCATGCACACGCAAGATACTTGGGGCTGTGCATTTTAGGAACACAAAGGTTTTTTTCTTACCGTGAACACTGGACCCAACTTTTAGCTTGAGACAAATGTAACAACAGCAATGTTTGACTGAATTCAACTTGAACAAGTTTGAAATGATTGCCCCAATGATTCCATCTGTTTGTGTGCAGGGCGAGGTGGAGCAGATAGCCATGATGAAGCCAAAGGCACTCACAGAACACGAAGACGGGATGCTGGAGTTTCTGGAGGACATCATCGGCAGTAACCGTTTCAAGGAACCCATTGAAGTATTGTCAAAGAGGGTTGAGGCTCTCGGCGAGATGAGAGCTGAGAAGGTAGGGTGAAAATGTTCATGTGATGCTCACTTGTTGAGTAATGAATACAATAACAATTATTCGATATGTTCATTGATGACACAAGTTAGGTTTGATGATAAGGCTATTAGACAGACAGACAGACAGACAGACAGACAGACAGACAGACAGACAAAATAGTTTATTTATGTGTCACGTGAATGTACATGTCAAAAATGGCATTGGTAAAAAGACATAGAAAAATACAGACACCAGGCCAGATGGCCAACGAGACACACTAGACAATATGTGCATAAAATGTGTAGAATATAAGATTAAAACATTAAGGAGTATTAGAATGCAGCTGACCTGATAACACCTGGACTGTAATAGAAAGACAATAGATGGGCTTGGATACTGATTAGCTTGGACTCGACTGAGTGGACTAGACTGATTGAAGGGCACAGGTAGTTGACTTCAGGCAGTGGCCAGGAGAGGATGTATTATGCTGGTGAGTAGATATATAGCTGAATTTACAATTTACACAATAAGAAATACATAATTTGTCATGATTTGATCATGTTGAAAGGGGGCGGTGGGGTAGCCTAATGAATCATTAAAGCGACTGCTCGTCACGCTGAATACCCGGGTTCGATTCCCCACATGGGTACAATGTGTGAAGACCATTTCTGGTGTTCCGTGCTGTGATATTGAATTAATATTGCTAAAAGCGGTGTAAAACCATACTCACTCACTCATGTTGTCAGTGTCATTTGTCACGGGAGGGTACGTAAGATCCAAAAACTTTCAAAGTAAATTTAGGCTTGCCACGTTTTTTATCGTAGAATATTTGTGCTTTTAATTTATGGCTAGATTTCTCTTCTGTCGCCAATGGCTGTGGGGATGGTGTAAATCCAACTAGGGTCCATGCAGGTAGCAAAAGTAATGTAAGTCCCCATGGTCCCTGGTATGGTGATCTACCTTCAGTTATTGGCGACTTATAGCCCATTTTTATAGTGTATTGTTTTTCCCTATAGTTAAAACGTTTTAGATTAATTACTAGTTTTACATACATATCTGTGATATTCTAGTTGTTTTACTGTTAAAACGTACATAATTTGTCATGATTTGATCATGTTGAAAGGGGGCGGTGGGGTAGCCTAATGAATCATTAAAGCGACTGCTCGTCACGCTGAATACCCGGGTTCGATTCCCCACATGGGTACAATGTGTGAAGACCATTTCTGGTGTTCCGTGCTGTGATATTGAATTAATATTGCTAAAAGAGTCGGCAGGTGTTTTACAATATACATATATTTCATTTTAATATCAAATGTTCTCGTCACGATATGGCTGAAATATTGCCGATGTGACGTTAAATATTAACTCACTCACTCACTCATTTGTCACGGCAATGACCAGTGACCATATTATTGTTATATTAAACATACAAACAAGAATGTTGACTGTTATCCTGTTTGTCTTGGATATATTCTAGTTTGCATTTTTTGTTTTAATAAATAACACCTGAATCCAAGTAAAACCTCTCACCTTTAGAAACTTCATGAACATTTGATTGTTGCGATCACAAATAATGAGTTGAATTCATGTAGGGATCCAAGACGTTTCCTGTGTTTATTTTCAGTTGAATCGTGTGAAGGCTGTAGAGAAAGAGAAGGATGACCTGGAGGGTCCTAAGAATGAAGCCGTGGAATTCCTCACCATGGAGAACAGTATCGTGAAGCTGAAGAACAAGCTGTACCAAAAATACATGTGAGTGGAACAACTTCCAGGGAATAGGGGGCGGTGGAGTAGCCTAGTGGTTAAGGCGTTCACTCATCATGTCGAAGGCCTGGGTTCGATTCCTCACAAGGGTACAATGTGTGAAGCCCATTTCTGGTGTCCCCTTCGGGATATTGCTGGAATATTCCTAAAATTGGCATAAAACTAAACTTGCTCACTTCCAGGGTGTCGCAGTTTGCCGTGTTGCTTTGAATCTTGCTTTGCACTGATTATGCTCCCAAGTGTGTCACTTTAATCTTTTACATCCTGTATATAACTAAAATACTGTTCAAGGCATTGATAAACCAAACTTGATCACTCAGGCATTTATCCAGGGTTCCAAACTAAACGTTCTTGGCAATACAATTTGGGAATTGTATTTTGTTTAGTTAACAGTTGCATTTTTTTTTTAGTTGTGTTCTGAAAGTCAGTGTTATTTTAACATAGCTTTCAATGAAATAATCTGAAAGTAAACATCGGCATGATTAAGACATCGTCCAGGGCTAAGATCTCGTAACTTTTCTCGTAGTATTCTTACTTCCTATACTCTAACATTGACTTATGATAGTCGTAGCGCTACGAGAGCTTTGTGAAACGGGGACCAGGTGACTAAACCATGACTGGTTTGTTAAGTCCCATTCTAGTCACATCTACACTGTGTTAGCATTATTAGTACATCCTTTACATAAACAGGAAGCAGGGCTCCAGATAAGGGCCGTATCGGCGTATGTACGGATAAAAAATATGCACGACACGGTAGCAAATAATTTAGAAAACGTAGCACATACGCACCACAGCAATGGTGTACGGTCTTGGAATCATTTACAGACGTATATTTATCTGAAAGAGTGTTGTTTTATTGTAGATTGACCTGTTTACACAGGAGTAGCAGTATTGTGGTGCATATAATAAACGAAACACAAGATTACTGACACGCCATTAAATTCCATTCAGTACTCAAATTGTACTCTTAAGTTTATCCAGTACTCCAATATTGAAAAAATAAGGAGTACGTACTCCCTGATGTTGAAAAATTATCTGGAGCCCTGAGGAAGGTTGCTGTTTCAATTTGACAGATTAGAGGTGCCATGATACATTATAAATTGTTCACTTGTCTCGAGGGGGACATGGGCTGATGTACCATCGATGTTTGTTTATATTGCCTGAGCCCGAAGGGCGAGGAGAACATAAAGAAACATCGAGGGTACATCAACCCATAGGTCCCGAGGGACCAGTGAACAACGTATTTATCTTACTGAACACCTCAATGGGAATTTTGAACTGTTTGAAGCATGGGTATCGGATCATAGTATGGAGGACAAGACGACAAGAAAAACAAATTTAGAGTCATCTCTCTCCCATTGATTTGCATTCGCAGAACATCGGTAATTTCCGTACATCAATGTTATTCGAGATAAAGAATTGCTACTACAAAGTACCAAATGAGTTCGGCATTTCCAGCGGGGTACATAGAAAATGTTACTCACTTGCAAGAGGGGTACATTGAAAATAATAGAAGAGCACTCACCCAATCAGAAAATGACATTTATGTGTGAGGCAAGATAAAGTGTAGGGTGAGACACAGTGTGTGCCGATTTTGTATGATATTCTCCATGTTCCTGTCAGTCAGCTAACAACATGAACAAGTTGTTTATCAACCAGTTCCTAATTAACTTGCATGACTGCTTTATTTAGGAAGAGAGCTTTTATGGATGTCAACTTCTTTATTATGAGGAACACGTTTCGGAGTATATCCTTTCTCCTTCATCAGGTAAATAATAAAGAAGTCCACACCCATAAAAACTCTCTTCCTTATGTGTATCACTTCTAAATGCCATTCAAAGACATTGTGCTGTATTTAGGTTTGTTCTTACAGTTTTGTACTAGAGACTGCTGATATAGAATGTTTCTTGCCATACAATACAAGGAAATCTCTTGCTTTATTAATACAAGACATAGAATTTGTACTTGTTCAGTCTTATTACAAAATACAGACTTGAATCAGTTCATAGATAGGCACTCATCTACTACAGAGGCCCAGATAAGCTGCGTATCCGGGTAAAATACGCATAGAAAATTTCCAATTACGCATTGAAAAATAATTGTTGCGTACCAATTACACATTTAAAATGTCAGATACGCAAAAAGTTTAATACAAATGCGTACGGAATATATTGATAAAAATCGTTCGTGTAATGGAAAAAGACATCAATTGCTATCAAGTTGTACTGTCAGTATAGGATGAGTGATGTTTTATGAAATCATTTCCATTATATTTAAGTTGGTTTTGCTTCGGTATGACATAAGGCAGAACATACCTGCTTAGTAAACTTACTCAATGACATAATACTTAGGTGAGTAAAATGACTGAAATACGTGAAATATGTGAAATATGCAGATATATGAAAGCAGTGGGTAACGGAAAATGAAATACCCACTCAAAATTCATAATACCCACTCCAAAAAAATACAGTGGGTACAGTACCCACATAAGCTAAATCTTATCTGGAGCTCTGCTACTATATTGTGATTGAAAAATTTGTAGTGCATTGATACATCTGTAAATTGTAACGACTACAGAACCGACAGAGTTCAGTGTTCAAAATAATCGCTTGTCTCCTGCCTGAGGCTCTGTTTGTCTTGCACCTTTTAGAACATGATTTCCAGCTGGCTGATACTTTTGTCTAGATAAAATGAAGTATATAATATAATACATGTTATAAATAACTGACCCTATAAAATGTGTATAATTCTTCTCATCCATAGTTATTTATCTTCATTGTTCAGTGCAGCATGAATATAAATCTAAGGTTTTTATTTTTTATTCAAGAATGACAATTTATTAGCCTATCCAGTCAGGGCTGGAATCTCTCTGAACTTAAGGACTGCTAATAGTGCTATGTATGTATGTATGTTATCCAGTGGAGAGTGTGCAGTGAATGAGGAGAAGGCTACCAAAGAGTATGACAAGATCAACGATAGCATGAAGGAAGTGAACTCCAAACTGGAGGAAATCAATGCAGCCAAGAAAGAGAAGGGGAAGGATCACAAGAAAATATACAAGTAAGATGTGATGGCTTATCTTGTGTGATTAATTATTTTTCCTTATCCTGACTCATGCTTATTGCTTGTCTCCCTTTCCTTCCGAATGCTAGTGGAACACTTGAATCCCCTTTTGAAGCTCCCTTAAAAAAAGCGGACGTAAAATCACTTACCAGGATTCATCTCCCTTCCCCAGGCTTTGGCGGGAAAACGGCGCCACCTGTCACCATGCTCCTCACTCTCTCCTGATTTGAATACCATATCACCCTGATTATTATATGTCGGCTTCTTAAACACACACACACACACACACACACACACACCCACACACACACACATATCATATTATGGTCGTCCCTTTTTGATATATATGCAATTGCATTCGAAAACAACAGGGTTTACAAAATATCCACAATATGATTGTACCGCCTTTTTTGTTTACATAAAAAAAAAAAGTTCAACATTTTACCATAAGAGGATCTAAATTCATTTTAGCCTTGAAAACACCCTAATTGCCAGTGATTTGACCTAAAAAAGGCCCTATATTTAGCTTAGCTATGATTTTACAGGAAACTAATGCATAATAAAACCACCTTGCAATGATAGTCATGTAAACTAGTCTCCATTGCAAAGCAGAACTTTCCCAGTGCAGCAATATAAATAAGAGTTATTTCCCCCTGATGGTTGGTCCCACTTATGTGTTTCAATTCTTGATTTGGCCCTGAAAGGCCCTTAAATTTGATGGGTGATAATTTGTATGAACCCTGTTGTTATATACATCCATTATTGCTGTTTAAATTCAATTTTGAGATAGAGACATTAGAGCTACAGATAACTTTTTGGGTCATTGAGTTATGTACTTGCTTGTGTTCATCTCAATTGGGTATCCTAAATTTTTAACTAATCCTGCACTACTTAATTTTCCTGTGCCAGATGATTGAGTTGAAAGCCGTGAGACTGTGATCACTTCCTGGTCTCGGTAAACATCCGTCTCAAATCACCGAAGGTGACGCCAGCCACCTCAAATTCAATTGCAAGGGTAGATTTTACTAATTTTCCATTAATTGTAAAAATCAAATCAGTTGGGTATTTTGAAGTAAAATGTAATGAAGTTTAAATGTTATTTATATTTGATCTGTTATATGAGAAACTATAAGAAAGACTGCAAGTTGCCTAGTTCATGTGTTGAAATAGAACCTCTCAATGCACCTCAGTTATTTTATCTATCTATCAGTACGCTAGCTAAGATTTGACAGTTTTGTGTGTACGCATGTAAGATCAAATATATTGAGTATTTACAAAAATTCAAACGTTCTTGTAAGCAACAAACTCGGTAAGAATTGAGTTTTCACATAAATGTTTGCGTAATTTACGCAGATACGCAGCTTGTCTGTACCTCTGAGACATCAAATATATCAAAGGGGTGTTCATATTGGAGAAAATTATTGTGTTTGGTGAACAAATGAGCACATCTCAAAATCTTCATTGTTCTTTTATTTCACTTTTGAATAAGAACAACATTTCCCTCCCTGGTGCAGTGTTCACTTTTTGAATAGCGTCTGACCCTCTGACAAATCTGGCAGATTCGAAAAAGGTCTGATAGAAGTCTGGTGCTGGACCCAGTGTCTGACTGTATGTTTCACAATGACTTTGACTCAAGTTGTTATATGTGACATGTGACACTTGTTTGCTGTTTGTAAATCTTATACTTGTGTAGAATAATTTAATGCCAATTATAGACAAATGTGTAATTCTACTTGTACGCGGTGCATTCCTGGTGTAGATGTAATTTTGTATGTTTCTGACCCTGGTGTAGATGTACTACTTGTATGTTTCAGGGAGTACGAGACCCTGGTGTAGATGTACTACTTGTATGTTTCAGGGAGTACGAGACCCTGGTGTAGATGTACTACTTGTATGTTTCAGGGAGTACGAGACCCTGGTGTAGATGTACTACTTGTATGTTTCACACGAGACCCTGGTGTAGATGTACTACTTGTATGGGAGTACGAGACCCTGGTGTAGATGTACTACTTGTATGTTTTCACGGAGACCCTGGTGGATGCAGGAGACCCCGGTGTAGATGTACTACTTGTATGTTTCAGGGAGTACGAGACCCTGGTGTAGATGTACTACTTGTATGTTTCAGGGAGTACGAGACCCTGGTGTAGATGTACTACTTGTATGTTTCAGGGAGTACGAGACCCTGGTGTAGATGTACTACTTGTATGTTTCAGGGAGTACGAGACCCTGGTGTAGATGTACTACTTGTATGTTTCAGGGAGTCTGAGACCCTGGTGAAGCAGTGCGAGGAGACCAAGAATGAGTTCAAGGAGTTCGAGCGTCAGGATGTGAAGTGTCGCGAGGATCTGAAACACTCCAAGGCCAAGGCTAAGAAACTAGACAAGACACTGGATCAGGAGACGAAAAAGGTTTTATTTGTTTGTTGTTTAATGCGACATTCAGCAATTTGCCAGAAAATTTGGTCCCATGAGATTCAAACAACAGCAATCTTGTATACATAAGCCGAAGTCAGTCAATGAGAAGTTGATTGGTGTAGCAAACCTAATCCAATTAACAAACCAGCGGCTCACACCTTTCCGCCTTTGACGGGTGAGTTCAAAAGGCAGATTAGTGATTTTACGGAAATCACTGTCTGTGCTAATCAGACTGAACTGATAAGGTGCCCCTATTAGTGATAGGGAAATCATTAGATAAACACATGCTTAGGCGGAGGAATTAGGACTGGATCATATATTTTTCTACCCTCATAGACATACCTATGTCTCGAATACATCGATAAGTCGAATATATTACTTGGTCCCCAGAGATTCGCCTCATCGGGATTTGACAGTATATATTTGCAGTCTGTAAATAATTGAGTCTGGACCAGAAAATCCAGTGATTGACATCATGAGCATCATGTAGGAAACTACCGTGATGTTCATCAACCAAGTCAGCAAGCCTGAACTTGTGAGAAAGATAGCACAATGTGACATTTCTTAATTAAATGATTAGAGGTTCCAGAAGATGTGCCTGACTATCGCGGTATGTTGTCAGATTAACATCCACAATATTGGCATGGTCATCGATATTGAGTCATACCAACATGCAGCTGTATTTCAGGATTGTTTAATTCACATAGTTGACGTGAATCCTCTTAGTCACCACCAAATACTGTACAGAGCTGCCTGCCAGGAACCTGGGATCATGGGTTTGAATCCCGGCTTTAGCTATATTCCAGCAATATCACAGCAGGGGACACTAGATATGGGCTTCACATATCGTACCCTATTACACATGTGGGGAATTGAACCCTTGTCTTCGATGTGACGAGCAATTGCTTTTCTTGGCTAGGCTACCCTACCATCCCCCTATGAGTTAGCATCATTATGCTAGTTTAGGTGCAGTAAAACTAGATCATCTGTGCGTTTTGATAATGTATGTTTTTAAAGATAAGAACTTGACATAGAATAAAAATCATTTTTACTGGTTTATCAAAACTTTGATTGCTTCGACATTGGACCTTCTGAGCAATTTTTGCTTATTTCAGTTAATAATCTTTAATTCTGTTTGTGTACAGATCGAGGAACTGAGAGCTGTGCCAGAAGAAAGCGAGAAAGCAATTGCTGGTCTGAAGAAAAAACTGGAAAAACTAGAAGCGGACAAAGCCAAGGAGGAAGAAAAAGTGAAGGATGTCATGGAGAGTCTGAAGACAGAGACAAAGGTGGGAGACAAAGGTGGGTTGTGGAGGGTCTGAAGACAAAGGTGGGTTGTGGAGGGTGGGTTGTGGAGGGTCTGAAGACAAAGGTGGGTTGTGTGGGTCTGAAGACAAAGGTTGGTTGTGGGGGTCTGAAGACAAAGGTGGGTTGTGGAGGGTCTGAAGACAAAGGTGGGTTGTGGGGGTCTGAAGACAAAGGTTGGTTGTGGAGGGTCTGAAGACAAAGGTGGGTTGTGGGGGTCTGAAGACAAAGGTGGGTTGTGGGGGTCTGAAGACAAAGGTGGGTTGTGGAGGGTCTGAAGACAAAGGTGGGTTGTGGAGGGTCTGAAGACAAAGGTTGGTTGTAGAGGGTCTGAAGACAAAGGTGGGTTGTGGAGGGTCTGAAGACAAAGGTGGGTTGTGGAGGGTCTGAAGACAAAGGTGGGTTGTGGAGGGTCTGAAGACAAAGGTTGGTTGTGGGGGGTCTGAAGACAAAGGTGGGTTGTGGGGGTCTGAAGACAAAGGTGGGTTGTGGGGGTCTGAAGACAAAGGTGGGTTGTGGAGGGCTGTGAAGACAAAGGTGGGTTGGGTCTGAAGACAAAGGTGGGTTGTGGAGGGTCTGAAGACAGGTGGGTTGGTTGGTCTGAAGAGGGTCTGAAGACAAAGGTGGGTTGTGGAGGGTCTGAAGACAAAGGTGGGCTGTGGAGGGTCTGAAGACAAAGGTGGGTTGTGGGGTCTGGAAGACAAAGGTGGGTTGTGGAGGGTCTGAAGACAAAGGTGGGTTGTGGAGGGTCTGAAGACAAAGGTTGGTTGTGGGGGTCTGAAGACAAAGGTGGGTTGTGGAGGGTCTGAAGACAAAGGTTGGTTGTAGAGGGTCTGAAGACAAAGGTTGGTTGTGGGGGTCTGAAGACAAAGGTGGGTTTTGGAGGGTCTGAGGACGGACAGGTTGGTTGTGGAGGGTGTGAAGACAGGTGGGTTGTGCAGGGTCTGAAGACAAAGGTGGGTTGTGTGTGTCTGAAGACAAAGGTTGGTTGTGTGTGTCTGAAGACAAAGGTGGGTTGTGGAGGGTCTGAAGACAAAGGTGGGTTGTGTGTGTCTGAAGACAAAGGTTGGTTGTGGGGGGTCTGAAGACAAAGGTGGGCTGTGGAGGACTGAAGAAGGTGGGTTGTGGAGAGTCTGAAGACAAAGGTGGGTTGTGGGAGGGTCTGAAGACAAAGGTGGGTTGTGGGGGTCTGAAGACAAAGGTGGGTTGTGGGGTCTGAAGACAAAGGTGGGTTGTGGAGGGTCTGAAGACAAAGGTGGGTTGTGGGTGTCTGAAGACAAAGGTTGGTTGTGTGTGTCTGAAGACAAAGGTGGGTTGTGGAGGGTCTGAAGACAAAGGTGGGTTGTGTGTGTCTGAAGACAAAGGTTGGTTGTGGGGGTCTGAAGACAAAGGTGGGTTGTGGAGGGTCTGAAGACAAAGGTGGGTTGTGGAGGGTCTGAAGACAAAGGTGGGTTGTTGGGGTCTGAAGACAAAGGTGGGTTGTGGAGAGTCTGAAGACACAGGTGGGTTGTGGGGGCGTCTCAAAACAGACAGGTGTGTTTTCAGGGGTCTTAAAGCAGACAAGTGGATTGTGGGGGGTCTAAAGACAGACAAGGGTGGATTGTGGGAGGTCTCAAGAAATAGGGGGCTGTGGGGTAGCCTAGTGGTTAAAGCGTTGGCTCGTCACGCCGAAGACCCAGGTTCGATTTCCCACATGGGCACAATGTGTGAAGCCCATTTGTGTTGTCCCCTGCCGTGATGTTGCTGAAATATTGCTAAAAGGGGCATAAAACTAAACTCACTCACTGACTCAAGAAATAGATGGGTCATGGGGCTCTGTGAAATAGAATCTCACCTGTGTGACCTTTGCAATGAAATATATCATGAGATAAAAACTCCTCAGCAAGCCTTGGATTTTAAAACTTTTTGCATATATATATTTGATATCAAAAGACACTTGAGTATATTATTGTCAGCAGAGTACCCGTTAACAGACCATTATCAGTTGAAAGAATTTCCTCAACTCAAATTCAAGCCACAGATTGCTCTATGTTAGACGTTGTGTTTTAGCACCTAAAATACTTTATATATTGCAGCTGTGGTTTGATAAATATAGATAAATAGGACATTTCTGTATTTACTATGACATGTTTCAGGGCCTACAAGAGGAGAAAGATGGGAAGGAAGAGAAGCTGTTGGATTTACAAAAGAGTGTCAATGAAACCAAGTCAAAGGTAGGCATCAACAAAAGATTTGAAGAGTTTGGCCTCCGACAGGTGCTTATTGTTCCCAGACATCCTGGTGCCATGTGCATGTCTTCCTTGGTTCAGTTTCCTGCATCAATACTTCAAGGGCTTGTCCACTAGTCTGCAGCAAAGTCTGTTTTCCAGCATTGGCATTTCATGTTCTACACTTTTACACTTCAGCAATAATCTAATCTATTGTCATAATTAACCTACCTGTGAAGATCTGGGTTAGAACTGGTCTTCAGCAACTCTTGCTTGTTGTAGAAAATGACTAATGGGATTGGGTGGTCAGTCATGCTGACTTGGTTAACACTTGTCATCATATCAAATTGCGTAGAACGATGCTCATGCTGTTGATCACTGGATTGTCTGGTGCAGACTCGATTATTTACAGACTATCGTCTGTCTATAGCTGGAATGTTGCTTAGTGTGGCGTTAAACAACAAACCAAAATCATAATCAACCCTGAATTATTACCATGTACAATAAATTAAGACATGTTTTTGCCTGATATATGTATAACAAAGATGTGTAGTGTAGAATGCAAACATAGACATTGTGCTATATGAAAGTAATTTTAATTCAGCCTGTATAGATCCTCTACACATGGTACAAATTTGAAGCAAAATGGAAAAAAGGCATATGGGAAAAAGGCTTATAAAACCCAGGCTGCACAAGCCAGTTGAATCTGGTACCAGTGCAGTTTTTTCAAATTGAAATTGTATTAATACAAGTTTTGTGTATTATTTTGAATATTAGAGACATGTACTGAGGATGATTTCTTCTCCCTCAGCTTCAAGTAGCTCAGTCTGAGTTGGACCTGTATCTTAGCAACCAGCAGACGGCGACCAACAAGCTGGAGGAGATGCAGAAGAACCTCAGCAAGGCTGAAACAACCATTAAGGAAAGGAAGAGGTACATCTTAGAATCTAACTGAAATTAATAGCCTCCCAGCTAGGGCTGGAACCAATATGTCAGGATTGTCATCAGGGGTGGAAATAACCCTTTGCCCGACGCCCGAGTCCAGTGTTTTTTTCTGTCGGCCAACCATATTTGTATATCACACTGTACCGGTGTCCAGTTGACTTTCCAATGTTAATTATGTTGTTTATTTAAAAAATCAACAAGAAAATCGGCCAGTATAGTGGAAAAATTATCAGGGCAAGTGATTTTACTTGTGCCACTGTACCGCTATTTGAGCTGAACACTAGCACAGCCCATTTTTGTAAGTTATTTTCGCCCTGGTCATCAGCCCTGTACCGGATAGACACTGGTCTCAAGTCTTACTGTTCACTACACAAAGATGTGAGGACATCCCCTGGACCCGTGAAGATCCGGGTTAAAATTGATCCTCAGTAACCCATGCTTGTAAGAGGCAACTAATGCAGGGATGGAAATAACCCATTGCCCGACGTCCCAGTCCAGTGTTTTTTTCTGTCAGGCAAGCAAATTTTTATATCACGTTGTACTGGTGTCCAGTTGACTTTCCAATGTTAATTATGTTGCTAATTTAAAAAATCAACAAGTAAATTGGCTGGTATAGTGGAAAAATTATCAGGGAAAGTGATTTTACATGTGCCTCTGTACCAGAGTACGCTAGCTGGAATAGCTGAGTGCGGCGTAAAACTAAACTCACACATTCACTGAAGACATCCCATAACAGGTCAGGTGCGGTGGGGTAGCCTTGTGGTTAAAGCGCTCACTCGTCACGCCAAAGACCCAGGTTTTATTCCCCACATGGGTACAATGTGTGAAGCCCATTTCTGGTGTTCCCCCCTGCCTTGATATTGCTGCAATATTGCTAAAAGTGGTGTGAAATTAAACGCACTCACCCGTAACAGGTCATGTCGAAACGACCTTTTTCTGATCCTACTGCCTTGAAAAGATTGACACAAGGAAATCCAACAACAGTTATGTCATTGAAGATGTGAGTGCATGGCCTCAGATCAGTCTCACAATGTGTTCATTCTTTCAAAGCATGGTCATACCTGCTTGAGGCCTGCAGAAAAAGAAATTACAGAAGGAAATCAACCTCAGAGTCTGCGTTTGTTTCCCAAAAACTGTCTGGTAGCTTTTCGCCATGCTGACATTTTGTTTTAAAATATTTTTTATTTGTATGAATCATGAATATTGTGTAAATTTTGTTTGGTTTTCTTAAATTTGTAAGTGTGCAAATAATAATGTACCCTGAAAAGGAAATGTTTGTTCTTGTTTGGCTGTGAGATATACTACTGACTGGAATAAATCCCTTATTTGTATTTCAGTGGAATTGCTGAGCTGGAGAAGACCATCCCTGAAGTAGAGAAACTGGTGGCCAAATGCAAGAAGGACTTAGAATCAGCCGTCAGTGTTGAAACTAAGTCTACAGAAGAGGTATGTGCGACTTGTGAAACAAAGTGTATATGAAAGGGGGGTTGACTACCTTAATCAACATCTTTGGTAACACTTTACAGGAATGGTCAGGTCCAAATTGTCAGTGGATCATTTTGGACTTAATAATAATAGTGCATATTTACAATGCGCTCATTTCCATGCTGGCAGCATGCTCAAGGCATGTGAAATATTGCGTTTCTATTGACGTTTTGTTCAACAGTCTCAGGCTAATAGACCCGTGAAGGTCTGGGTTAGAATGAACCTTCAGTAACCCATGCTTGTCGTAAGAGGCGACTAACGGGATTGGGTGGTCAGGCTTGCTGACTTGGTTGATACATGTCGTCGGTTCCCAATTGCGCAGATTGATGCTCATGCTGTTGATCACTGGATTGTCTGGCCCAGACTCGATTATTTACAGACCGCCGTCATATAGCTGGAATATTGCTGAGTACGGCATAAAACTAAACTCACTCACTCACTCACTCAGGCTAACAGAGTTCTGGCTGTGTCTGTCCCTTATTTTCCAATTGTTTGTCTGAGCCAACAACCTGGCAACAGAGACAATGGGTCAGCACTAAGATATGTCTCTGGACTTCTAAAATATTGACTAGACAGTATATGTATGACTCAATTAATTGCAGTCCAGTTTGTCCAGCACAGTATGTCTCAATATAGCCCTCACTTTCAAGAGCTGCCAGTTAGGCATTAAGCAATGATTATGATTGCATAACACGTTTGATGGATAACAACTTCCTTTTTAGTCTTTATACAGCGTTTCTGAGCTAATTCTGGGTCCTTCATGAGGTGAATGCTGAAGGAGCAATAGTTAGCTCTGAAACACTGTATAAAGAATAAAAAGGAAGTTGTTATGCATAAAAACGTGTCATGTATTCATGTTCGTCCAACTTCTTAATGCCTTTCAAGAACTTTCAAGTGATTAGTCTCTCAATATAATATGGGGTGAGGGAGCTAGACCAGTGGTTAAAGTGTCCGCTCGTCATGCCGATGGCCCGGGTTCGAACCCTCACATGGGTACAATGTGTGAAGCCCATTTCTAGTGTCCCCTTGACGTGATAACGCTGGAACCATACTAACTCACACAATATAATATGGGGTGAGAGGGTTAGACCAGTGGTTAAAGGGTTTGCTTGTTATGCTGAAGACAAAGGTTCATTTCCCCACATGGGAACATTTGTGTCACTCATTTCTGGCACCCCCCTGCAGTCATCATCTTCATCATCATCATCATCATCAATTTCTAATTCTACCTCAATATTTTGTGTCAATAAGTCATTAATCTTCTAAGGATACCAGAGACAAATACACTTACAGTAACATTGTGAATGAGATTCAGTGATTGTAGTATCTTGCTGTCTGTGTTAATCTGATCAATTTATCTGTAGGTTCGTGTTCTGAGAGGCAAGGTGGAGGACGCCCGCAACTCAATGCAGTCCGCCAAGAGACAGGGCCGGGTGATTGAAGCATTGATGGAGCAGAAAAAGTCTGGCAAACTGCCAGGGATTCAAGGCAGATTGGTATGGTGGCTTGCAGTTAACTTCATCTGAAAATGATTCTGTGAGATGTTTTTGTCAGATGATAAAATACCTGATAGCCGAATTATCATTGGTTGATCCGAAATTCCCAGTTAAAATTGGTCCGAGGCACACCAAGCAAGTGACTTATGGGATCTGGCGGTCAGAGCTGCTGACTTGGTTCATTGATGTCAATGTCTCCCAGTGATGTAGATCGATGCTGATGATGTAAATCATTTAATTGTGTGGTCCTGGCTAGAGTATTTACAGACTGCTGTCAAAAAACAGGAATATTGATGAATGCTACTCAGATAGCAACAAAGTCTAACAACAATCATATCAGCACTTATTAGATTCTTTGTAAGTTGTACTTATGTTATGTTGTTTTTAGGCTTTCATTTTGAAAATAGATGTCATGTGAAACAAACGTCAACAATAATGGACAAAGTTTACAAAGTAAAGTTTTACAAATTTACAGAAAAAGTTAATGAGTTAATGAAACATATCTGTGAACAACCCTGACATGGCATGCAATGTAAGAATACATCCTGAAGTACACCAGGGTACACTGAAGGACAGCTTTCCCATGTTTGTTGTTTAATGCGGGTACTCTGCAATATTCCATCTATATGGTGGAGTAGTGTTGGGAATTGGTGTAAATCTCATAATTAATGATTGGTTCATTACAACCGATCAATCATCGAAAATAATTGGTTAGCGTCATTTATCAAATTTTCATGGTTATGTTTGTTAATGCACAAAAAATAAAGAAAGAGCATGTAGTTCTCTCGTTTTTTTCCGCAAATTGCTCAAAATGCATTTGCAAATTTCACATCTTTAAAGGATGACTAGTGAGTTAGGAACATACATTTCCTGAAGTTGTTAAGATAAACTTAATCATGACTTGGAACGAGCTTGTAGTGCTTATGCAATGTCGAGACAAAATCAACCTTTTGAAAAATATTGTTATTGTAAACAAGTGGTCCAAAATTGTTTGTGTTCGATCATGAGAAAACATGATCGATTGTTTGGTCGTGTTGTCATTGTGACCAATCTTCGATTATTTCAATTAATCGGACCACCACTATGGTGGAGGTCTGTAAATATTCGAGTCTGGACCAGACAATCCAGTGATCAACATCATGAGCATGGGATATGATGACACGTGACAAGTGCAGCAAATCTGACTACCCGATCCCGTTAGTTGCCTCTTACGATAATTGTGGGTTGCTTAAAACCAATTCTAACCCAGATCTTCACAGGGACCCAAGTTGATCGGTTGTATGTGTTGTTACTATGTATATTAACTGTCAAGTCGATATTTACCCTTTACTGTTTGGTGTTTCAAGCGAAGTAGCATCCCTTTGTATCACTTAGTGTCTATTCAAAGGATCATCGACCACCTCCGTGGTGTAGTGGTTAGAGCATCCACCCGGAGAGCGGAAGGTCGTGGGTTCGATCCCCGGCCGCGTCATACCAAAAGACGTTAAAATATGGTACTTGTTGGTCCCTGCCTGGCGTTTGGCATTAATGGGTACAACAAGGACTGGTCGGCTCGGAGTCAGTATAATGTGTCTGAGTGGGGTATTCATGCTTCACTGCGACATGGTATCTGAGTTGGCTAGCACTATAAAACCAGCTTCAGTCTGGGCTAGTACAAGCAGCCGCACATACACATACACACGCATGCACGTCGTCATATGAGCGAAATATTCTCAAGCACGACGTTAAACCCAATTTCACCTCACCTCACCTCAAAGGAGCATAAGACTGGTGTTCCGACCAACTCATCATATCCTGTGTGATGTTTACACAGGGAAACCTAGGAGCTATAGATGAGAAGTATGATGTTGCTGTGTCTACTGCCTGTGGGGCCCTGGATCACATTGTGGTGGACACCATCAACACTGCACAGAGGTGTGTCGAGTTCCTCAAGAAGAACAATGTGGGTTCGGCCACCTTCATCGGCCTGGACAAGATGCAGCGATGGGTGGAACACACCAAGAGGAAGATCACAACGTAAGAAATCACTGACACCCATGCGTCAGAGTCTTAAGTTTTAATAGCCAATAATTTTCAAAAATGTCTGAGCAATAAACATGAACCTGACACTTGTTTCAAGACAAAGAATCTTCCATTTAAGCTTTTCATCCCCTAGTATGTAATATGGTGGTGGATATAGTAATCAGCATGTAATCTGTCATCCGTCCTGTCTCTTTGTCATGTTTGTCTGGACCATATCTCTAAAACTACTAGATATACATCCAGGAAACACACATGTTCATTTTATCACCTGTGCCTTCTGTTATTTATGGCTCATTTTGTTTCTGCTTCCAAGGCAACAAGCGTGATGTTCATGTTATTCATGTTGGTGTGTTTGTCCAGACCATAGTTCCAACACTACTCATTCATGAAACTTTGCAAACAGTTCAATTGTCAACTGGTGCCTTTTGCTATTTATAGCTTTTTAGAAATTTCATGTTTTCGTTTTCCATTGCAACAAGTTTGACTTTGACTTAATTAATAGGGATGTGTTTTTCCAGAGCATTTCACCAAAACTGCCTCTTTTCTTCAGTTCTCATTGTCAATGATTGTGGATCATATATAATCATATGTAAATTTATGGGGAATGTACTGATTTGTTTCAGACCAGAGAACGTCCCACGGCTGTTTGATCTCATTAAAACAAAGGATGCTACAATCCTGCCAGCATTTTACTTTGCACTGAGAGACACTCTTGTAGCTAAGGACTTGGATCAGGCTACTCGGATAGCATACGGGAAGACACGCTACAGAGTTGTGACACTGTCGGGACAGCTCATAGACACATCAGGTACTAGAGGCTCTACTACACTGTCCTTGGATATAGGACTGTGAGCATTATGAAATGACATGATGTTAAAAGGTGAAGGCCATGGGAGGTAACTCAAGTTGGCTTGGTTCTGTGTTAAAGGGTCAACGATGTTCCACACTTATATTAGAGGTACCATGTATTAGTTGTGTACTGGTAAACCACCATTTGCAATGCTAATGAATCTGTATCTCAATATATTTTTTCAAATTCATGTGACCCATGAAGATCTGGGTTAGAATTCATCTTCAGCAACCCAGGCTTGTTGTAATAGGCAACTAATGGGATCAGGTCATTGTATCCCAATTACGTAGATCGATGCTCATGCTGTCGATCACTGTATTGTCTGGTCCAGACTTGATCATTTACAACCCCTGCCATATAGCTGGAATATCACGGAGTATGGCATTAAACAACATCCAAACCAAAACCAAATTGAGGCATATTTTCATCTTGCAAAATTTCCTTGACAAGTGACAAGTCGAGGTGAGATTATGACACTCAAAAGTGAGCAGCCTGATCTATAAAGTGAAACTATTCACGTCCATCTTCCTGTATATACAGTTGTTACAATTTGTGGAGATGTCCATTTTCTGTTCAGGTTCAGGAGGAAATGAATGACCAAATTGTTTTAGGTGCTACAATTCACTTTGCAGAGTTGTCCCTTGAGCAAGTCAGAAACATATGATCTTGGGTTCGAATCACAGTCAGGGGCGGTGGGGTAGCCTAGTGGTTAAAGCGTTGGTGGAGATGTCCAAGAACGGGTTCGAATCCCCACATGGGCACAATGTGTGAAGCCCATTTCTGGTGTCCCCCGCCATGATGTTGCTGGAATATTGCTAAAAGCGGCGTAAAACCAAACTCAGTCAGTCGAATCCCAGTCTGGCCTTACTGTTTGTCTTAGTTTGTCAGAATCATATCCCTGCTTGTTGTTTTCACCACTGTAAATGTCTAATACTGCATCATTATAGGCTTGCCTCCAAGATTAAGCTGAGATGCTTTGTTATGACTCAAACACTGTTCAAAGTGGCAATAGTGAGTGAGTTTAGTTTTACACCACACTCAGCAATATTCCAGCTATATGTGGGCGGTCCGTAAATAATCCAGTCTGGACCAGACAATGCAGTGATCAACAGCATGAGCATCGATCTGCACAATTGGGAACCGATGACATGTGTCAACCAAGTCAGCGAGCATGACCACCCGATCCCGTTAGTTGCCTCTTACGACAAGCATGGGTTACCGAAGGCCAATATTCTAACCCGGACTTTCACGGGTCTCAAAGTGGCAATAAGACCAGATAACTCACTCACCATATCAGGTTCCTAACAAATTATAGATTAAAGAACACATGCAATGTGTTGTGGTTAAACTGCAGTACAGACTCAGATCACTTTGTAATATAAATATGCTCATAAATGTACTCATTTATTGAATTTTCAATTGATTTTTGCTATATTTTTCACAATATTGCTGCCCTATGTACAGTGGAAACCTGATAAGTAAACTTTCAAGGGACTCACCAAAATTGTTTACTTATCAGGTATTTTACTTATCCAAACTCATCAAAACCTGCAAATGACAACCATATGCATGTATATGTATACATATGTAACATGAACAACTTATCAGGGCTGGCCTCCAGTTGTCAGTGTATTGTCAACTGCTTGACGCCAGCGAGCTGTAAGTAGGATGTTTGTTTGACTGGAGACTGACACGACTGCCCCTCATGTCGGATTATGTGACAACCATATGCATGTATATGTATACATATGTAACATGAACAACTTATCAGGGCTGGCCTCCAGTTGTCAGTGTATTGTCAACTGCTTGACGCCAGCGAGCTGTAAGTAGGATGTTTGTTTGACTGGAGACTGACACGACTGCCCCTCATGTCGGATTATGTGACAACCATATGCATGTATATGTATACATATGTAACATGAACAACTTATCAGGGCTGGCCTCCAGTTGTCTGTGTATTGTCAACTGCTTGACGCCAGCGAGCTGTAAGTAGGATGTTTGTTTGACTGGAGACTGACACGACTGCCCCTCATGTCGGATTATGTGGTGATCTCTAAGTTATCCAGTCTCTTTTTGTTAAGTAATTTACTTCCAGGGACCGTGAGAAGACATTTAGTTAAGCGGTATTGTTTACTTATCCGAGTTTAGTTAACAGGACTCTAATAGTGATAATTAACAAAGAAATTTGCCGGGACCAAAGAAAAGTGTTTACTTATCCGGTCTGTTTAGTTAAGCAGTCTTTACTTAGGCGGTTTCCACTGTATTATACAAGAATACAAACGGAAATTGTGCCAAATGACCTGATACTAAACTGAAAGTGGAAGTTAATTCTGTGGACCAGTGTAGCTTCAGCAGATTGAGCCCAACCACATGCTTTGCTGAGTGTGACATTTTGCCTTTGTCAGGTACCATGAGTGGTGGTGGTACATCCGTGAGTAAAGGCAGAATGGGATCGTCCCTTGCCTCTGATGCTGTGGATCCGAAACAGCTGGCCAACATGGAGAACACGCTGGAGAAGGTGAGACAAACAGCTTGGTGAGATGGCCGTAGACTTGGTGGAGATAGCCACGCTGGAGAAGGTGAGACAGATAGCGGCGTAGACTTTGTTACTGATACTGTCCATGCTCTTGAGGACCATCGCCGTCGTCCAGTGGGTATATCCCATGTTGGGATTACAGAAAGTCTTTGGTTTGATCCTTCACTTCAAAAAGAGACAACACACAACACTTATACATTTGTGACTTTTGGCATTTATATCTGAGCTTGGAAAGACCAACTTTGGGTATTCTGGATAAGAATATAGGTCTCCAGCAAGCTGTGCTTGGAAGGGAGTATTAAGTGGATCAGATGGTCAGGCTCAGTGACTTTGCTGATGGCATCTCACAAATTTGTGGATTGCGTAGATTGGTGCTCGGATGTCAACCACTGGATTGTCTGGGCTCAATTGCATTCAGAATTACATACGTTTTGGCAAACAATGCCCCCAAACATCCCTCCAAACCAGTGTGCAAGAAATAGCCACTGGCATGCTAGCCTGTGGCTAGTAAAAATCCAGTCGGGCCAGTAAATCTCCACAGTCACTGGTCCGACTGGCTAGTGAATTTTCATTGGGTCATTTTGTAAATATATCACTCTCTCTGAATTGTTAAGTTATGATACACTTTTAAGTCGTGCAAGATTATGGCCTGATAAGTGTTCATCATATTAGCAGCTTAATGATGAAGCCCGTGTCTACATTCAAATTTTGGGCTTGTGATTTATTTTGTGTGCTAGTAACTCTCAGGCATAGCTAGCCTGACTGGCCAGCAACTATTTCGCACACTGCTCCAAACATTAAAATATCACTTAAGATATATACTGAAACTAACTGTTGCTGTCCTGTGTGTTGGCAGTTAATGTCTGAGTCCCGGGAAGCTAGAGGACGGAAGGAGGACCTAGAGGACAAGATAGGGCACAATGAGAAGGATCTCACCAACATGAAACACAGTCTGCAGAAGTTCAAGATGGAGATCAAGGTAAGATCTTAAACACAGCTTGTTGGATGACAATCTTGTTGAATGACAATCTTGTTGAATGACAATCTTGTTGGATGACAATCTTGTTGAATGACAATCTTGTTGAATGACAATCTTGTTGGATGGCTGTCTCTTAAAACCAGTCACAGACAGAATGTGTTCATTTCTGTTAAATTATTCTGTCCTGCATCAGCAACTGCTGAGTCTGCCATTGGACAAGTCCATTAAAACTACTTTTAGTCAAGAGGAAGCACAGGGGGTTGTCTAAGGCACCCTAAATAGCTGTGTAGAGTTGCATCTCACAAGACCAGCAGAAACCAATGATTGTTAGTTCAAAATCCCCATCTGACCCGATTTGTTTCAGCATCATACCTGTGTTCATGGGCTTCACCAAAGTGGTGAACCGTCTGAAAACTTCCTCACACATTCAGCTGACATGCAATGATATAAGTGGAATACTGTCTGCTGTACTACCTGAACCGAATTACTAACTTCCCTTCTAGCAACCTGAGGGCGGTGGGGTAGCCTAATGGTTAAAGTGTTGGCTCGTCACGCCGAAGACCCGGGTTCGAATCCCCACATGGGTACAATGAGTGAAGCCCATTTTTGGTGTCCCCCGCCGTGATATTGCTGGAATATTGCTAAAAGCGGCGTAAAACCAAACTCAGTCAGTCAGTCCATGCAGTAAAACAAATATCCACTGAAAATGGCATTAGGCAAGTTAGTTGTCTTGTAACACCAACATTATTGTAACTTTACTCAAATCATCATAATCTTGCAAAATGGGTTTATTTTTCTTACAGGGTTATTCATGATGAAATGGTTTCTGCTGGATTTTTGTTTCAATTCACTGAATCTAACCTTGCTGATGTTGTCTGTCTGCAGGCTCTGTCAGACCAGACCACAACACTAAAGGCGCAGATCGTGGAGCAGCAGGAGAAGGTGAAGGCCGCAGCTCCTGATCAGAAACAGCTGAAGGAGTTGGAGAAGAAAGTCCAGGAATACAAGAAAGGTTTGATAAATCAGCTTGATCTTATTGTCCAGTAGCTATAGAGAGGTTGGATAACTCCACAGCCTCAGATAGTCCCTCAAGTCTTATTGTCTGGGTTTGAAATGTGTCAACCAAGTCAGCAATCCTGACCACCCGATCCCATTATCACTTCTTACAATGAGCATATGTTGCTGAAGACCAATTCTAACCCAGATCTAACATGTGTTAGACTGCTAGTACTTCACAATTCTTGCAAAGATTGTTTGAAGGTTACTGGTCTAATACAGGGATAGTGTTAAGCATCCAATGGCATGCTCCATTACTGATTTGTATTTTATTGAGGAATTATTCTTTTTCCAGATTATGACAAAGCCAGTGGCGCTGCATCAAAAATAGAAGCTGAAGTACAGAGGTAAATTTGATGAATATATTTTTAGGACCTAGTGTTGAAAGAAGTTGGATTATGTCTGTGAAGCTGATGCAGAATAGAGAAATATGCCAGTAATATGTATATCGTAAATTTTGTTTCATGAAACATTAAACTCAGCAGTGATGAATTTTTTGTATAATTGTATTTTCTGGTGGAATTAGATGTTAACTCTTCGAGTGTGGTTTGTTGTTTCACACCACACTCCACAATATCATGTGTTGATACTATTAGGTGATATCATTAACATCTTTTGACACAAACGGGATGCAATTACACGCAGCCAAGTCAATGAACCTGACCAGCTTCTGTGTTAGTTGTCTCTCAAAGCAGCACAAGTTGCTGAAGACAGTACTAACACAGATGTTCATTGTTACATATTGTGGTACTGGAGTCATGAAACTTGACTCATAATAGGATGGATATAGTTATAATTGTTTAACGTTTTTGCAAATTCTCATTAATATATGACAGGATGTCATTGTCAATCAATTTGTGATTACCTCAGTGCTGAAAAGCTGCTGGCCCTAAGGACCCAGAACCATGAAAAACTGTGATTAGAATGTGGAAATAATTCCTAATTATTGGGGATAAAAAAGCTATCGGCCATAAGGACCTGCAGAAAACAAAAGCTGTGGGTCCGAGTGGTTTTCAGTCGGCTTAGGGCCTAAGGACCAATGTTATTTCGAATGCTGCCTTTCATTGTTTATGAGTGAAGACACTCAGCAATTATTACTATGCAGTAAGATTTCACATTCTCTTTGTTGTCATTGATCATTTACAGTAGGGAATGCTAGTACAAGTAGTTATCAAGCTGGGTTGTAGCACACCTTTTGGGAATTAATACAGAATTGATGTGTATCACAGCCAGCAGACTGTAGTGGAAATATGGATACTAAAAGTTGAATTAAGGTGTGAAGTCATTGATACATGTGTGTATAATCACACACTTAGTACCTCTCATTATACCTATGAAACACACCACTCATATGCGAATCTTGATAACTTCGACTAATTTTCTTTCAGCCTCCACCAGCAAATCATGGATATTGGCGGCTCAAAGTTGAAAGCTGTTCAGAGTCGTGTGGATGCAGTTTCACAGCAGATAGATCAGGTCACTGGACAGATTACCAAGGCCAACGTTGGAGTAAAGACATCTGAGAGGTAGGAATGTGGCCTTTGTTTTCTTTTCCAATGTTCCTGGTTCCCCCATGTGTCTGCTTCCTCCATGTGACTGCTAACCCCATATGATTGGTTCCCCCCTGTGACTGCTTACCCCATCATATGATTGGTTCCCCCATGTGACTGGTTCCTCCATGTGACTGCTTACCCCTTATGACTGGTTCCCCCATGCGACTGGATCCCATGTGACTGGTTCCTCCATGTGACTGGTTCCCCCATGTGACTGGTTCCTCCATGTGACTAGTTCCCCTTGTGACTGGTTCCCCCGTATGACAAGTTCCTCCATATGACTGGTTCCCCCATGTGACAAGTTCCTCCATGTGACTGGTTCCCCCATGTGACTGGTTCCCCCATGTGACAAGTTCCTCCATGTGACTGGTTCCCCAATGTGACAAGTTCCTCCATGTGACAAGTTCATCCATGTGACAAGTTCATCCATGTGACTGGTTCCCCCATGTGACAAGTTCCTCCATGTGACAAGTTCATCCATGTGACTGGTTCCCCCATGTGACAAGTTCCTCCATGTGACTGGTTCCTTCATGTGACAAGTTCCTCCATGTGACTGGTTCCCCCATGTGACAAGTTCATCCATGTGACTGGTTCCCCAATGTGACAAGTTCCTCCATGTGACAAGTTCCTCCATGTGACTGGTTCCCCCATGTGACAAGTTCCTCCATGTGACAAGTTCCTCCATGTGACAAGTTCATCCATGTGACTGGTTCCCCCATGTGACAAGTTCCTCCATGTGACTGGTTCCTTCATGTGACAAGTTCCTCCATGTGACTGGTTCCCCCATGTGACAAGTTCATCCATGTGACTGGTTCCCCCATGTGACTGGTTCCCCCATGTGACAAGTTCCTCCATGTGACTGGTTCCCCCATGTGACAAGTTCCCCCATGTGATAAGTTCCTTCATGTGACAAGTTCCTCCATGTGACTGGTTCCCCCATATGACTGGTTCCCCTATGTGACTGGTTCCCCCATGTGACTGGTTCCCCCATGTGACAAGTTCCTCCATGTGACTGGTTCCCCCATGTGACAAGTTCCCCCATGTGACAAGTTCCTTCATGTGACAAGTTCCTCCATGTGACTGGTTCCCCCATATGACTGGTTCCCCTATGTGACTGGTTCCCCTATGTGACTGGTTCCCCCATGTGACAAGTTCCTTCATGTGACTGGTTCCCCTATGTGACTGGTTCCCCCATGTGACAAGTTCCCCCATGTGACAAGTTCCTTCATGTGACAAGTTCCTCCATGTGACTGGTTCCCCCATGTGACAAGTTCCTTCATGTGACAAGTTCCTCCATGTGACTGGTTCCCCCATGTGACTGGTTCCCCCATGTGACAAGTTCCTTCATGTGACAAGTTCCTCCATGTGACTGTTTCCCCCATGTGACCAGTTCCTCCATGTGACTGGTTCCCCCATGTGACAAGTTCCTTCATGTGACTGGTTCCCCCATGTGACAAGTTCCCCCATGTGACAAGTTCCTTCATGTGACAAGTTCCTCCATGTGACTGGTTCCCCCATATGACTGGTTCCCCTATGTGACTGGTTCCCCTATGTGACTGGTTCCCCCATGTGACAAGTTCCTTCATGTGACTGGTTCCCCTATGTGACTGGTTCCCCCATGTGACAAGTTCCCCCATGTGACAAGTTCCTTCATGTGACAAGTTCCTCCATGTGACTGGTTCCCCCATGTGACAAGTTCCTTCATGTGACAAGTTCCTCCATGTGACTGGTTCCCCCATGTGACTGGTTCCCCCATGTGACAAGTTCCTTCATGTGACAAGTTCCTCCATGTGACTGGTTCCCCCATGTGACAAGTTCCTCCATGTGACTGGTTCCCCCATGTGACAAGTTCCTTCATGTGACTGGTTCCCCCATGTGACTGGTTCCCCCATGTGACTGGTTCCCCCATGTGACAAGTTCCTCCATGTGACTGGTTCCCCCATGTGACTGGTTCCCCCATGTGACAAGTTCCTCCATGTGACAAGTTCCTCCATGTGACAAGTTCCTCCATGTGACTGGTTCCCCCATGTGACAAGTTCCTCCATGTGACTGGTTCCCCCATGTGACAAGTTCCTTCATGTGACAAGTTCCTCCATGTGACTGGTTCCCCCATGTGACTGGTTCCCCCATGTGACAAGTTCCTCCATGTGACTGGTTCCCCCATGTGACAAGTTCCTCCATGTGACTGGTTCCCCCATGTGACAGGTTCCCCCATGTGACAAGTTCCTCCATGTGACTGGTTCCCCCATGTGACAAGTTCCTCCATGTGACTGGTTTCCCCATGTGACTTGTTCCTCCATGTGACAGGTGCCTCCATGTGACTGGTTCCTTCATGTGACAAGTTCCTCCATGTGACTGGTTCCCCCATGTGACAAGTTCCCCCATGTGACAAGTTCCTCCATGTACAGGTGCCTCCATGTGACTGGTTCCCCCATGTGACAAGTTCCTCCATGTGACTGGTTCCCCCATGTGACTGGTTCCCCCATGTGACAAGTTCCTCCATGTGACTGGTTCCCCCATGTGACAAGTTCCTCCATGTGACTGGTTCCCCCATGTGACAAGTTCCCCCATGTGACAAGTTCCTTCATGTGACAAGTTCCTCCATGTGACTGGTTCCCCCATATGACTGGTTCCCCTATGTGACAAGTTCCCCCATGTGACAAGTTCCTTCATGTGACAAGTTCCTCCATGTGACTGGTTCCCCCATGTGACAAGTTCCTTCATGTGACAAGTTCCTCCATGTGACTGGTTCCCCCATGTGACTGGTTCCCCTATGTGACTGGTTCCCCCATGTGACTGGTTCCCCCATGTGACAAGTTCCTCCATGTGACTGGTTCCCCCATGTGACTGGTTCCCCCATGTGACAAGTTCCTTCATGTGACAAGTTCCTCCATGTGACTGGTTCCCCCATATGACAAGTTCCTCCATGTGACTGGTTCCCCCATGTGACAAGTTCATCCATGTGACAGTTCATCCATGTGACAAGTTCCTCCATGTGACAAGTTCCCCCATGTGACAAGTTCCTCCATGTGACTGGTTCCCCCATGTGACAAGTTCCCCCATGTGACAAGTTCCCCCATGTGACCAGTTCCCCATGTGACCAGTTCCTCTATGTCACCAGTTCCTCCATGTGACTTGTTCCTCCATGTGACTAGTTCCCCCATGTGACCAGTTCCTCCATGTGACCAGTTCCTCCATGTGACTGGTTCCCCCATGTGACAAGTTCCTCCATGTGACTGGTTCCCCCATGTGACAAGTTCATCCATGTGACCAGTTCCCCATGTGACCAGTTCCCCATGTGACCAGTTCCTCTATGTCACCAGTTCCTCTATGTCACCAGTTCCCCATGTGACCAGTTCCTCCATGTGACCAGTTCCTCCATGTGACCAATTCCTCCATGTGACCAGTTCCTCCATGTGACTAGTTCCTCCATGTGACCAGTTCCTCTATGTGACCAGTTCCTCCATGTGACCAATTCCTCCATGTGACCGGTTCCTCCATGTGACTGGTTCCCCCATGTGACAAGTTCCTCCATGTGACAAGTTCCTCCATGTGACCAGTTCCCCATGTGACCAGTTCCTCTATGTGACCAGTTCCTCTATGTCACCAGTTCCCCCATGTGACCAGTTCCTCCATGTGACCAGTTCCTCCATGTGACCAGTTCCTCCATGTGACCAGTTCCTCCATGTGACCAGTTCCTCTATGTGACCAGTTCCTCCATGTGACCAATTCCTCCATGTGACCAGTTCCTCTATGTGACTAGTTCCTCCATGTGACCAGTTCCTCTATGTGACCCGTTCCTCCATGTGACCAGTTCCTCTATGTGACCAGTTCCTCCATGTGACCAGTTCCTCCATGTGACCAGTTCCTCCATGTGACCAGTTCCTCCATGTGACCAGTTCCTCTATGTGACTAGTTCCTCCATGTGACCAGTTCCTCTATGTGACCAGTTCCTCTATGTGACCAGTTCCTCCATGTGACCAATTCCTCCATGTGACCAATTCCTCCATGTGACTAGTTCCTCCATGTGATCAGTTCCTCTATGTGACCAGTTCCTCCATGTGACCAATTCCTCCATGTGACCAATTCCTCCATGTGACTTGTTCCCAATGTGACTGGTTCCCCCATGTGACTGGTTCCCCCATGTGACTAGTTCCCCCTTGTGTTTGGTTCATCTGTAAAGAGACCTGAGTTCTAATCAGTCATGGATTCCTGGAATAGTCGTGGAATCTTTGTGTGAGGCTCCAGGCCTGAAAATAGATCATGGTGATGTAAGTGGCAGGAAAATATATAATGATGAATGACTGTCAGCTTTCCAAACAGAGCCATGCTGGATTACTGCAGGTATTGGTGTATTGAGATTTGGGGCAGATATAAAAATTGTAGATGGATGTATTCCTTTTTTAATAGCTAAATAAGTATGATGGAAATATCTATAGTTTCAAATAAATTAAAGTGACAAAAATAGACACAGCAATGCTACTGCTTTAATTTCTAAAGAATTTTTCAGTGAATAATTATGATAAAAAATATAATTTGGCATTCCAGTTTGTCTTTTGTGAACCTTTTTTCCAACTGGATTTTATTTATATATCACGTTTGACTGGCAAAATATGGTGTCAAAAATATTTGTCAGGCTAATAGTGTATGACGCTGTATAAAGATGAAAAGATGAGAACTTACAGGTGAAGAATCTGACCTAGCTTTTTTCACTCTTCTCTAGTGTATAGAAATATGAATAGACAGGTTTTTCAATTTGTGGAGAAGATTTAGTTGTGTTAAAGTCATTTACAGTTTCCATCCTTTGTCTCTTTGTGCGATGTACATTGATGTGTTTCTTTATGATAAATGAAATGATCTGCGTGCAGGAACTTGAAGAAGGCCGTGGACAAAGTGAAGTCTGTAGAAGAGGAGATTGAGGAGAACAAACAGAAGATTGCTGAACTGGAGGCACAGTTTAAACAACTGGAAGAAGATGCCAACAAAGTCCTGGAGGCATACCAGCAGTCTCAGGTAGGTTGTTGTAGCCATGATCGTCTACCAGCAGTCTCAGGTAGGTTGTTGTAGCCATGATCGTCTACCAGCAGTCTCAGGTAGGTTGTTGTAGCCATGATCGTCTACCAGCAGTCTCAGGTGGGTTGTTGTAGCCATGATCGTCTACCAGCAGTCTCAGGTAGGTTGTTGTAGCCATGATCGTCTACCAGCAGTCTCAGGTAGGTTGTTGTAGCCATGATCGTCTACCAGCAGTCTCAGGTAGGTTGTTGTAGCCATGATCGTCTACCAGCAGTCTCAGGTAGGTTGTTGTAGCCATGATCGTCTACCAGCAGTCTCAGGTAGGTTGTTGTAGCCATGATCGTCTACCAGCAGTCTCAGGTAGGTTGTTGTAGCCATGATCGATCTACCAGCAGTCTCAGGTAGGTTGTTGTAGCCATGATCGCCTACCAGCAGTCTCAGGTAGGTTGTTGTAGCCATGATCGTCTACCAGCAGTCTCAGGTAGGTTGTTGTAGCCATGATCGTCTACCAGCAGTCTCAGGTAGGTTGTTGTAGCCATGATCGTCTACCAGCAGTCTCAGGTAGGTTGTTGTAGCCATGATCGTCTACCAGCAGTCTCAGGTAGGTTGTTCAGGTTGTAGTTGTTGTAGCCATGATCGTCTACCAGCAGTCTCAGGTAGGTTGTTGTAGCCATGATCGTCTACCAGCAGTCTCAGGTAGGTTGTTGTAGCCATGATCGTCTACCAGCAGTCTCAGGTAGGTTGTTGTAGCCATGATCGTCTACCAACAGTCTCAGTTGGGTTGTTACAAAACCATAAAACTAACATATTACAAAGGCTTATGGATCTCCTGGCTTTGTCTCGGTCTCTTCACACATGGCCAATCATTTTCACAGGTAACAGGCCTCTTGACCTATGAGGGGCAGTGGGGTAGCCTAGTGTTTAAAGCGTCCGCTCATAAGACCGAAAACATGGGTTTGATTCCCCACATGGGTACAATGTGTGAAGCCCATTTCTGGTATCCCCCAGATATTGCTGGAATATTGCTGAAAGCGATGTTAAACCATACTCACTCACTCACTCTTGACCTATGAGGATTGACATTATGAGCATCTGATGTCATGGAGTTGTTATTCCAGGAGAAGATGGGGGATGTGGAGAGCTCCCTGAACGAGATCAAGAAAGAGCTGGGCAAGTTGGAGGAGGAGGAGAACACCCTCCAGAAAGAGACTATTGAGGTGCGACATGAGCTGGAGAAGTATGATGGCATCATCAAGACAAACCAAGCCAAGATCAAGCACTGGAAGAAAGAGGTAAGAGACATATAATAAGGTGAACACAGAAGAGGTCCTGTGACTGTAATCAACACACATACTTACAGATGATTGTGACAGTGCTCAACCCATTTACTGGATTGGACTGATGTTGTAGACAACCAATTTACTTGCTGATGACTGTGACTAAGAAAACCCATTTACTACAGTAGACAGTGGGTGTTGTCAATGTCTTTACTCAAGAAAAGCAAGATTTATGCATATTAGTCACAATAAAGAAGTTGACATCCATAAATCTTGCTTTTCTTATGTATTCCACTTCTAAATGCCCTTTAAAGAAATGTGGAGACTGCTGTTTTAGTCAGCCCATTTAATCTGTGTGTTGTAGCTTGGTCATCTGAGCCTGAACAAGTTGGATGGTGTTGAGAATGAGGAGATGGAGACCGTGGCAGCAGAGAAGCTAGCCAGCATCAACAAGGAGGAGGTCCAGTACGAGATCACTGTCCTGGAAGAGAAGCTGGCACAGATGAAGCCCAACATGGCTGCCATTGCAGAGTACAGGAAGAAGGTGAGTTTGCCTGATCTGGTGCATGGATTTATCTAACCTTCTCCAAGGTCAACACTGTAAGTCCGAGACTGGTAGATGCATGTGTCCCTTGTTCACCAATATATTGTTGTTGCCTTTTTCTTGAAATATTGGACTTACTATCAACCTGAGATGGAAAAAAATCACTAATGTTTGTATTATTATAACTAATTTGTCTTCCCTCAGTCTTAAAGTGTTCTTTCAAACAAGGAGGTCACAAATAACTACCATTGACTTCAGTAGCATTGAGGATATATTAGACATGATTTAATTCTTGGTAATCAAGGGTGCTACATAATGCTAGCTAGTTACAGTTCATGTTTATACAATGCACCTCCCTCCCCACAATTACAACTGTGTTTCAGGGGAGGGAATCAGTACACTGTATATTATGGAATCACTAACAACATGTGTGCACTACATTCACTATTGACTTGCAGGAGGAGCTGTATCTCCAGCGAGTGTCTGAACTCGACTCGATCACCGAGGTACGGGACCAGCAGCGGAAGTACCACGAGGACCTTCGCAAGCAGCGACTGGATGAGTTCATGTCAGGATTCAGCACCATCACCAACAAGCTGAAGGAAATGTACCAGATGATCACTCTCGGGGGAGATGCAGAGTTGGAACTGGTCGACTCACTCGACCCGTTTTCGGAAGGAATTGTGTTCAGGTGAGGACAGCAGTAACAATTATTGTACCTGACAGTTATGTATGCATCATTCTCTTTCCCCTTTCTGAGAAGCACATTGTTTTCACAGGTAATGATAGGGCACCTGACGTAAAACTTATCAGAGCCAGTAGCCCAGTTGTTAAAGCGTCCGCTCGTCACACGAAGACCCAGGTTCAATTCCCCACATGGGTACAATGTGTGAAGCCGATTTTCTGGTGTCCCCTGCCGTGATATTGCTGGAATATTGCTAAAAGAGGCGTAAAACCAAACTCACTCATTCTGATGACACATCTGTTCCAGGTTACATGAGGTAACCCTGAACAGACTTTGAACACCAAATCTAACTGAAGGTTGTATATGTGTTGAGTCAGTCAGATGTCAGCTTTCTAAAATACTAGTAATTTACTTTCCTTCCCTCACCACCTTGATTAAAAGCAGAATCCTTCCTTGGATGACGTTCTCTCTTGGGTGTATATGCCATGGCATTCACAATAAATGGTATATTATTATCTATTCAGGACAATATGTAGGTACAACCTTTGTTATTTAAATTCTGAACAGGTTTGGTTTTAGATAGAGAAATCAGATATACTGGTCTGCATGCTTTGCTCCCCAAAACTTCAGGGGTTGTCAGATCTTCATGGAGAGGAGTTGCGTCAAAGTAAATGGTTTGATGAATCATTATCATGTGGAAATCGTGCGCTTGGGGTCATGTAAAGCCTACTGTCTGCTCACATCCACATTTTGTTATGTTGCAGTGTGCGACCGCCCCAAGAAGTCGTGGAAGAACATCTCCAATCTGTCTGGAGGAGAGAAGACTCTCAGTTCTCTAGCTCTTGTGTTTGCCCTCCATCACTACAAGCCCACGCCTCTGTACGTCATGGACGAGATTGATGCTGCTCTGGATTTCAAGAATGTCTCCATTGTTGCCAACTACATCAAGGTACGTTACACAATAGTGGGATTTAGTATCTTTATCACAACCCCATCAGGATTCCAGGTTACAATACAACCCTAGCAACCGGGGCGGTGGGGTAGCCTAATGGTTAAAGCGTTGGCTCGTCACGCCATAGACCCGGGTTTGAATCCCCACATGGGTACAATGTGTGAAGCCCATTTCTGGTGTCCCCCGCCGTGATGTTGCTGGAATATTGCTAAAAGCGGCGTAAAACCAAAATTAGCCAGTCAGTCAGTCCCTAGCAACCAATGCTTGACTAAAGGTACAACTTAATGGATGAAGTGGAAGACTTGGTGATTTGCTGTGATGACATGGATCAATCTGAACCAGACAATCCAGTGATTGTCGATACCATGCAGCCGCCTTTCTTAATGTGGTACCTCCACTGATTTAGCAAGCTGATGGTAGGGGTGTGAGTGTCATTTGACCATCAGAAGCATGAGCATTTATCTATGCAAATGGGAAACAATGATTTCCATCAACTGTGTCAGCTAGCTTGACCACATGATCCTGTTTGTCACCTCTTACACACATGGTTTGCAGTAGACCAATTCCCAACTGGGTCTTTATCTGGCTTTCAGCTACATAACAAGAGGTGTTGAACTCAATGACTATTTGAAAAACTAAAATCATATTTCTTTTCAAAACAAATTGGACATTCTATGCATTACTTTAATACTAATTTCTACAACTGATTTATTTCAGGAGAGAACAAGGAATGCACAATTCATTATCATATCTCTGTGAAACAACATGTTCGAGTTAGCAGATCGATTGGTAGGGATCTACAAGACAGATAACTGCACAAAGTCAGTCACCATCAACCCCAAGAAACTCTCTATACCACTGCAGGAGATCAATGCCTGAGATCAGTGCCTGAGATCAAGATGTCTGTACAGACACCAGTCCTGACTGGTGGAAATATCTAGGATGACAGTCACTATGAAAAAGCAATGCTGATTGGTGGAAATATCTGGGATGACTACCAAACTGAACCAGCAATGCTGATGACTGACACAATATCTACATGAGAGTCACAATGTAAGACCAATGCTGATTGGTGTTGTTTTTCTAGGACTGTTACAAGGTGCACCAATACTTATTGGTGGAAACTTCCAGACTGAATGTCATGAAACACCAATGCTGATTTGTGGAAATTTCTTGGACGGTCACAAGAAAGATCAGTGCTGATTGGAGGAAATGTTTACGTTGACTGTTTTTAACAAAAATTATGGGACAATTATCTGAAGAAAGTTATAATGGTATTTATAAGAATATCATTCATTTACTTCATTACTCCTCTGCATACAAGATGCATATATAAGATCATGGTTAACATTGAAATGGTTTACTTGACCCTAAACATGTTTCTGTCACAGAAAAAATGTGAATCTTTTGATAATCGGTAAATGAAGTGAATTTTAATAATAGATGTAACAAAGGTTTTGAAGATGCATTCATATTTGATATAGCGTCATCTACTCAGGTCATTTCCTCGAGAATGAGTCCCGTACATGCATTACATTCAGTTTCTGTTAGACCAAGCCCATACAGGGTTTTATTGCAAGAAACATTCATGGACACAAACTGAGAATAGATACCCGTGACTTGTTCTGCTCTTCCCATGGGATACAAAAACAGATTGACTGTTACCAATTGGTAAAAGTCAATGTACATTATATTTCACTCTCATGATATAAGCACCCTGTCTCAAAGATTGATTTTCTTTCATCATTACAGGAAGGCTTACAGAGGCGTAGCTACCATTATAAAAAAGCCCAGGCTTACACATGATTGTTGCTAAAAACATTGGGCAAGCCCTCAATACCACCTAACTAATGTTTTGCAACCTATCAGGCTTACTACGCGCTTAAGTAATTTATAATTGTCGTTGATATAGTGATCACCCTGGCACCTCTATTTTCATGTCTCAGATCCTTAAACATTGTTGACAGTCCACCAAAATCATATACAGAAAGATGCCTGGGCAACTGCATGGGAAGCTGTAGCTGACTGCCTTTATGTCAATGCCATACTGTAGACCTAGCCCCTTTGATAGGTGGCATATTATACAGGAGATTGGTATGTTAACACAATAGGGATTTCACGATACATAAGTTTCATGAATTGATACGTATCACAATACCCATTTCACATTGTATACTTGTCTTTTATTCTAATTTCCCATCTTTGTCCATGAAAAATAATCATTTATAACATCAAAAAACATGATACAATTGCAAAATGAAAATGACATATAAACATATTTAAACCGATACTTTCAAATCAGTTTTGAATGTATCAATAATTGTATCATCTTAGAAAAAGTATCAATGCATTGTGGCATCCCTATAACACACTGTCTCAATGATGAATTAAGTTAAAAATACTTTCAAGAGTTGTAGCTCTAAGAATGCTGGTTTTGCAAATGGCACTTGGTTGAGTTATGACATTGGTACTATTTATTCCTCATACCTCCTATTCATTCACTTCTACTGTCATACTGAGATTCTTTTCACTTTCTATGCCTGCTTCTGTCCTCATTAAATCAGACATCAAACAAGTGTTGGTACTTTTATTTACAAATATGTACAATGTCGACAGTAGAAATTCTGGATTCACCTTTGTACATTTGCATTTTGGAACCAATGTTGTGTGCAGTGATCAGTAAGTAATTCTTGAATACATGACACGTTTTTATGGATAATAACTTCTTTTTATTCGTCACCTGATGAAAGAGCAAGAATTAGTTCTGAAACAAAGTGATAAAAAATAAAAAGAAGTTATCTATAAAACGTGTCATGTAATTCTGATTTCAAATATTTGCTGTAGCATTTCATCGAGTCCAATACACTGAACCCTAGCTGACTGGAGTACTCTCACTAAACGCTAGATTAGGGATATAGATCCAACAGAGTCATAGTAGCCATCTTGACCTGTTGAGTAGCGCTTTGAAAGATGAATGGCAGTGACTTCCTGAGGACCAAAGTCATACTTCCCAAATTTCTGAAGGAAACAAAACAAAAAAACAAGTGAAAAAATACAGCAACATTTATGCGAGTACATTCAGTTAAGTTCTTCTGCCATATTCTCATGGCATTGGGATCAGGTGCAAATTGATGTCGGTGAATGTAGATTTCAACCCAGACATCTCAGCTATATCACAATATTGCCTGTATATTAGTGAACTGAGTTTTATACGCACTCAGCAATATTCCAGCTATATGGCCTCGTTCTGTAAATAATAGTCTGGATCATACAATGCAGTGATCAACAGCTTGAGCATCAATCCACGCAATTGGCCTGTACATAAAGTCTTGGCTGTATGAAACTGATGGATGATAACAGCAACATCCGTGATCTTAGGCTGTCATTGCAACCCAAAGTGTAAAGACCGATGTACCTCCTAGGTACTGTTTTCAGCATATTCCAGCATCCAACACAAATACCTATAGGGCAGTGTATGAAATAAGCCAGTTACCAGCCCAAAATGGATTTAACCAGACCAGACACCAAGATATGGTGGATTCACTTAGATGTATGGAACATCTAAAGCGTTTACCAGACCATCGGGCTGGCAAGCAGTAAATTTAGACAGTGAGTCAGAAATCTAGCTCGTCTTGGACGGGCCTTATTTCATATACTGCTATAGGGGCAGCTGTCTGTGGACCAGGTTGGTTGAATGTTCTTGTATGTCATGGTACATACTTAGTAGCAAGTAACAGATAACTCACTCTTAAAACCCCAGCAGCATCAAAGACTCCCTCTCCTTTACATTCCTCCTCGACTCCGTCACTTCAGCCTGGGCAGTTCCAGTGGGATCTTTCCTGAACAGTGTGTTCATGACAGTCACGTGAAGCTTGACTCTCTCAAACTGTCGAGGCATCAGTCCAGCTGCACTGAACTTGTCCACTAGTCGGTCACACAGAATCTGTAGACTGACAGTGGTGATAATCTATGATTTTAATGTAGAGTTGTGTTCCCTAGAGATATGGTGTATTTTTCTATCTTCAACCAAAAAATTATGTAAAATCCAAGGAAAACAATCAGATTTACCAACTTCTAGTACAATTAACATGGGTCAAACACTTGCTCACGTCCAAACAGTAACAGGATACTTTCTGACATGGACTGAATATTATTTCCTTGGAATGCTCTCCCACTGGAAATCAGAAATTGTCCAACAAGACTCTATTCTAACTCATCTGAAGACTTATCTCTTTTCCGCTCAGTTAACAAGCTCAGTGGAGCAGTCATGTTTATTCTGGAAACAAGGAGCTATACAAATCATTCATTCATTCGTTCGTTCATTCATTCAATTACTGACTCCCTGACTTACACATCGTGAGACGCATCAGTCATCTTTATCTGGGCGGCGTACAGGACGTCCACAGCGTTGGGATCGTCGTTCATGTACTCCAGATCCTGGACCCGAGTCAACAACTTCTGTCCCTTCAGTATTGGCCTGGAATCAGTGGGGTTATATGATAGAGAATACAATAAAATAGTCCTTGGAACATTTATATCCGATGAAATGAGAATTTTTACTGCCAAACATCAGTGGCTATCAAGGTGGAATATCCGTCCATAATTCTACACACACAAAATTGCCTTTACGTGGTGATATACAGTACATGTTATATTTGGCATTACACTTTCTCAGTGAAGTACACATTCTAGTACTTTGTTATGTAGAGTCCCATCCACGATTTTAGTCTACATCACAGACTGTACCCATCAGATAAGTGTATTAACATACAGAATATGTCTCACAAAGGAAAAATAATCAATGCCCGTTTGTGCCCAAATTTAAGAAATACCAAAACTTACATAAATAATATGGAACCTTTATCAATCAGGTTTCTGTGTTGCTGCCCCAGAATTGTGTCATGAACTATTATCACTTCCAAACATGAGTGAGTTTAGTTTTACGGCGCTTGTAGCAATATTCCAGCAATATCACAGCAAGGGACACCAGAAATGGGCTTCACACATTGTACCCATGTAGGGAATCGAACCTGGGTCTTTGGCGTGACTAGCCAACACTTCAACCACTAGGCTACCTCACCGCCCCTCAGGTTGCTAGAAGGGAAGTTAGTAATTCGGTGCAGGTAGTACATCAGACAGTATTCCACTTATATCATTGCATATTATCAGCTGAATGTGTGAGGAAAGTTTTCAGACGGTTACCACTTACAGCGCTCCAGATAATTTTTCAACATCAGGAGTACGTACTCCTTATTTGTTCAATATAGGAGTACTGGAAAACCTTAAGTGCACATTTAGAGTACTGAATGGAAATTAATGGACTATCAGTGATCTTGTGTTTCGTTTCATATATGCACCACAATATTGCTACTCTTGTGTAAACAGAACAATACTTTTTTCAGATAAATACGCCTGTAAATGATTCTAAGACCATACACCACTGCTGTGGTGCGTATCTGCTACGTTTTCTAAATTATTTCCTACCGTATCGTGCATATTTTTTATCCGTACATACGCCGATACGGCCCTTATCTGGAGCCCTGATAATACGTAACTACTAATACCCATTGTGAATGGTCAAGCAACAACACTCATTGACTCATAGATCATCTGAAACCCTGGAAGAGTACTGAAGCAACAACACTCAATGACTCCTAGATCATCTGAAACCCTAGTAGAGTACTGAAGCAACAACACTCAATGACTCCTAGATCATCTGAAACCCTAGTAGAGTACTGAAGCAACAACACTCAATGACTCCTAGATCATCTGAAACTCTGGAAGAGTACTGAAGCAACAACACTCAATGACTCCTAGATCATCTGAAACCCTGGAAGAGTACTGAAGCAACAACACTCAATGACTCCTAGATCATCTGAAACCCTGGAAGAGTACTGAAGCAACAACACTCATTGACTAATAGATCATCTGAAACCCTGGAAGAGTACTGAAGCAACAACACTCATTGACTAATAGATCATCTGAAACCCTGGTAGAGTACTGAAGCAACAACACTCAATGACTCCTAGATCATCTGAAACCCTGGTAGAGTACTGAAGCAACAACACTCAATGACTCCTAGATCATCTGAAACCCTGGAAGAGTATTGAAGCAACAACACTCATTGACTAATAGATCATCTGAAACCCTGGTAGAGTACTGAAGCAACAACACTCATTGACTAATAGATCATCTGAAACCCTGGTAGAGTACTGAAGCAACAACACTCAATGACTAATAGATCATCTGAAACCCTGGAAGAGTACTGAAGCAACAACACTCATTGACTAATAGATCATCTGAAACCCTGGTAGAGTACTGAAGCAACAACACTCAATGACTAATAGATCATCTGAAACCCTGGTAGAGTACTGAAGCAACAACACTCAATGACTAATAGATCATCTGAAACCCTGGAAGAGTACTGAAGCAACAACACTCATTGACTAATAGATCATCTGAAACCCTGGTAGAGTACTGAAGCAACAACACTCAATGACTCCTAGATCATCTGAAACCCTGGTAGAGTACTGAAGCAACAACACTCATTGACTAATAGATCATCTGAAACCCTGGAAGAGTACTGAAGCAACAACACTCAATGACTCCTAGATCATCTGAAACCCTGGAAGAGTACTGAAGCAACAACACTCATTGACTAATAGATCATCTGAAACCCTGGAAGAGTACTGAAGCAACAACACTCAATGACTCCTAGATCATCTGAAACCCTGGAAGAGTACTGAAGCAACAACACTCAATGACTCCTAGATCATCTGAAACCCTGGAAGAGTACTGAAGCAACAACACTCAATGACTCCTAGATCATCTGAAACCCTGGAAGAGTACTGAAGCAACAACACTCATTGACTAATAGATCATCTGAAACCCCGGTAGAGTACTGAAGCAACAACACTCAATGACTCCTAGATCATCTGAAACCCTGGTAGAGTACTGAAGCAACAACACTCATTGACTAATAGATCATCTGAAACCCTGAAGAGTACTGAAGCAACAACACTCAATGACTCCTAGATCATCTGAAACCCTGGAAGAGTACTGAAGCAACAACACTCATTGACTAATAGATCATCTGAAACCCTGGAAGAGTACTGAAGCAACAACACTCAATGACTCCTAGATCATCTGAAACCCTGGAAGAGTACTGAAGCAACAACACTCAATGACTCCTAGATCATCTGAAACCCTGGTAGAGTACTGAAGCAACAACACTCATTGACTAATAGATCATCTGAAACCCTGGAAGAGTACTGAAGCAACAACACTCAATGACTCCTAGATCATCTGAAACCCTGGTAGAGTACTGAAGCAACAACACTCATTGACTAATAGATCATCTGAAACCCTGGAAGAGTACTGAAGCAACAACACTCAATGACTCTTAGATCATCTGAAACCCTAGTAGAGTACTGAAGGAACAACACTCAATGACTCCTAGATCATCTGAAACTCTGGAAGAGTACTGAAGCAACAACACTCAATGACTCCTAGATCATCTGAAACCCTGGAAGAGTACTGAAGCAACAACACTCAATGACTCCTAGATCATCTGAAACCCTGGTAGAGTACTGAAGCAACAACACTCAATGACTCCTAGATCATCTGAAACCCTGGAAGAGTACTGAAGCAACAACACTCAATGACTCCTAGATCATCTGAAAACCTGGAAGAGTACTGAAGCAACAACACTCAATGACTCCTAGATCATCTGAAACCCTGGAAGAGTACTGAAGCAACAACACTCAATGACTAATAGATCATCTGAAACCCTGGAAGAGTACTGAAGCAACAACACTCATTGACTAATAGATCATCTGAAACCCTGGAAGAGTACTGAAGCAACAACACTCATTGACTAATAGATCATCTGAAACCCTGGAAGAGTACTGAAGCAACAACACTCATTGACTAATAGATCATCTGAAACCCTGGAAGAGTACTGAAGCAACAACACTCATTGACTAATAGATCATCTGAAACCCTGGAAGAGTACTGAAACAACAACTCACTCGACCAGATCCTCCTTACACTGCTGCAGTAGCTCTGTTGCCATGGTGATCTCGGCATCGTTGAGAAGTGCCAATGTCCCCAGGGTCAGGTGGAGCTTCTTTGGGTTCTGGAACAAGCTGGCCTCCAGGCTCCGATCCTGCAGCATTAGACAGGTGTTACATCGCCATTAGACAGGTGTTACATTGCCATTAGACAGGTGTTACATCGCCATTAGACAGGTGTTACATTGCCATTAGACAGGTGTTACATTGCCATTAGACAGGTGTTACATCGCCATTAGAAGTAAAAACATTCCACAAAAGTTTAGGGACTGTCCATAATATATGGGGTGATGATGACTTTAAGGGGTGGGGTGGGGTCACCCATTTTGTTAAGGGGTGGTCAACTATTTTGTCGGGGTGGGGTGAGTCATTACATGGGGGGATGATGGGATGTCACATTGTACATAAATTATAGGGGGGGGTCAGTCACATTGTCCGCTTCTCCATAAAAATCATCACCCCCCAAAAAAAAACAACAAAACATTTCTTGACAAATAGGAAAAGAATACTTGTTAAAACGAATACAATATTAATTCAATATAAAGTTTGATCCATATCTATCAGAACGATTTTGATTTATTTTTTTTACCACATTCTGCATCATCACGGAAGCACTAACCATGCCTATCACAATACTGTCCTGTCTGTCTCGCGCCTGGTGCAGTTCACATACAGACAAAGAGCTTCGAGGAAAAAGCTGAGAACTCTTGTATTTCGCAAAGTCCATTAACAGCTTTTTCACATTTGTGTGTTCTATAGACTGTTTGTTTTCAATAAATCTGGAGGTGTTAAATGTTATGCTTCCTGGCATCAAATATGTACTAAAACCTGCAAATCTGACAAACATAAACCGGTAAAGTTTATGAAGGAGATGGTGTTCACTCATTGCACCCAAGTTGGGTTTCGATTCAGGTGTTTAGTGTTAAGGCCAGACCAATTTTATTTCCTGTTTTACAGATTTTTGTCCTCAGAAAACCTAAAGGCAGGATGGAAAAAAAATAAAAATAAAAAAATCACCAGTCAAAGTAATATTCCTTTTGCATACTAAAAGTATTTTATTTTTGGCAAGTTATGTGTATAAGGGTAAAAAAATTTTGTTGTTGTAAGTTTACGTTCTTTGCCAATAAAAACATGAGCGGGGAAAATTATTATTATTATTTTTTCATATTCTTGAAAAAATATGGCCGACGGATCCATAAAACAAGAAATAAAATTGGTCTGGCCTAAAAGTGATTGGGTGTGGTTTTACCCGGTACGCCACTTTTAACAATATTTATCCAGCAATATCGTGGTGGGGGACACAAGAAAAGGGCTTCACACATTGTACCAGTGTGAGGAGATGCCATACCTACCTCCACATGTAGCCTCAGGACATACTCCATGTAATAACATTTCATTTGATGCAGTGAAGGTTCAACACTGATTCTGTTTGCCGTTAGTGTGTCACAATAACTTTTGCCTTTGAACATACTGTTGGTCATTGGGTGTGGGAATATGTTTGGCCTCTGGGTGTGAAATTATGTTTGGCCTTAAAGTGTAGAAATATGTTTGGCCTTAAAGTGTAGAAATATGTTTGGCCTTAAAGTGTAGAAATATGTTTGGCCTTTGGATGTGGAGATATGTTTTGTCTTGAGCTGTAGAAATGTGTGGAAATAAGTTTTGTCTTGAGCTGTAAAAATGAGTGGAAATATGTTTTGTCTTGAGCTGTAAAATGAGTGGAAATATGTTTTGTCTTGAGCTGTAGAAATGAGTGGAAATAAGTTTTGTCTTGAGCTGTAAAAATGAGTGGAAAATGAGTGGAAATATGTTTTGTCTTGAGCTGTAAAATGAGTGGAAATATGTTTGGTCTTGAGCTGTAAAAATGAGTGGAAATATGTTGGGTCTTCATGGTGTGGTAAACATATCTGGTCTTTCATTGCTGAAAAGGGATGCTACTGACAACTCACCCCATCACACTCGCGGAGCACATCCGTCTTGAAGTCAACAAAAGATTGCTCGATGTTGTTGATGCAGATGGAGAGGAAGTGGGTGAAAGGTTGTTTCTGGCGGGCCGACTCTACGATCACATCAATCCGTGTCTTGGCAGAACTCACTCCCTTCCTGTCGTGTCCAAGAATAACTGCAACAAGCATTACATTGACAATAATGTTACATTTCTACATACATGACATGGTAGTTAGTTTGTTGTTTAACACCACACTCAGCAATATTCCAGCTATATGGCGGCAGACTGTAAATAATTGAATCTGGACCACACAATCCAGTGATCAACAGCACTAACAATAATCTATGCAATTGGGATACCATGACATGTGTCAACCAAGTCAGCGAGCCTGACCACACGATCCCTTTAGTTGCCTCTTCATGGATTACTGAAGACAAATTCTAACCCGGATTTTCACGGGTGTCACCGCACTAAGCAATATTCCAGCTATATGGCAGCGGTCTGACAATCCAGTGAACAGCATGAACATAGATCTACGCTTTTGGGATACAATGACCTGTGTGAACCAAGTCAGTGAGTCGGACCACCTGATCCTGTTAGTGGCCTTTTACGACAAGCATGGGTTGTTTAAGACCAATTCTAACCTATATCTTCACAGGTGACTTGACATGGTAGTTTCACAACAACATAAAATTTTCTACATTCATGAAGTGTGTTTACAATAACATGACATTTTCTACCATGTTCCATAAACAAGAAATATTGGTTTCTCAGTGACATGACTTATTCTTCATTCAGGACTTGAGCAATTGCATAGATCGATACTCATGTTGTTGATCACTGGATTGTGTGGTCCAGACTCGATTATTTACAGACCGCCGTCATATATATAAACATGAGTGAGTAGGTTTCAAAGTGACATGACATGAGCAGAGGTTTTCAAAACATGACCGTAGTGTGTCAGTTTCATAATATTATCACATGAGCATGATGAGCATGTAGGATGAAAAATGTGTCCTAAGCAGCTGATTTGTAGGATGAAAAATGTGTCCTAAGCAGCTGATTTGTAGGATGAAAAATGTGTCCTAAGCAGCTGATTTGTAGGATGAAAAATGTGTCCTAAGCAGCTGATTTGTAGGATGAAAAATGTGTCCTAAGCAGCTGATTTGTAGGATGAAAACTGTGTCCTAAGCAGCTGATTTGTAGGATGAAAAATGTGTCCTAAGCAGCTGATTTGTAGGATGAAAAATGTGTCCTAAGCAGCTGATTTGTAGGATGAAAAATGTGTCCTAAGCAGCTGATTTGTAGGATGAAAAATGTGTCCTAAGCAGCTGATTTGTAGGATGAAAAAATGTGTCCTAAGCAGCTGATTTGTAGGATGAAAATGTCCTAAGCAGCTGATTTGTAGGATGAAAAATGTGTCCTAAGCAGCTGATTTGTAGGATGAAAAATGTGTCCTAAGCAGCTGATTTGTAGGATGAAAAATGTGTCCTAAGCAGCTGATTTGTAGGATGAAAAATGTGTCCTAAGCAGCTGATTTGTAGGATGAAAAATGTGTCCTAAGCAGCTGATTTGCAGGAGAGGGGCAGGGTTATTTATCTACATAGACTTATTTAGATAAGGTTTCTCATTCATTAAAAACAAGTATGTACTTTGTGTGGCAGGTATGAAGTCATGTAAGATTTGGTTTATTTGAAGTTGTCATTGTCTATAATTTTAACACAAGTAGTATCATTTTTAAGCGTTAGTCTATGGTTATTTCGAGCATGATTATGACATTTTTGTGCTGACAGAGACATGGCTCAAAGATCGTGATCAGTCTGTATTGGCTGAACTTCTTCCGGAAGGGTGTGACATCTTACAGGCTAACAGACTCATCGGAAGTGGAGGAGGTGTTGCAGTACTTTATAAAAGCTCTCTCAAATCTAACTTTATTGACATCAATCAAGGAAAACCTTCCATTTTATTCATTCAACTTTCAATCTGATGAATGACTTTGTGCGGATGATATGTATTTATCGCCCTCCTATATCAAGAAAACATAAGGTCACATTTGATGACTTCCTGGATGAGTTCTCTGATGTTTTGGAACAAGTTACGACAGATCAAGACCGATGAATTGCAATCTAACTTGAAAACTAATAAACATAAAATACTCAATGAAACGCTGATCATAATCAAAACATAATACCCACTCTGTGAGGTTTTTGCAGAATTTTTGTCCTAAAAATAAAAAAGTTGTTTAACAAACTATCATTAAAATATTGACACAGTCCATTGTTTGTTACGAGGGAGGAGTGCAGAGAAAGGGACAGCCAGGTGTTCGAGAACGGATGGAGACAGCACAGCACAGGTTAATGAATAAATAACTTTGTGAATGTGCTTCTCGAACACCTAGCTGTCCCTTTCTCTGCACTCCTCCCTCGTAACAACAGTGAACTGTGTCAATATTTTAATGATAGTTTGTTAAACAACTTATTTATTTTTAGGTGGGTGTCTATAAATAGCAATGTTTTGGTGCCATAGCTATTCAAAGTTTAGAAGAAATATGAGCTGACATATTTATGCTTATAATGTTAGGTTTATTGTTGATTTATTTCTCGAAACTTGACTTGCACCTGATGCAAGTTAAACTAATAACTAGGTTGCACTTTGTAATATTGGGTTGCACAAGTGCAAGTAACAAAGCACTAAATCGAGTCCTGCATTATGTAATGTGCATCTGTTCGCATGAATTGATATTACATTCATTCCTTATATGTTAGAAATGATATCACAGGTTCAATGATTGTATATATTTATCTACCTTTATATGTTTGTGCTTAACTTGGCACTTATTTTGTAAACATGTGTTTCAGGGTGTCTGTCAATAAAGAACAGATCCCACAACCCGTAATCAGTGTCTGGTCCTCAGAATTTCCATTCACATCCCGGTTACATTTGTACCATTGTGTATCATGATACAGGTGCATATGTATCAAATAAAAGGTGTGTGTGTATTGTGAGTATTACAATGAACTGTGGTGAAAGGGAGTTTCACTAAAATATCAAGGCTAATATATCTTCTTTGAGTCAGTCCCTTTATATAGAGAGTAGTGATGGTAAAGTCTGGTTTCAAGAGGGTCTGGTTTCAAGAGGGTCCAAATTAACAGGGTTACATACTAGTCCTGATATGATTCATTCGTGTATTCATTAAATTGAACCATAACTTTCATGAATTTAATTTATTTGTGAATATATATTCGCATTGGTATTCGCCTCATAGTGTATTCGTTGCAGCCCTATTACATACCAATTTCCCCCTCCTGTCCAGCCTTGGGAATACGAATCTGTGTACGTGTTTCAAGCTCCAGCTTCTTCTTGTTCTCTGCCTTCTTCCCAATGATGAATTTGAAGTATGCACTGGGTATGTTCAATAATATTCGGAAGCCGTTCTCCGTCTCCTCAATATTGCTGAAGGCATCACAAACTTCGTCGTTGTAAACACAGCTAGTGACATCATCTGTAACACAGAGACACCTTAATCAGGGGGGGGTGTTATGTTTGTTGTTTAATGCCACATCCAGCAATATTCCAGCTATATGGCAGTGGTCTGTAAATAATTGAGTCTGGACCACACAATCCAGTGATCAATATCCAGAGCATTGATCTACACAATTGGGAACCAATGACATGTGTCAACCAAGTCAGTGAGCCTGACCACCTGATCCCATGGTTGCCTCTTACAACAAGCATGGGTTACTGAAGATAAATTCCAACACGGATCTTCACAGGTCTCATGAGTCAGACTTAAGCTGGTTTTATAGTGCTAGCCCACTGAGATACCATGCCGCAGTGAAGCATGAATACCCCACTCAGACACATTATACCGACTCCGAGCCGACCAGTCCTTGTTGTACCCATTAATGCTGAGTGCCAGGCAGGGACCAGCAAGTAGAATAGAATAGAATAGAATAATACTTTAATGCCTTTTCAGGAATTTGTGTAACATCAGCAGAGCTACTGACACATCAGAGAGATACAAAACATATTTACATAAATTCATTGATTTAGGTATCTTCACATTTGTTTAAGAGAGTTATGGTACTTGGAATAAAGGATGTACGGGCTCTCTTAGTTTTCACAATTGGAACTTTGTAGCGGCGGCCTGAAGGGAGGAGGTTGTATTCCGAATTTAAGTAGTGAGTACGGTCAGATATGATTTTGACAGCTTGATTCACGATTTGCCGCTCATATATTGATGATAAACATTAAAATCTGACTACAGCGATTTTATTTGCAGTGTTAACAGTTTTGTCTATTTTAGATTTGAGATGAACTGAGAGAGATTCGTACCAACAATGGAAGGAAAATGTTAAAATACTCTGAATAAATGCTGCATAAAAAGATGACATCACAGATGGGTTAACATTAAAAGATCTCAGTTTACGCATGAGATGAAGACGTTGTTGACACTTTTTGTACAGGGCTTCAGTGTTAGAGTTCCAGTTCATCTTACAGTCAATGAAGGTTCCCAAATACTTATACTCCGACACTGTCTCAACACATTCACCGTTGATTATCACTGGAAGCATTTCTGTGGACTTACTGCGAAAGTCAATTTATCAGAACTTTCCTTTGTTTTTGTGACATTTAAGAATAAGTGGTTTTCTGCACACCAAGTCGTAAAATGATTAATGTCCTCTTTATACAGTTCTTCAGAATCAGTGTCGTTCAGTTTGCCGACAATTGCTGCATCATCTGTAAACTTTTGCAGTTGAACAGGTTGAATTTGAGCTTGCACAATCATTAGTGTAGAGGATGAAAAGAACAGGAGATATTACACAGCCTTGTGGTGCACCAGTGTTGGTGGTCCGTTTACTCCGTTGAACAGTTTCTGTATCATGATATGTGGCTGGATGGTGTTGAACGCAGATGAAAAGTCAACGAAGAGGATCCTGATGTATGACTTAGGTGTCTCTAGATGTTTATAGACATTATTCAGGAGTGACAGTGTGGCATCAACAACTCCTCTCCTTGACCTGTAGGCGAACTGAAGCCGGTCCAGTATGTCGGCAACTTCCTGACTGAGATGTCTCAACAAGATGTGTTCCAGCTACTTCATTGCTATAGATGTGAGAGCAACTGGCCTGTAGTCGTTGAGTTCTTTTGGTTGTGTCTTTTTAGGAACTGGTACAATTTCTGATGTTTTCCAGACCGAAGGAATAACGTGTGTATTCACTGAGAATTGAAACAATCTAGTGAAAATTTGAAGTCTGCACTCTTTCAACACAATGCCGTCAAGGTTGTCAGGTCCTTTTGCTTTTCTGATGTTAATTTTGGAGCAGCTTTGAATGACGTCAGCTTCTGATATATAGATACGACCTTCACTATCCTGTACAGCATCACTAACTTGAGCTCTCTCATTGATATAGTCGTGACAATCAAAGCGGCTGTAGAAAGTGTTGAGGTCCTCAGCAAAGGTCTTATTGTCCCCGGCTTTGGTTGTCTGTCGTCGCCTGCTCTTGCCAATCATCGTGTTCACGCCTTGCCAGGCTTGGTGCAGATTGCTTTGCTGAAACTGTCTCTCAACTTTCTCTTTGTACGCTAGTTTACATTCACGAGTTTTAAGATTGATGTCCTTCTGTACGCATTTGAGATTTAATCTATCTTTCTTAATGTACACTCGTTTCTTTTCGTTTAATAAAGATTTCATTTCTTTTGTGATCCTGGGCTTGTTGTTTGGGAAAATTCTGATTTCTTTTTCTGGTATTATGTTGTTGACACAAAAATTAATATAATCAGTAATGACGTCACCCATTCCTTCTAATGTTTCTTCTGCATCATAGAACATGTCCCAATCCGTACACACAAAACATCCTTGTAGAGTATCAATACATTCTTTGTTCCATGATTTGACAGTCTTAACATATTACCATATTTTAACATCTTTTGGTATGACACGATCGGGTATCGAACCTGCGACCTTCCACTCTCCGGGCGGATGCTCTAACTACTACACCACGGAGGCGGTCGAGTGAGTGAGTTTAGTTTTAAGCCGCTTTTAGCAATATTATAGCAATATGATGGCGGGGGACACCAGATCATGTGTCTCATGAGTAGGACAACATAGTATTACCTACATCCTGGTACACAGCAATATGATGGCGGGGGACACCAGATCATGTGTCTCATGAGTAGGACAACATAGTACTACCTACATCCTGGTACACAGCAATATGATGGCGGGGGACACCAGATCATGTGTCTCATGAGTAGGACAACATAGTATTACCTACATCCTGGTACACAGCAATATGATGACATGGGGACACCAGATCATGTGTCTCATGAGTAGGACAACATAGTATTACCTACATCCTGGTACACAGCAATATGATGGCGGGGGACACCAGATCATGTGTCTCATGAGTAGGACAACATAGTATTACCTACATCCTGGTACACAGCAATATGATGGCCGGGGACACCAGATCATGTGTCTCATAAGTAGGACAACATAGTATTACCTACATCCTGGTACACAGCAATATGATGGCCGGGGACACCAGATCATGTGTCTCATGAGTAGGACAACATAGTATTACCTATATCCTGGTACACGGCAATATGATGGCGGGGACACACCAGATCATGTGTCTCATGAGTAGGACAACATAGTATTACCTATATCCTGGTACACAGCAATATGATGGCGGGGACACCAGATCATGTGTCTCATGAGTAGGACAACATAGTATTACCTATATCCTGGTACACAGCAATATGATGGCGGGGACACCAGATCATGTGTGTCTCATGAGTAGGACAACATAGTATTACCTATATCCTGGTAACACAGCAATATGATGGCGGGGACACCAGATCATGTGTCTCATGAGTAGGACAACATAGTATTACCTATATCCTGGTACACAGCAATATGATGGCGGGGGACACCAGATCATGTGTCTTATGAGTAGGACAACATAGTATTACCTACATCCTGGAACACAGCAATATGATGGCGGGGGACACCAGATCATGTGTCTCATGAGTAGGACAACATAGTATTACCTACATCCTGGTACACAGCAATATGATGGCGGGGGACACCAGATCATGTGTCTCATGAGTAGGACAACATAGTATTACCTATATCCTGGTACACAGCAATATGATGGCGGGGGACACCAGATCATGTGTCTCATGAGTAGGACAACATAGTATTACCTACATCCTGGTACACAGCAATATGATGGCGGGGGACACCAGATCATGTGTCTCATGAGTAGGACAACATAGTATTACCTACATCCTGGTACACGGCAATATGATGGCGGGGGGGACCAGATCATGTGTCTCATGAGTAGGACAACATAGTATTACCTACATCCTGGTACACAGCAATATGATGGCGGGGGACACCAGATCATGTGTCTCATGAGTAGGACAACATAGTACTACCTATATCCTGGTACACAGCAATATGATGGCGGGGGACACCAGATCATGTGTCTCATGAGTAGGACAACATAGTATTACCTATATCCTGGTACACAGCAATATGATGGCGGGGGACACCAGATCATGTGTCTCATGAGTAGGACAACATAGTATTACCTACATCCTGGTACACAGCAATATGATGCATGGGGACACCAGATCATGTGTCTCATGAGTAGGACAACATAGTATTACCTACATCCTGGTACACAGCAATATGATGGCGTGGGGGACACCAGATCATGTGTCTCATGAGTAGGACAACATAGTATTACCTATATCCTGGTACACAGCAATATGATGGCGGGGACACCAGATCATGTGTCTCATGAGTAGGACAACATAGTATTACCTACATCCTGGTACACAGCAATATGATGGATGGGGACACCAGATCATGTGTCTCATGAGTAGGACAACATAGTATTACCTACATCCTGGTACACGGCAATATGATGGCGGGGACACCAGATCATGTGTCTCATGAGTAGGACAACATAGTATTACCTACATCCTGGTACACGGCAATATGATGGTATGGGGACACCAGATCATGTGTCTCATGAGTAGGACAACATAGTATTACCTACCATCCTGGTACACAGCAATATGATGGCGGGGACACCAGATCATGTGTCTCATGAGTAGGACAACATAGTATTACCTACATCCTGGTACACAGCAATATGATGGCGGGGACACCAGATCATGTGTCTTATGAGTAGGACAACATAGTATTACCTACATCCTGGTACACAGCAATATGATGGCGGGGACACCAGATCATGTGTCTTATGAGTAGGACAACATAGTATTACCTACATCCTGGTACACAGCAATATGATGGCAGGGGACACCAGATCATGTGTCTCATGAGTAGGACAACATAGTATTACCTATATCCTGGTACACAGCAATATGATGGCGGGGGACACCAGATCATGTGTCTCATGAGTAGGACAACATAGTATTACCTACATCCTGGTACACAGCAATATGATGGCGGGGGACACCAGATCATGTGTCTTATGAGTAGGACAACATAGTATTACCTATATCCTGGTACACGCAATATGATGGCGGGGGACACCAGATCATGTGTCTTATGAGTAGGACAACATAGTATTACCTACATCCTGGTACACAGCAATATGATGGCGGGGGACACCAGATCATGTGTCTCATGAGTAGGACAACATAGTATTACCTACATCCTGGTACACAGCAATATGATGGCGGGGGACACCAGATCATGTGTCTCATGAGTAGGACAACATAGTATTACCTACATCCTGGTACACAGCAATATGATGGCGGGGACACCAGATCATGTGTCTCATGAGTAGGACAACATAGTATTACCTACATCCTGGTACACAGCAATATGATGGCATGGGGACACCAGATCATGTGTCTCATGAGTAGGACAACATAGTATTACCTACATCCTGGTACACAGCAATATGATGGCGGGGACACCAGATCATGTGTCTCATGAGTAGGACAACATAGTATTACCTACATCCTGGTACACAGCAATATGATGCATGGGGACACCAGATCATGTGTCTCATGAGTAGGACAACATAGTATTACCTACATCCTGGTACACAGCAATATGATGGCGGGGACACCAGATCATGTGTCTCATGAGTAGGACAACATAGTATTACCTACATCCTGGTACACAGCAATATGATGGCAGGGGGACACCAGATCATGTGTCTCATGAGTAGGACAACATAGTATTACCTACATCCTGGTACACAGCAATATGATGGCGGGGACACCAGATCATGTGTCTCATGAGTAGGACAACATAGTATTACCTACATCCTGGTACACGGCAATATGATGGCGGGGGACACCAGATCATGTGTCTCATGAGTAGGACAACATAGTATTACCTACATCCTGGTACACAGCAATATGATGGCAGGGGACACCAGATCATGTGTCTCATGAGTAGGACAACATAGTATTACCTACATCCTGGTACACGGCAATATGATGGCGGGGGACACCAGATCATGTGTCTCATGAGTAGGACAACATAGTATTACCTACATCCTGGTACACGGCAATATGATGGCATGGGGACACCAGATCATGTGTCTCATGAGTAGGACAACATAGTATTACCTACATCCTGGTACACAGCAATACGATGGCGGGGACACCAGATCATGTGTCTCATGAGTAGGACAACATAGTATTACCTACATCCTGGTACACAGCAATATGATGGCGGGGGACACCAGATCATGTGTCTCATGAGTAGGACAACATAGTATTACCTACATCCTGGTACACGGCAATATGATGGCGGGGGACACCAGATCATGTGTCTCATGAGTAGGACAACATAGTATTACCTACATCCTGGTACACAGCAATATGATGGCGGGGACACCAGATCATGTGTCTCATGAGTAGGACAACATAGTATTACCTACATCCTGGTTGGTACACAGCAATATGATGGCGGGGGACACCAGATCATGTGTCTCATGAGTAGGACAACATAGTATTACCTACATCCTGGTACACGGCAATATGATGGCCGGGGACACCAGATCATGTGTCTCATGAGTAGGACAACATAGTATTACCTATATCCTGGTACACAGCAAAATGAAATGAAATTTATTTTCTGACACATGAGTAATGTAAAGATATTTTGCAAAAAAACCCAAAAACCCTTCCTACCTACCTACCCTAGTTCTGAAATGTAGGAAATCGGAACCATAACATTTATTTTTTTGGGCCTAATAAACATGCATGATACACATTAGTGTATCACGTCAGTCATAAAATAGCTACGGTAATACATACAGTCACCATAGCTATACATGACACATATACATGATACAAATTACAGCATCATGGTGGTATAAAATACCCTACAGTACAAATAAACTCACGCCAGTATACTAATGTACTGGTGCACAATACATCATATATTTGTCTAAAACACTAAGTATGCATACAGTAGAACACGGATATAACGAACTCCAAGGGACCAAGAAATTTAGTTCGCTATATCCGTTGTTCGTTATTCACATTTGACCGTCATCTTGGATTGTAGAGATGTAGAGACATGTATATGCTGAGGCTACAAATCTTTATTCTTGTACATGTACATTGACATAACACTTAGTGTTCGGTGGAAGGAAGACCAGTTTGACGTGTGTCCGGTGTTTCACAACAGGATGGGCAGGACAATTGTCTACAAACATCAGGATCTTATGTTTTTGTCTCGTCATACTCTTTTCCAGGTTTTTTATCCACTCTGTGAATAATTCACCAGTCATCCAGGCCTTGGCATTTGATCTGTACGTTACTGGCAAACTGCGTACATTTTTTAAACATCTAAGCTTTGCTGACTTCCCTGTGACTAACAACTTAAGTGTTTCACTCCCGGACATGTTTGCCACTTGATGTATACCGCTAAGTGGCTGAGCTGACACTGAGTGAGTTCGCTAATCACGTCGTTAATTGGGTCTTGGGGGTAGTAAATCAGTTCGCTATAGCCATTAATTCGCTACTCACGAGTTCGTTATTCGCGTATAATTTTAATGATATTATAAAGGACTATTGACGGGACTTTTACATTTGTTCGCTATATCCGTTTGTACGCTATATCCGTGTTCGCTATATCCATGTTTTACTGTATATTTATAGACAAACACCTAACATACACTAAATAAGATCAAACACTATTCATTAAAACATATAATCTAACACACTAAATCGTAATAGCCCTACTATACATACAATACTAAAACATTTAACTTACCCCATAATGTGCTGGTGTTGTGCTGTGATTCTCATGGAGAAAGATGTAGAAAGTAAAAGGCAGTAGAAAGCTTTAATATGATAAGGTCAGTGATAGCTGAAATCTATGAAACAATGGAAACCATGACAACATTCCAATGCAGAGACTGAACCTGACACAGATCACTTACCTAATCTAACCCCTAACAATAGACCCCAAGCTAGATGCTGCAACAAGATTACCAATGAGCTAGAAAAACATGCAGTGCAAGTGTTAGTGTTAACATGGGTAATGCATAGGTGGAACCAGAGGGAGGTGCATCCCCCCCGCCTTTTTTCCAGAAAGTTCATCAAAACTCTAGTGAAAACGGGTGAAAATGACCTGTGCATCCCCCACCCCACCCCCCACCCTTCTCAAAAAGCTACATCCGCCCCTGTAATGATAGGATATTTTTACCGTTTATAATAATGAAGTTTAACACATTAAAAATGTTACCCTTTATTTACACATTGTTACAATACCATCTACCAATTCAATGATAAATGACAACAGGGGATAGGCTTGTACAAAACGAAAACTGTAACTCACCTGTGAACATGTCCTCTTCTGCTGTATTTACTTCATTTTTATTAATTGGATTTTTTCTGTAACATCTGTTTGATACGACAACAATCTGTGGGCGAAGCACGTCCATTACGTGACTTGTGTCTTGAGTTATGAATGTAATGTACTTCACACACGAAGATTATGATATATTTAGTTCAGTTTAGTGCTGCTGACATGTCAACAATCTCTTCTCGCGTGTTTTCAGAGGAAGTTGGTATCGGAAGTTTAGTGAACGCATGCGCAGTCCATTCGATAAAAATGTCAGCCATGAATGAACCTCGGAAAGTTGCAGGTGCCCGTTTGATTGTCTGTTACTGAATTCCCTGCGGAGGTATTTTATCAATTGTGAGTGATCATCTATATGACATTAGCATGTGTGTGTCCTGTTATTCAAACATTATTTCTAAAAGTCACTGATTTTCGTCTTGAATAATTTCTATTTTCACAGTCAGTCTGTCAAATATTTTTATTTTTGAAACACATTGTTTCGTTTGTACTTTCGGTTTTAAATATATGACTGTACTTGTGTAATAACAATCCCATAAATATTGAACTGTTATCTTTATGGATAATTATTGCATCGGCCATAATATCCGGTCACTTTACCGGTTTCTAGTCCTTTAAATTATCATGTTCAAGGGAAACAGAGAGAGGTTGTCGATGACATTTGAATGTATGCATGTATTGCACAATTTACTGATGGTGAAAAGGCCTTCCTGTTAGGAATGTTCGTTTTACTATCTCAGAATTGTGACCTGCCTGTTCTTTGCAGGAAATTGTTTGTAACGACAAAAACTGTGACTAAACATGCTTTCATAAAATAAATAATAAACAGTGTTGAAGTACATACCGCCAATTCGAAATAATCAGTTTCATGTTGCGTAATTTCATTTATCTCTGACATTTATGATATTTTGGCATATTACATTTTACTGGGTTCAGCTTATAAGTATGTCACATGCCTCTTGGATCCTTTGTGTTAGTTGTACATAGGATTAAAGGATATATATTCAATAGTAAATATGCTGCACAATACAATGTTAGGTACCAAATAAACTGATATAACAGATTGACTTAAATACAAAATATAAATACCTTGTACTTAAACATACTGTTCAAAGACTTTGTGCGGAAAGATATGTGCTATGGCACTGAACGTGATTACAACATGGAGATATACCCCAAGTCTTTCTCAAATGTAAAGAAAATATTCCTACCCAGTAAGTTGATGTAATATAAGGACATGATCTCAACTGCCCCACTTATGGAGTGCTATGTTCCTGGACTTGAAGGATGTTACTCATTAGTGTTGGGAATTGGTTAAAATCTCACAATTGATGATTAGTTCATTACCACCGATCAATCATCGAAAATAATTGGTTAGCATCATTTATGAAATTTGTTAATGCACAAATTAATAAGGACAAAAACATGTAGTTATTTTTGGGAGTTTTGCTAAATTTCACATCTTTAAAGGATGACTAGTATGTTCGGAACATAAATTTCTTGGTGTCTTTAAGATAAATTCAATCATGACTTGGAACAAGCTTGTAATGATTATGAAATGTAACAGACAAAACCAACTCTGTGAAAAATATTTTTGATGAAAACAAGTGTTCCAGAATTGTTTGTGTTCGATTATGAAAAAACATGATCGATTGCTTGGTCGTTTAGTCACTGCGACCAATCTTCGATTATTTCAATTAATCGGACCACCACTTTTACTCATAGACCATGTAGACTAAATATACTACAATAATGCACATATACTATTACTATTCACAAAGATTTGAATTTGAATATCTACATTTGTATGTTAAACAAACCATCTACAAATACTTATTAAACATTCTAAAAATAAAATCAATACTTGCACACTTCCATTCATTCACTAGATGTGATATCATCAGGGGTGGAAATAACTCTAAAATTGCTAGTGTACTCCGGTATAGTGGCACATGTAAAATCACTTGCCCTGATAATCTTTTCACTATACCGGCCGTTTTCTTGTTGATTTCTTAAATAAACAACATAATTAATATTGGAAAGTCAACTGGACACCGGTACAGTGTGATATACAAATTTGCTTGCCCAACAGAAAAAAACACTGGACTCGGGCGTCGGGCAATGGGTTATTTCCACCCCTGTATAATATTTAGTGATCTTTGTAAATATTTAATTAGACAGTCATAAGCTACTTTAAACTGATATTACATACATTTTGTTTACTCTTAGAGACAATACAAATACTGTATTATTCCAATACTAGGGCTGCGCACTATAACTGGTTTACCGGTTTTTACCAGTTCAGACGTGAAAACAGTACGTATTGCGATACGTGATCGTAAAACCGGTATCTTGACATGCATTTGAGTGTTTTAGGACAGAGCCTTGGGGTACTCCACACTTCAATATAGTAGCAGGTGACATGGTGTTCTGTACACATACAGACTGGGTTCTGTCCTGTAGATAGACTGGGTTCTGTCCTGTAGATAGACTGGGTTCTGTCCTGTAGATAGGAAACACACCACTTGAGGGCAGTCCCGTGGATACCGTAATCTTTTCCAACCGATCTGTCAGAAGTTTATGATCCACAGTATCAAAGGCGGAAGACAAGTCTAAGAGAACAAGCATTCCAAAGTTACCTTCATCTACATCTTTGTCATTAGACTGAACATATCTTTGTCATGCCAAAGACTCAGGTTCGATTCCCTACATGGGCACAATGTGTGAAGCCCATTTCTGGTGTCCCCCACTGTGACAATAGGCTTTGGCATTGCATTAGTGTTTTTATATCTTTTGGTGAGGACCTGATAGCTAAATAATTGTTTGTTGTTCACATTCACAACCCTCCTATGAATGTGTGTGCAATTCTGCCAACAACATACTGTGCATAATCCAGCAAGTACCAAGAAGAACAGCCAGGTAACCAACAAACGTGTGCAGTGAAATTTCAATTTCACACGTACAACTCGCACACCTGGCTGTTCTACCAGCAAGTGGTCCTCCCTCGTAAGAAAATAGCGAAAAGTGACCACAAAATAATGATCGTTTGTTAAACAGCTTTTTTATTCTGGTGTCCAAAATTATGACTCAAATCATCAGAGCTGTCTGTCGATTTCATGGGACTGTGCAACATTTGGTTTTGTTGCAGTTATTAGATTTTGTGTTAGTGAGCAATTCATCAGTCTCAAATGATGTCAACCGGACTTTACTTACTCATATATACATACACAAACATAAACCCCCAGCCCCAACACAAATCAGCATGCCTGTCTAGCTGACAGAAGTTGAAGAGTTAGGACAGGTCGGGACAACCAAATAACAACAGAAAGTTCTTTTCACTTCAGGGGTGGTGGGTAGCCTTGTGGTTAAGGGGTTTGCTTGTCACACCAAAGACCTTGGTTCAGTTCCCCACAAGGGCACAATGTGTGAAGCCCAATTATGGTGTCCCCCACCATGCTATTGCTGGAATATTTCTAAAAGTGACATAAAACTGAACTCGCTCACTCACTCAATTTTTACTTCAGTCATCTTTACCATGACGTCGGTCGGCAGTGATGTCGGAGCTGAACCAAGCAGCACGAGTGAAGACGAGCAAGGGATGTGTGTGAAATCATCAGTGTTGGATGTTGAGCAGGGCACCATGGAAGAATGTGTGAAGCCCTCTGAGGCTGTTGATGCTCTTGGACAGCAGCTAAGATATCCCTCTGATGAAGACCATGCTGGGAATGAAAGAGTTACCTCCCCTAGTGATGTTGGCAGTGGAGGTAAGATGCTCAGATTTATGTCAGGCCTTGTGATGTTCAGTTTGAAGTCACTATACTAGCAAGAGACTGAACAAATGGGAGTTTCTCATTTAGGTCATGTGTATTACAATTGTATCCTAAACTCCAACCAATCCACTTTGGAAAACAGTTCTGCCCAAGCTACAAGTACCTTTAAAGCTATGGGCCATGTTTTTGCATGGAAAGTGAAAGGTTTCATTTATGTCAGCTGTTCATTATATATTTTGGTGGAACTTGAGCATTTGCCTGTGATTTAAGTCAGAGGTTGAAAATGAATACCAGTATGTTTCTTATCAATATCTGAATCAGTCTTGGACTAAGAGCACTGCCAAATACACACAAACTATACACTACAGGTTGCACAAAGTCACTGTGTGTTGAGTTGCATTACTTAGACATGCAATAAAACCATGGGTTTGAATCCTGTTCTGATCATATTTCCAACACCAACTCCGTTGTGTAGTGGTTAGAGCGTCCGCCTGGAGAGCAGAAGGTCATGGGTTTGTTCCCCGGCCGCGTCATACCTAAAGATGTTAAGATGTGGTACTTGTTGGTCCCTGCCTGGCACTCAGCATTAATGGGTACAACAAGGACTGGTCGTCCTAGAGTCATTATAATGTGTCTGAGTGGGGTATTCATGCTAAACTGCGGCATGGTATCTCTGTAAGCTAGCACTATAAACCCAGCTTAAGTTTGGGCTAGTACAAGCAGCCACACATACACATGCGTGCACATCGTCATATGAGCGAAATATTCTTAAGTGCGACATTAAACCCCATTTCACCTCACCTGATTATATGTCCAGGTTTGACAACACTGTACACTTGCCCTTTGGTTCCGTCAAAGTGGTAAGCTTCTAAGACTTGCATCAGTTAGACTATGTCCCAACTGGAAACATGTTAAAGGAGGAGTTCAACTTGCTTTCTCCCTAGAACTCAACTTTGTTTTCTTTGGTTGTAGGTCAAAGCAGTTCAACCTTTAAAGTACAAGAAGAAAGCCTCTCTAGCATGGTGTCCACCGACAGGCCAGACAGACAGGAAGTCCACACAGGTGGGGATACATTTGCACATGGTTACATGGGATATGTGGAGTTGAATGGGCTTGTAACCCATACTCTCTCTCTTTCTCTCTGCCTCTCTTTCCTTCTCTCTCAGGGGCGGTGGGATAGTCTAGTGGTTAAAGCGTTGGCTCGTCACGCCGAAGACCCGGGTTCGAATACCCACATGGGTACAATGAGTGAAGCCCATTTCTGGTGTCCCCCGCCGTGATATTGCTGGAATATTGCTAAAAGCTGCGTAAAACCAAACTCAGTCAGTCAGTCAGTCCTTCTCTCTCTCACACACAGACACACACTTGGTTCACCTTCACTCACACAGAGAAAGAGAGAGTTCACTCACACACACATAGTTCAAGTACGCAAAGCTCTCACTCAATCACTCAATCAATCACTCAATCACTCCAGGAAATATTGCTGACCATGCATAAATCATCATAGACTTTCTCTTTTTCTTGCAGTGAGGTACTCCAGTCCAGTGTCCAATTCTTTCGCAGATGCCACCATGTCTTGTTCAAAGGATATTAGAGGTATGTAAGCTTGTATGACCTGCATTGTCCATTTTCTATAATATTGGTAAGACTTCTTGGTGTAATCTTCAGGCTGAAACAATTCCACTTACTCCAGTTAGCTCCCTCTAACTCAACACCTTTCAGGATCTAATGCTGGTTAAATTCTGTTACATATGCTTGTTACTAGTGTTGGGAATTGGTTAAAATCTCATAATTGATGATTGGTTCATTACAACCGATCAATCATCGAAAATAATTGGTTAGCGTCATTTATGAAATGTGTTAATGCACACAAAAATAAGGGAAAAAACGTAGTTCTTGGGGGTTTTGGCAAAATTTCACATCTTTAAAGGATGACTAGTATGGAGGAACATAATTCTTCTTCATAGAGATCGTCCTTGGGGTACATATTATGCATTTTCCGGCTGAAAAATGTCCTGTGACAGTTGTATCAATGTTGTTTGAATAAAAAGATTGAACAATAAATAAACTCTTTTATTTATTATACGGCCCCTACCTCACGGAGTTACCGCCCGTGCGCATGCGCACCATATTCCGCGAACTTTCCCGTGGTTTACGCACGTGTTGCTCTGCCATGGCGGGAAGTTTAGCGTGCCATGTGGTCGTAATATTGCGTATTGAACCAACTATTACTTTCCGTGGTAGCCTTCACGTATTTTTCAATGTTTTCTACGTGTATATATGCTGCTGGTCCGCCGTTAGCTACATGCTTGCGTGTTTGCTTTCAGGCCTTTTCATCCTGTTCGGTCTGTGGACAGAGCATTCCACGGGCCGACAGGCATGACCAGTGCGTCGCCTGTCTAGAAAAGACTGGCCATGACGCGGACACATGTACCATATGTCTTGGGTTTTCCCCCCGGGCCCAAAAGCGGAGGGCGGCGGACACGCTATTTTACAAAGAGATGCGTGAGGCGGGTGGGGAACTGACGCAGGTCCCCCCGTCTAAGACTAAGAAACAGTCACGTAAGGGAAAAAAATCCCGAAGCCAAACCCCGTCTCCTGCTAGTACTGGTGGTTTTGATATGACACTAATGGACAAATTGTTTCAGCAGCATATGGACTCTGTGAAGTCCCTTGTTCGTGAGTCTGTTGGAGGTCTCCGGCAGGAGTTCCTTGCTCACTCCGGACGGGGGGCGGAGAGTCAGGGGGTGGGATCGCCGGGCTCGGCTCGATCCCTCAGCCTTGAGGCGTCTGTAGACCCGTTGCCTCTGGCCGGGTCCGACGCCTCTCGGCTGCCCCAGAGGGGAGGTGCTCCCAGTCCCCTCTCGGAGTTGGCGCAGGGACCGTTGAGTATTCCTGGTGTTCCGGTCCCTGCGCACTCCCGCCCCATGAGAGCGGAGGCACCAGTTCTGCCTGGTCTGCCTCCAGCGTCTCGGGACCGGGGTCCGTGCACGCTTCCAGGCGCCGACGTGGAGCGCTCTGTCTGCTCTTCCCTCTCTGTGCTTCCTAGCGCTAGGCCGCCCACCGGGTCGGGGTTAGGGTCCTCTTTGGAGGAGACCCAGCCTCTGACTTCGGGCACCGGCGCCGAGTCAATGGAGCTTGGGGAGGTAGAGGAGCATGACGGAGGTTTCCGCTTTGCCTCGGCTCTGCGGGAGGTCGGCAAAGAATTGCCGAGGGCCTACCCCAAGCCGCGGTGCCTGTTGGCCGCTCGGACTCGGCTGAGTTCCGCTTGCCAGGCGAGGCGTTTGCCCCTCGGCAGCCCTCGCAGACGCAGCTCCGCATTCTGCCTTCGTTGGTTCAGGACGTGGTCGAGCCCCTCTTGTCTGGTACCCGTGTTCGGTTCGACTTGCCGGACTTAGTATGGAGGTACCAACTTGGGGAGGACTCCCTGTTCGTTGTTCCCATCGTTGACGAGTGCGTGTTCACTTCCGTCGCCCTGGGGGGAGGCTCGGCTTCCTCCGGAACAGCTCCGGCTGCTCGGCAAGGGCGCCTCACTCCACCGTTTGCCCTCGCGGGCGACCCCCTGCGGCACGCGTACCGGACCTACGAGGTGGTCTACCAGAACGCGATGCAGCAGGTCAGGGTGGTGGTCCATGAGGCCTCTCCTCGATTCAGAGGTCGGCCCTGAGGCGGAGGGCATGCTCGGCGTTTACCGCGGTAAAGATGTGCTGCTCCGTCCGGAAGTGCAGGCACACCTTGGCGCGAATCTTTGGCGGTCTGCTGCGCCGACGGTGATGTGCGCAGTCATGGGGATCGCAGAGGCTGTGGCTGTCGACGGCGTCACCGGTGCTCCACAGCGACGCAGCAGACCTTGCTGGCCCTCCCTTTCCGTCTGGGAGCGACCCTCTTTCCAGGGGCACAGCAGGTCATCAGGGAGGCTGCAGCTGCAGCTACCTCCTTCAAGGACTCTAAGGCCTTGTTGGAGCATCCGCGGGTGTCTCGCCCCAGCTCCCGCTCCACCTTCCTCCGCCGGGTGCAGCCTACACCCGAGTCTGCCGGCTGGCTTCGGCCGCTTGGTAGGGGTAGGCGGAGGAGCAGGTCCGCCAAGGGTAGGGGCAAGGAGCAGTCCTCTGCCCCGACCTCCCGTTAACCCATCAGGCTGCCGCTCAAGCCGTGTGTCACACCCAGTCAGCTCTGCTGCTCGGGACAACGCAGCTTCCTACCCCATATCCCAGTGGGAGGTCAGCTTCTCTCCTGCCGGAATGGGGAGAAGGCTACCAACAATTTTTGCGGTCTGCAGCATCGGCCATTTACCACTGTGGAAGCGAGGTCCGCCGGCATCGCCGCATACCGTGCCGCCATGTCAGGCAAGGGCGGACATATTGCAGTTCAGGCTCTGCTGGACAAGGGCATTCCACCGTGAGAGGAACAGGGCGGGATTTTACTCCACGTACTTCCTCGTCCAAGAAAGAGGCGGGTTGGCCCCATTCTCAACCTCTGAATCGCGATGCAGGGAAGTACCATCCTTCAAGATGGAGACACTCGGTGATCTCATCTGTTCAGCCCGACAGCTCAAATCAATCGACCTAAAGGATGCGTGATTCTGCATGTGCCCATACATCCATCGTTCAAGCAGTACCTTGGTTCTCCGGGATGTGTTACCAATTCAGGGTGCTCCCCTTGGCATATCGACTGCCCCAAAGGGTGTTCACCAAGCTCATGTTAGTCCCAGCTACCTCGCCGCTCGCAAGGAAGGCGTTGTTACCATTACCTCGGCGACTGGTTGCTCGGAGCACTAACACAGCCAGCGAAGTCTAGATGCTACTCACACAGTGATAGACATTCTAACTTCACTGGGGTGGATAATCAACCTCAAGCAGGTACCCACCCAGGACTTGGTTTTTCTGAAGCAGGATCTCCGTTCCTTGGGAGGCAGACGGTGTCCCCAGCCCCAGGCCTCCGGAGGCGCCATATGGGACTTTCTCCTCTGCTTTGGTGCGATCAGTGCGACTGTCAGGTACTCACCCCTGTTTATCTCCCGGGCTGGAGACGGGCGTTCTGGGCAGCGAGCAGATGCGGCTCTCGGAACGGATCCTGGCCCTGCGACAACCAAGTGGATGCTCGACAGGCAGATTTTCAGTCAGTAATCTCCCAGTTGTGCAGATGGTCGCTCCAGGTGGATCTGTTTGCGTCCGATCTGTTTGCGTCCGTGGACGCATCAGACACCCGATGTTCTGCTCTCGGATACCGGACCCAGGGGCGTTGGCTGCCGACGCCTTCCTGCTGGATTGGACGGGCAAAGTGCTCTGGGCGTTCCCGCCGTTACCACTCATTCCCGTGTCCTTTCACAGCTGTCCACCCAGCCAGCTCGGGCTACTTGTGCTACTGGCACCGCTTTGGCCGTCCACAGAGCGGTTTCGGTAATTCTCAGGTTTCTGGCTCAGCCTCCTGTTCTATTACCTTTACGACCGGACATTCTCACTCAGAACGGAGCCCCACCCAAATCCACGGATTCAGTGGGTGGCTTGGCCTCTGTCAGGTCTAACCTCGAGGCACGGAATTCCTGCAGCAGTTGCAGACACAATTCTGGCTTCGGACGGGATTCGACAAACGTTCAGTACGAGGATAGGTGGTCCCGCTATGCGCGCTGGTGTTCAGATAGGGGGATTGCAGATCCCTTTTCTGCGGATTTAGTCCGAGTATTGGAGTTTTTGCAAGCTCGTTTGGAAGAAGGCCTGGCGGCTTCGACCATTCGTGGCTACTCCACCGCTATTTCCACTTTTCACACCCTTGTCGATGGTGCTCTTCTGGGGCAGCACCCTCTCGTACAGCGCTTTCTTGCTGGCGCGGAACGGATTCGACCTGCGCTCAGGCGAACCAGTCCACCTTGGGATTTGTCAATTGTGCTAGATTGGCTGTCCGGTCCCACTTTCTCACACCTATCGGCTATTTCCATTCAGTTGTTAACTTGGAAAGCTGTTTTTCTGGTGGCGGTAACATCTGGACGTAGGGTCGGCGATTTACATACTATGTCGTCCGACCGGCGCTGACTGTGTTTCACACGGATCGTGTCAGTATTAGCCTCCCAGATACTTACCGACCGAAGGTCGATCACGCTTTCCATGTGACAGCTCCTATCGAACTTCCTACTCTTACCCAGCCTTCCACATCGGGGACCACTCCTACGAGCACTCACCCGTTGGATGTCCGTGAAGACGCTCAAAGTCTATATCAAGCGAGCGTAGGGAATCTGCACGGGTACCCAGCTGTTCTGTTGTTACGGTGGCGGGAAGGCTGGTGTGCCAGCGAGCAAGCAGACTTTGTCTCGCTGGCTAGTTTTCGTATTTGTGCCGCTTATCAGGCTAAGGGCAAGCCTCCCCTGAGGGGTTGAAGGCTCACTCGGTCAGGGCAGTAGCCGCATCAAAAGCTTTTGCATCGGCACTCCCCATTGAAGAGATCTGTTCTGCCGCTATTTGGAGCCGCCAAGACGCGTTTATACGGCACTATCAGCTCGATACACATTCCCCGTAATCGCGCGAGGTTTGGCCGTTTGGTTCTCTCCAGTGGACAGTGTCCTGCCACCCTGACCGAGTGAGTCTTGGTTTATTGGTTTGTTTTTTGACGCTGCTGTACAATAATTGCGTATTATTGACATATCTGCTACTGTGAGCTAACTACATGTACCCCCTTCGATTCTCTCAGGAGTTATTTGTCGAATGTGGCGGTATTTACATTCCCCCCTACGGTGCTCACTAATAGACACATGGTGGGTGGGGCTTTGTTGACATTCGCACCACGTGCGTTGTCTCACTATGCTAAATGGAGGTCGTCTTTGAGTACAATTCCTCCCTGTCAGTTCCCCTCCCATAATGCCTCTCGCCGAAGCGCAACTGGGACAAGTGACAGGTGAGTGTTATGGCGTCTGTTCAATTTTTTTCCATGATACGATCGCTATATTTTGTGTGTACTTGGACAGAATTCCCTCCTCCCTGGCCTCCGGTCTTTGGGAGTCTGTGTTTATGCATAATATGTACCCTAAGGACGATCTCTATGAAGAAGAATTAACCAAACCTGAAGAGGTTTTCAATTCTTCGAAGAGAGAGTCGCCCTTGAGGTAGGAACCTCCGCCTCCCGCAATTCTGTTCACTGATATATTCAGCAGAAGGAATGATGATACGGGTCTAGGAGCCTACCCAGTTGGTGCGCATGCGTAACGGGAGGTAACTCCGTGAGGTAGGGGCCGTATAATAAATAAAAGAGTTTATTTATTGTTCAATCTTTTTATTCAAACAACATTGATACAACTGTCACAGGACATTTTTCAGCCGGAAAATGCATAATATGTACTACCCCAAGGACGACTCTCTTCGAAGAATTGAAAACCTCTTCAGGTTTGGTTAAATTTCTTAGAGTCTTTAAGATAAATTCAATCATGACTTGGAACAAGCTTGTACTGTAGTGCTTATGAAATGTAACAGACAAAACCAACCTAGTGGAAATACTGTTAATGAAAATAAGTGTTCTAGAATTGTTTGTGTTCGATTATGAGAAAACATGATCGATTGCTTGGTTGTTTAGTCACTGCGACCAATCTTCGATTATTTCAATTAATCGGACCACCACTACTTGTTATATTGAGTAATCAATAAATCATCAGCAAAACTAAATAGGCAGCGTTAATCAAAAGAACCTTCTGAACAATTTGATTATCTTACAGACCCATGTGCAGTGCACGGAAGCAGCGGCTTGTACAACCTAGGAAACACATGCTTCATGAACGCTGGGCTGCAGTGCCTCACGTCCACTGCCTCCCTTGTCAAGTTTCTGCTGGAAGACTTTGTTCTTGAAGAAACCAACAAGAACACACTCCTGGGTCAGTTCTATAAGCTGCTGTGCAAGATGTGGTGTGGCCAGTTTTCTGTCATCCATCCTAAGGAGTTTAAGGACACTCTTGGACTTTACCATTCCCAGTTCCAGGATTACAGACAGGTGAGATTGGAGCTCTAGAACTATGGACATTGCACTAAGTATGTTAAATCAAGCGTGCTTCAGCTTGTCCACCACATGGCTCTGTCCTGCTTGTATCCTCCTCAAGGAAGGTCGTGGGTTCGACCCCCGACCGTGTCATACCAAAAGATGTTAAAATATGGTACTTGTTGGTCCCTGTCTGGTGCTCGGCATTAATGGGTACAACAAGGACTGGTCGGCTCGGAGTCAGTATAATGTGTCTCAGTGGGGTATTCATGCTTCACTGCGGCATGGAGGGGCGGTGGGGTAGCCTAGCTGTTAAAGCGTCCGCTCGTCACGACGAAGACACGGGTTCGATTCCCCTACATGGGTACAATGTGTGAAGCCCAACTTTGGTTGCTAAAAGCGGCGTAAAACTAAACTCACTCACTCACTCACTGCGGCATGGTATCTCAGTGGGCTAGCACTATAAAACCAACTTAAGTCTGGGCTAATACAAGCAGCCGCACATACACATGCATGCACGTCGTCATATGAGCAAAATATTCTCAAGCACGACGTTAAACCCAATTTCACCTCACCTCACCTCAGGGAGTCTACAAGACTGCAGGTCTATTTTGACCAGACTGTAGATTTTTCAGAGCTATGCAATATAGAGGGATGAACACCAAGCTGCAGGGACATGCTCTAAGTGCTTACAACATGATATACATTATTACCCCGGATAACCAAAGATGCTGTGAGGTGCTGGAAGGTTAATAGTGATATGACTTAATAGCAGAGATGCCAACCCATACGATTTTATCGTATTCGTTACGAAAAAACAATACAAAATACGCGACTACAATAGCAGTAAAAATATAAGAATTAAAAAAAAACACATTAAATTAAATTATGAAGTAGCATACGTACCATACACAATAAAGTTTGACCTCATATTGAGTATCAAGCTATATGTAGATACTGACTACTGATTTAGGTGCATACAGTGTTAATTACAAGAATACCTATATATTTCATTATTAAATATGAAAATTCTTTGGAAAAGTTAATACTAATTTTGGCCCCCAAAATACTAATTATTGCATCAGATTTGGCCAAAATACTAACTGGGCTAAATTAGGGTTGATATCTCTGTAATAGTCACATGACTGCCGGGTGAACAGAGGCACTTCTGAACAAACTCACTTAAGGTGAGACCGCAGGTGTCACTTGTGTTATGGTGTACTTCCTTGTGTCAAGCTGGTCTGTTAGTAAGGATCTCTGGAATGTCTCTGATCTTGTATGTTACTGATCATATAATCTGAGACCCGTGGAGATCCAGGTTAGAATTGGTCTTCAGCAACCCATGCTTGTCATAAGAGGCGACTAACAGGACCTGGTGGTCAGGCTTGTGGACTTGGTTGATACATGTCATTGTATCCCAATTGCACAGATCGATGCTCATGCTGTTGATCATTGGATTGTGTGGTCCAGACTCGATTATTTACAGACTCTCGCCATATAGCTGGAATATTGCTGAGTGCGGCGTAAAACAACAACCAAACCAAATCATATAATCCTACGATTCTATCGCTGACAGAACCATAAGACTAATTTCACTCACTCATGTGTTCTGTATTTCAGCACGACTGTCAGGAGTTTCTTGCACTCCTGCTAGACACATTTCACGAGCAGCTCAACACGGGGCGGTCCAACCTGGCCCCTCTCTCCAACAACGAGGCCATGCCTGGGTGCTCACCTTTACATGTCCTCGAGCCCCTGTCCAACTCGCTCAATAATCAAGACTCTTGTCTGCTGATGGAAATGTCAGATGCTGGTGATGACCAAACCCCAGATGGAACTTTATCATGTGATAACAATCATGTGACTAGCTCTCATAGTCAATCAAAGCCCTCTGTGTTTGTGATCAAGTCGACACGGAGAACCAAACGTTGCTACGGGCCCAAAGACAGGCAGCGAGTGTATATCTAGTACCACTGTAAATAATTCCTCCATGTTTTCTTCCGAAGACAGCAACCAATCAACAGTGTCCCTGCACAGTACGGACTCCGAACAAAGCCTGAATATCAAGAAGTTGCAGCTGCAGTCGACAGGAGATGTGGGCAGATCAGAAGAAGATGTTACCATGGGAACGGTATCCTCATCCACCGATTCTATGGATAAGAACAACCACAGAACAAATATCAACATATGCAACACAAATACCTCCATGCTGAACATGACAGCTAAAGCAGCTCACCTAGATGCCAGGACAGGCCACAATGTCGTTTCCAGCAAGACGGACAACTTGGCCCAGTTGAATAATATTTGTTCCTCTAAATTACCATCAAGCTTGCTTGAGTATTACGGTAAGGAAACCAAAACTCTTAATACAAATGTGTTAGTTAACGAAGCAGCTGAAGGCGAGATAGCAATAGATTCAGATAAGTTTGCCAAACAGGATAACCGGCGGCCAGTGCAGGAGGAAGTGAATATATTACAGGAAGTTCTCGGGGAAGAAGCAAAGGCTGACAAGGATGTCGATCCAGTGAATTTTGGGATCAAGGATACAAACCTGCGTGTTGAAAAAAAGAGCCGCTTTCTGTCCAAATCCTGTCCTAATGTTTTGGATTCGGAAAGGGTTCAAGATGTTTATGAATTAAATAATATCAAGCGAATCAAGATCGACTCTGCTGGGCCCAGTAAGCATGTTTCTATGCATGAATCTGAGAAAAATGTTCAAATGCAGGAAATGTCCAAGTTCAATACTCAAAAAGTTCTAGAGGAAGAAATGTCAGACGGAGAGTCTTCGGCGGAGAGTATGGATGCAGAGGAAGTGGAGAGTTCGGAAGATGAAGGGGACGTAACTTCTCGAAGCAGCTCTGTTAATGCTCTTTCACTAGATGCTAGTTTTGTTAATAACCGAGCTGAGATATACCAGGAGGAGGCAGACGCTGCATGGAATGATTATCTCCGGGAGAATAACAGCGTTGTGGTTGGCAAGTTCCAGGGCCAGTTTCAGAGCACGGTGAGTGCCATAGGTGGCTGCATACATCACATCGCATGCTCAAACACACAGAGTTCACACACTCACACACACTTGACTCATGCACAAAGAAAGCACACAACACACACAAAGTTCACTCATCCACACAAACACTTCTCTCATGCATACACACACTTCACTCACACGCACAGTACACACACACACACAACACTCATGCACACACACAAGACACGGAGTTCATTCATCTGCACAAACACTTCTCTCATGCATACACACAGCAAACTTATACTCAAATAACTGGCGCACGCGCACACACACTTCACTCACACGCACATTACCCCCTCCCCACACACACACTTCAACCAACACACTCATACACAATTAACTTGTACACACACACTTCACTCACACAGATCACACACAGCACTCTCATACTCAAATAACTTGTACACTCACACACACACTTCAATCACACACATCACTCTCATACTCAAATAACTTGTACATCACACACACACTTCACTCACACACTTCACTCACAGCACTGGCCTTCAATACAGTTCACACACATTCATTCACATTCACACACACACAGCACTCTCATACTCAAATAACTTGTACATACACTTCACTCACACACTTCACACACAGCACTGGCCATACAGTTCACACATTCACTCTCTCACACACACAGCACTCTCATACTCAAATAACTTGTACACACACTTCACTCACACAGTTCACACACAGCACTGGCCGTACAGTTCACACTCATTCATTCTCACACACACAGCACTCTCATACTCAAATAACTTGTACACACACTTCACTCACACAGTTCACACTGACCACTGGCCGTACAGTTCACACTCATTCATTCTCACACACACGGCACACTCATACTCAAATAACTTACACACACACACATATCACAAACAGTACACACATTCACTCATGCTCACACAGTTCACACACAGCACTCATACTCAAATAACTCATCCACACATCACACACACATTCACACACAGTTCACACACACTCACACACAATAACTCATGCTCACACACATTTACACAGTACAGCAAACACACTTCACATACACTCACTCATGCGCACAGTACACACAGAGCACACTTAAAGTTACACACAATGCTTGCTTTGTTTTTGACAGTAAGGGACCGTTTATAATTTATGGCCAGAGGGGTGATGATGATTATTATGGAGAGGCATGTACAATGTGAATGATCCCCCCCACCCCTCCAAGATTTATGTACAAAATGAATGACCGCCCCTGCATGTCATGTACAAATCAATCAGTAGCTGTACTGTAATTAAGGGGACTGCTGAAACAATAACTGTACTATAGCTAGAACTATATTTCCACTGGGCTAGAACTTTACTGTAACTGCTTTGACTACTTGGTAACTATACTGTAAATCGCTATAGCTTAGTGTAACTAACAACCTCCATAATACCAATCGACTTCCAAATTATCTGTTACACTGCTGCCAATTGTTTTGTCACTTGTAAGTCCTCACCACCAATAATGATAATGCATGTAGTTGACAAAATGGAGATGTCAGTTTCATGAGCAGCTGAAGGAGTGGATGCCGGAATCTTTGTCATCTAAAGCAATTAGTATGAATGAGTTTTCTGCAACATGGAAATCGTTGTTTGTCGGTCACTTACTGTTATTTCTGTCTGCAGGTTGTCTGTTCTGTGTGCCGCCACGTCTCCGTCACGTATGAGCCGTTTATGTACCTCTCGCTGCCTATCCCCAGGGCTATGGAGAGGCAAATATGTGAGTTATTAGTATATTAGTTACCAATCAAGCATAAAGTTAGCAATTATATGATGTAATCATCAGTAGGGGTGGGTATTGCAGAGAATATTCATATTGCGATATATTGCGATGCGAAAGCATGTATTGCGATATGCATTGCAGTATATTGCATGAAGTATTTTTTAACAAAAAATACTTAGAATCAAGTTACTGCCTGATTTATAGAGCAAAAACACAACAAAATCACTATGCTTGATTAAGCTTTAATAACAAATTTTAATCATGATAAAATGAAAATGTGAATAATATTTGGCACAAATGAAGCAAGGAAATATCCGAAGATTTCCAAGTGTTACGACGTTTTCCGTATCGCAATACGTATCGTTTTCATGTCTGAACCGGTAAATACCAGTAAACCGGTTATATTGCGCAGCCCTAATCATCAGTGTTCCATTCCTCCATCAGTTTGGGAATTCAGACTGTTGTATGTTACACTATTTTGTTATGCTATCTGACATTTGGTGTGTTTGGTTTAAATGATCATTATAATCAAATTAAACAATGTAACTGCGTGTGTATTCAGGGTGTTTTAGCATATTTGTTCTGAAAAGAAACAAGATCTGTGTGATAATACCCATACCTACACAAGGGCAGCTCTCTTATAAATGTACCGCCGCCATATGGCTGGAATGTTGCTGAGTGTGGTGTAAATATAAACTCACTCACTCACTCTTATAAATGTTACAAGACAATAGTGTTAACACTGCCCCCTGTCATGAGACACACTAGATTATCTTTCTGTTCATGTAGTGAACAGTTGGAAGATAATCTGCATGTTGAAACAAGTATTACCATGAAGTCTGAGAAAGAGGCACTGTTGTGACTATATAATGGGAAAATGGGATTAAATGTAAAATATATACGTACAAAAGACCCCTTCTGGTTGTTGGTTTGAAAATGCAGGGGTGGAAATAACCCATTGCCCGACGATCGAGTCCAGTGTTTTTTTCTGTCGGGCAAGAAAATTTGTATATCACACTGTACCGGTGTCCAGTTGACTTTCCAATGTTAATTATGTTGTTTATTTAAAAAATCAACAAGAAAATGGCCGGTATAGTGGAAAAATTATCAGGGCAAGTGATTTTACATGTGCCACTGTACCGGAGTACACTAGCAACTTTAAAGATATTTCCACCCCGGAAATGGGTTGAAGGTTGTGTAGGAAGGTAAATTAGGGTATCAATATTCAGTCTTCACTTCTCAAAGAAGGGTCTGTAAACTGTTATACAAGTAACTTATGTTGAGCAAATTACATGCATTGGAAATCATGGAGCAAGAGCCTTCATTTAAGACGCCAACATTTGAAATCATTTATGATCATAACCAGTTGCATTAGTGAGCAAAGTTTCACCACTCTTTCAGGGGCGGTGGGGTAGCCTAGTGGTTAAAGCGTTGGCTTGTCACGCCGAAGACCCGGGTTCGATTCCCCACATGGGTACAATGTGTGAAGCCCATTTCTGGTGTCCCCCGCGTGATGTTGCTGGAATATTGCTAAAAGCGCGTAAAACCCAAACTCAGTCAGTCAGTCACCACTCTTTCAATAGTTTTTTAATTGAATTGAATTCATGAAGAGATGCGGTTCAGTTAATCGAATACACAGGTGAATCATAACAGCTCTTGTCCGTACTCGGGGTGGTGGAGTAGCCTAGTGGTTAACGCGTTTGCTTGTCACGCCGAAGATCTGGGTTCAATTCCCATATGGGCACAATGTGTGAAACCCATTTCAGGTGTCCACTGCCGTAATGTTGCAATACTCACTCACTCTAGTCCAGACTCAATGACCGGTATTTACACACAGCTTCATAATGATAATAGTAATCCTGAACAAACAAACTTTCTGACGTGAACCTGCTGGTTTGTAGGTGTGATATTTGTGCATCGTGGTGTTCCCCCGACACGGTACCTCCTGAACATGCACAAGACTGACAAGGTGCACAAGTTGAAGCGGGAACTCCTCCGCCTGCTCCACCAACCTGACTGTGATATCATCCTAGCTGAGGTCCTCGACTCGCATGTCTCTCGAGTCCTGGTGAGTAATCTCAAGGGAAAGAAATACAAGACCAAATTCTTGGTGTCTGGGATAGAATTGGCTCCGTGTCATCTGTTGTGGTTGTTTGTTTGTTGTTTAACATGCTCAGGAGTGTTCCAGCTATATCAACCTGCGACGGTCCGGGTTAGAATTAACCTTCAGTAACCCATGCTTGTCGTAAGAGGCGAATAACGGGATTGGGTGGTCAGGCTCACTGACTTGTTTGACAAATGTCAACACATCCCACTGTGTAGATCGATGCTCATGCTGTTGATCACTGGATTGTCTTGTCCAGACTCGATTACTTACAGACAGCCGCCATATAGCTGGAATATTGCTGAGTGCGGCGTAAAGCTAAACTCACTCACTCACTCAATCCAACTATATTACGGCAGTCTGTAAATAATCAAGTCTGGACCAGACAATCAAGTGATCAACAGCATGAGCATCAATCTGCGCAATGTGTCAACCAAGTATGCGAGCCTGACCACCCAAACCTGTTAGGTGCCTCTTACGACAAGCATGGGTGGCTGAAGACCAATTCTAATCTGAGACTTCACGGGTTATTCTGGTTGCGAAATGTGACTAAAGTTTAGATACATCCAGGGAGTCAGGTTTGGTGTGGTGGTCGGTTCTGTGTCATTGTCACCAGTCACGTGGGGGTGTTGCTCATAACATCGATCACAAGGTTAAAGGGGGCAGCATTTCTTTTCTTTTTCATTTTACTGTGAATCACCAGATTGTCAGGTCCAAATTTGAATATTTACTGGCCACAGTTGTTCGTAAGCAAAACATATCACAACATTACACTTAAAACTGGTGAGAGTCACAGTGGCACAGAGGTGAGGTGAGGTGAGGTGAAATTGGGTTTAACGTCGTGCTTGAGAATATTTCGCTGATGACGATGTGCATGTGTATATGCGGCTGCTTGTACTAGCCCAAACTTCAGCTGGTTTTATAGTGCTAGCCAACTGAGATACCATGCCGCAGTGAAGCATGAATACCCCACTCAGACACATTATACTGACTCCAAGCCGACCAGTCCTTGTTGTACCCATTAATGCCGGGCGCCAGACAGGGACCAACAAGTACCATGTTTTAACGTCTTTTGGTATGACGTGGTCGGGGATTGAACCCACGACCTTCCGCACTCCGGGCGGACGCTCTAACCACTACGCCACGGAGGTGGTCCAGTGGCACAGAATCACAGACACTAGAGTACTAGAGGGCGTTGGGGTAGTCTAGTGGTTAAAGCGTTGGCTCGTAACGCTGAAGACCCGGGTTCGAATCCCCACATAGGTACAATGTGTGAAGCCCATTTCTGGTGTCCCCCGCCGTGATATTGCTGGAATATTGCTAAAAGCAGCGTAAAACCTAACTCAGTCAGTCAGTCAGAGTACTAGATATGTGGTTATATCTACCAGCGAAGTTGATTGATAATCTTTTTCAATTTTAGGATGACAATGTAATGCTGAGATACGTCAATGACACATCCAGGAAAATCTATGCATTCGAAATGGTACAGCCTTCCCTCCCTCCTGAGGAAAGCCCAGACGACAAACAGGAACCAGCTGTAGCAAGTGTGACAAGCTCATTACCAAGCTCTGCAACCAGGTCAGTGGCAGAAACAGCCACGTCGAGTGACGCCATGACAGATAGCGCAGATATATTCAGCAACATGGACACTTTTAGTAATCAGCCAATCAGAGATGGCCTATTCCACTCCAATAGGACTGCACAGTCCTCCATGGTGACTGTTGATCCAGAACTGGGAGATAACTTTTCCGAATCAAAGAGTTGGTCAAGAACGAAGACGGAGAAGGAGACTCCACATCCCACTTCCCCAGAGCTACCGTTCGCAGAGACCGACATGGGGAAAGAAAATCCCGATCTGGCCGGAACAGGACTCTGGGAATGGTCCCAAGTGGGTTTTACCGATTGTGACAGCACGTGGGACAATGTGGCAAGTTCGTCAGACTTTAATCCACCACCGATCCCCCAGGATGTGATAAACAGCATTCCCGGAATTGCGGATCAGTGGCGGACATGTGCAATCTGTCTGGAGGAGCTGTCCGACAACGACCTTCTCACCCACGAGTCCTGCAGCGGGACGTTTTGTCAAAACTGCTTAGAGGTAGGATTGCATTGTATGCTACTTCGTGTGCCTGAAATGAATCCACTGTGAGGTGCATATGATATGTATCATGATTACTGTGTTACAAATACAAATATTGAGTAACGAAGACAACAAAAAAGTTAGCAGTTGATGTACAGTCGTGACCCGTTTATCCGGACACTTGTGTTTTTCTTGAAATTTTCCAGATAAATGAATTTCAAGATATCTGAACCAAGGACCATATGTAAAAAGACATACAAAGAAACGAACATAATAGGCCTCAAAAGTAATCTTTATTGATAAGACGTCAACACGCTTCAAAGACTGCCAACTTGTTTTATGTTAGGCCACGCAAGGCCACTCGGTAAAATGCGTGTGTAAACGTACTGACATCCAGATATACAAGAAAAAAATGCATATAATTTAGGGTTTTGTATGTGGAAATGTCCATCCAGTTACGGAAACCGGATTTCCGGATAATTGAGTAATTTTTCAACGTTGTGAATTTGTTTTAAGGAATTTTTGTTCGGAAGGCGAGTTTTCCAGATATCTGAGGTTTGTATAAACGGGGCACGACTGTATTCATTATATTCAGTGAAACAATGACATGTTTTTAACCTTGTTGACAACGTTAATTTATCACACCTGTAACCACATATCTGTCAAAGTAGATAACGACTTTTATTCTGCCCGGCTTGGATATATTCCTTTTTGGATATCTTGCTTTGATAAAAATCACCTAAAATCGAGTAAAGATACTCCATTTTAAAAATATGTAGGAATATGTAATTCTAGTCATGGCGAATAGCAAATTGAATTCATGAAAGGATATTTGTGCATTTCTACTCCAGCAAGCATATTCTTGATTCCATGAATACTGATTGATGAATCTAGGGAGTGTTAGATCAGGGTGGTCTTCCCACACGCCCCCTTCTGTTCAACAAACAAAAAAAAAAGCATTTGATTTTCTTTCACATTGTTACCCTATTTCATGAATACATTTACCTGTTGAGTTACTTTTGTCTGTTTAATTGCACGTTTCTATATTTCAGATGTCTGCCAAACACACAACTGAAGCAGGATACTGTTGTCCAGTAAGTAGATTGTGTGTTTCTTGATGCATCAACACCTTGGTGTAGTGAATAGAGCAGAGAGCAAAAAGTCTTGGGTTTGACCCCCTGGCTACGTTTGTCTACCTAAACACTTTAAAAGATGGTACATGTTCTAACCCGAGTCAAAAGCCCCTCTGGACAAAAGCCCTAAAAAAATGACCAAAAGCCCCTCACTTTAAGTGTTAATAAGAAATGTTTAATGACTTGAACATTTTTATTGCTTTTGGTCGAGGGGCTTTTGGCAGGTATCCTTGTAACCCAGCCTGGTGTTGACCCTTAGCAGATAACAGAAGGACTGGTCAGATCTTGTTTAAAACTATGAAACAGGCATTTGTTTGGACAAGTACAAGCAGCGACAAACACGAACGCACGTATGCATACATATTGCTCCAATCCAAGTGCAGTAAGGGGGCGGTGGGGTAGCCTAGTGGTTAAAGCGTTCGCTCGTCATGCCGAAGACCCGGGTTCGATTCCCCACATGGGTACAATGTGTGAAGCCCATTTCTGGTGTCCCCTGCTGTGATATTGCTGGAATATTGCTACAAGCAGCGTAAAAAAATACTCACTCACTCACTCCAAGTGCAGTAATCTTGTCCATAAAAGTTAAATACCATTTCACCTCACCTAATGGGTGAAGCGTTCGCTCGACACGCCGAAGACCCAGGTTCAATACCCCACGTGGGTACAATGTGTGTCCTCTGACATGATATTACTGAAATGTTGCTAATAGCGGGCGTAAATCCATACTCGCTCACTAGATCTATAATTAACTGTATCACTGTTGTAACATGGCGGGTCCATGTAATGTAGAAAGATAGACCACAACTGTATCTGTTTCAACCTGACTGATTACCCCGACGTGAAGAAGCTGGCCACACTTGGATATTGCTGGAATATTGCTAAAAGTAGGGTGACACCCCACTCTTTTCATTTCACCTTGTGCCTTCATCATGAGGACGGGTGGTGGGTAGCCAAGTGGTTAAAGCGTTTGCTCGTCACGCCGAAGACCCGGGTTCGTTTCCCCACATGGGTACATTACGTGAAGCCCATTTCTGGTGTCCCCAACCGTAATGTTGCTGGAATATTGGGGTGAAACCTCTCCCTCTATCACTTCTCCTTGTGCCTTCATCATGTGGCGTTAAACAAACAATGAAAAAAGTATTCTGTCACGTCCTTCGGACATCCTTCTGTGTTATCTTGGTTCCAGATCTGCCTTATGCCCGCCAACATGATGGAAGACTTCTCCCCCTCTTGTGAGTGCGAGCTGTCAAAAGCCAAAACTCAGGTAGGCAGACGTCGAATATCCTCGATCTGTACACACTTCCAATGTGAGACGTCAGTCTAATGAGGCCTCACTAGCTGTCCATGCAATAACACTGTAATCTTTCTGGAAAGAGGTATGGTTGATAGGACTGCAATGGAAGTGATTGATACTAGTGTTGGGAATTGGTTAAAATCTCATAGTTGATGATTGGTCCATTACAACCGATCAATCATCGAAAATAATTGGTTAGCGTCATTTATCAAATGTTCCTGTTGTCTTTGTAAAAAATAAAGAAAAAACATGTGGTAATTTGGTTTTTTGCAAATTAAACAAAATCCATTTGCAGATTTTGCATATTTAAATGATTATTAGTATGTTAGGAACACAGATTTCCTGTATTCTTTAAGATAAATTCAATCATGACTTGCAACAAGCTTGTTGTGCTTGTGAAATGTAAATTTAACGACACAGACAAAAGCAACCTTGTGAAAAATATTGTTGATGCAAACAAGTGTTCCAAGATTGATTGCGTTCGATTATGAGAAAACATGTTCGATTGCGTGGTCGTTTAGTCACTGCGACCAATCTTCGATTATTTCAATTAATCGGACCACCACTAATTGATACTATGACTATTTGGTAACAAATACAAAAACAAGTGAGCAAGTTGATGTATTTTTATGTTCATTGAAATACATGAAAGACAGGCACCAACTGTCTTTATAATGCAGTTGTGAGTGGAGGTGTAGCCTTGTGGTTAAAGTGTTTGCTCATCACCTGCCATGATATAGCTAGAATATTGCTAAAAGCGGCACAAAACTAAACTCACTCACTCAATACATTTACCTTAATGATTATCAAGGCACAAACTATGGATATAGCAAGAGAAAATTAAACTCCATATCAATATTGAAAGTTTGTTGATTAATTACAGGGTAATGATTCTCATATGTTGCTGTTGAAGGTGATGTTACTGTGTGTTGTAGGGTAATAGCCATACCGATAGCATTCCGATGTGATGTGAACATAGAAGACAACAGCTGCTCTGAGAAGTTGTTTGGTCATCCTACTATTCTATATGTGCCAAATAGACTGCCTGGAGGTTGTCTGTATGACATGATTGACGCTGTGTTGCCATCCCCTGCGATGTATTCTGTCGTGTTAACTGATGGACAGGTGAGTCGCGATGACATTCCCTGCGATGTAATCTGTTGTGTTAACTGATGGACAGGTGAGTTGCGATGACATTCCCTGCGATGTACTCTGTTGTGTTAACTGATGGACAGGTGAGTTGCGATGACATTCCCTGCGATGTAATCTGTTGTGTTAACTGATGGACAGGTGAGTTGTGATGATATTCCCTGCGATGTACTCTGTTGTGTTAACTGATGGACAGGTGAGTCGCGATGACATTCCCTGCGATGTACTCTGTTGTGTTAACTTGTACTCTGTTGTGTTAACTGATGGACAGGTGAGTGGCGATGACATTCCCGCGATGTACTCTGTTGTGTTAACTGATGGACAGGTGAGTGTGATGACATTCCCTGCGATGTACTCTGTTGTGTTAACTGATGGACAGGTGAGTTGCGATGACATTCCCTGTGATGTAATCTGTTGTGTTAACTGATGGACAGGTGAGTTGTGATGATATTCCCTGCGATGTACTCTGTTGTGTTAACTGATGGACAGGTGAGTCGCGATGACATTCCCTGCGATGTACTCTGTTGTGTTAACTGATGGACAGGTGAGTCGCGATGACATTCCCTGCGATGTACTCTGTTGTGTTAACTGATGGACAGGTGAGTCATGATGACATTCACGGCAGGTTTTTCTGCCACATTAAGCCACCATGACTTAAACTGAAATAGTTTGTAAAGCAACTTTTAAACCAAACTCACTTGCTAAAACATTACTGCTACTTTAGTAAAGGGAAGTAACCCACATTACGTTTTGTTGCAGGGTCTACGGTGCTCTCGATGTATGTACACCGCCCACTGTACAGGCTGTGTGTTGTGTCGGGAAGGGGAGGTAACTCTCCAGCCAGGGGACAATCTGACCATCCACATGATGGACATGTCACATGACCAGCAACAGGAAGCAGCAGCGTATCATGAACACGCCTCCATGCAGGATCTCAGACCCAGCGACCCCATCACTGTCTATGACTGCTTTCGAGCCTTTACTGAAAGGTTGGTTTTGTTTGTTAACATCTTTGGGGGGCGGTGGGGTAGCCTAGTGGTTAAAGCGTTGGCTCGTCACGCCGAAGACCCGGGTTCGATTCCCACATGGGTACAGTGAGTGAAGCCCATTTCTGGTGTCCCCCGCCGTGATATTGCTGGATAATTGCTAAAAGCGGCGTAAAACCAAACTCAGTCAGTCAGTGTTAACATCTTCGGTCTGCGTCAGCCCAACTTTCTAAGCCAACATAACCAAGGACTTGTATTAGGAAAATGTCAGAGTAGAATGACACACAATCAACCCTGTCTGTCAGGCAAACCGCCAGAAATATCCCTTACCGTAGGTTAGTGGTATTTGCTTGTCAAGCCGAAGACCCACGTAAGATTCCTCACATGGGTTCAATATGTAAATCCCATTTCAGGTGTCCCCAGCCATGATATTGCAGGAGTATTGTTAAAAGAGTTGTAACACTCTTTTTCTTACTGAGTCGCATTAAGCCCAGGTCTTTTGCTCTGATATAATTACTTTGAGTGACCATCCAGCCTAAATTCAGGGTGTGTGGGTTCTTGAGTCTTTTATATGAAAGAGGGGCTTTTGGATGGCCTTGTGGTTAAAAAGTTCACTCATCATACCAAAGACCAGGGCCTAGATTTTCGAAGCTCTCTTAGAGCTAAGATAGTAGTAAGTTAATGTTAATGTATGGCACTTACGACTATCTTAGCACTAAGAGAGCTTCGAAAATCTAGGCCCAGGTGTGTACAGCCCAGACGTTCATGCCGTCATATTGTATGAATATTGACAAAAGCAGAGTGAAATCACACTCACACACTTTACTTTTCCGGGCAGATGTACAACATACAAAGATTTGCTTTTATCAAATCCAGACAATCTGTTTCCATGATGCTCGTTTGCTTGCAGTGAGATCCTGGACGAACACAACCCCTGGTACTGTCCCACATGTCAGCAGAACCAGTGTGCCAAGAAAACCATGACAGTGTGGCGCTACCCTGACACACTCATCGTGCATCTCAAGAGGTGAGGAGGCACACCTCACACATCCCCAGATCTGTGAAGATCCAGTGGTTGCAAGTCTGTCATCTGCCCTTAAAAGTTTGAAACCCATGCTTGTCATAAAAGGCGACTGATAGGATCGGGTGGTCAGGCTTGTTGACTTCTTTGACACATGTCATTGTATCCACATTGCATAGGTCAATGCTCATGCTGTTGATCACTGGATTGTCTGATCCAGACTTGATTATTTGCAGACAGCCATCATACTGCTGGAATGTCGCTGAATGTGGCATTAAACAACAAATTTTTTTTTTAAAATTGCAAATTGTGATTTGCATGTAACGAGTAATTTTGGCTTTTCTTACATATACAGTTTACGTGTACTTCCAGATTTGTCTTTCATGAGTTGTCGAGTACTAAAGTCGACAACCAAGTAGTCTTTCCTCGCAAGGACCTTGACCTTCAGCAGTTTGTATCAGGACCAAAGGTCAAGGACCTTTCATATGACCTCTACAGCATTGTGTGTCATTTCGGAGGTGAGATCAACCTTTCATCAAACTGTCTAGTTGTCAGGGGAATGTTATCATTTGCTTGTATATTGATGTGATTCTTGCCATGGACAAATGATGTCTTGTGTGCAGGTAAAAGAGTTTTAAAAATATGGAAATAAAAGTGCAAAATAATTTAACCAGGCGTAAAATTATGTGAGTAATTGAGTATAACATGTTACTACTGGTAATAATCTGCCTTGAAATAGGGACCCGTGAAGATCCGAATTAGAATTGATCTTCAGTAACCCATGCTTGTCGTAAGAGACGAATAACGGGATTTGGTAGTCACACTTGCTGACTTGGTTGACACATGTCATCATATCCCCATTACATAGATCAATGCCCATGCTGTTGATCACTGGATTGTCTGGCCCAGATTCTATTATTTACAAACCACCGCCATATAGCTGGAATATTGCTGAGTGCGGCGTAAAACTAAACTCACTCACTCACTTGAAATAGGACTTTCTCACTGACTCTCTGATGTCACCTACAGGCTCTCACTCTGGCCATTACACATCGTACACAAACCACCCCCTGACTTCTGAGTGGTTCTACTACAATGATGAGACGGTCAGCAAACAGGAGCCTCGCAACGACGACTACAGCAGTGCATACGTCCTCTTCTACCAGAGGAAAGGTGAGAATATCCCAATAAATTGAGAAGAATTAAAAGAAATTCTATAACATGGAGAAAAAGTACTTTAAACTCTGATAGCGACAGGCATTTAGAAATATTGGTTGTTTATGGAGACAAGGTACAGATTTTTAGGTCAGATTTTTTAGTCACCTTGTCCACCTTCCGTCATATGTCATAAACTTCTCAAACCATGGAATCAATTTTAGGTGAAACTTGCTCATTTTCGCCAACAGTTAACTTCCCTATTTTTTACTTCAAATTTACATAAGCTGCTTGGGCAGCCATATTGAAAATATGATTGCTCACATTTTTTAGCTGTTTGGTTATTATTTTCACAATGGAATGAAATTTGGTATGTGAGGCAGTAGAGGTGGGCTCAATGTATTCAGTATTGCACCCTTTTGGGTTTTTTATTTTTATATATTTAAAAAATTTCTTAGCCAGATTCATATCATTTGTTTCTAACCTAAAAACTACATTTCTAACAATGTTCTTGCTTTTCTCCAGGTACATCCAGTAAGTTCCAGCCCCCAGCTATTCTGCCCTTCCTCCTGGACGACTCCTCCCCTCACACCTCCCCAACCCCTCTAGCCGTCGACGCCCAACCGGGACCCTCCACCTCTGAGACTCATCCCCTCAAGCCAAACCAGCCTGAAGACACACCCTCACCATCAATGAGGGACGAGGCGGGGCCATCTGACTCCACCCTACCTGCTATGGACAATATGATTGGACAGTCTGACGACAGCCCCATGTCAGTCATTCAGCCTCCTGCAGAACAGGTGGAAGCTGACAGCACCTTTGATTTCTATTCTTAGTTTCTTTTCTGAAATATTTGTCATCTTGATTTCAGTTTTTAATTTTATTCTGTCGAAATAATAATTAATACCAGTATACGGGTATTTGATTTGCTGATATCAAAAATTATCATCTGAAATATGTTTTGTTGAAAACAGAAAACTGGCAGATTACAGTTGAAATTTGTAAAGATTGGTAGAAGTGTTTAAGGATCGTCATATAGTTTACCAGATGGTTTAAAAAATCCAGAAGACTTTGTGAAATCTGGCAAATTGATCTGCTAATTGTGAATATTCAGTGAACAATCAGGATTTACGTCACACACAGACGATGGGATAGCCTAGTTGTTAAAGCGTTTGCTCGTCACACCAAACACCCGGGTTCGATTCCCCATATGGACACAATGCGTGAAGCCCATTTCTGGTGCCCCCTGCTGTGATATTGCTGTAATATTGTTAAAAGCAGCGTAAAACTCGCTCACATCAAACACCCATGACTTGAATTGAACAGATCTTTGACTCTTCAAGGGTAATGCTAAGGCAAGACCAATTTTATTTCTTGTTTTACAGATTTTTGTCCTCAGAAAACCTAAAAGCAGGAGGGAAAAATAAAAATAAAATAACCAGTCAAAGTAATATTCCTTTTAAATACGAAAAGTATGTTATTTTTGGCAATTTATGAAGTGTATATGGGGTAAAAAACAATCAAAACATTTTTTGTGTGTAAGTTTACATTTTTGGCCAATAAAAACATGAAGATTATATTTTTTTAACAGGGAAAATTGAGTATTTTTTTTCTTCGTATTCTTGAAAAAATACGACCGGCAGATCCGTTAAACAAGAAATAAAATTGGTCTGGCCTAACATGGCTACAATACAGGATAAACCAATGAGTTGTTTACTGACTTGTACAGACTAGCGATGGGTCACAGCTTTGTGAATACAAGTACGATGATGATCAAGCAGTCTGTTTGCTGATCTAGGTATTTATTGTCACACTGGGAGAAATATAACTACTGAACACACTAGTGGTGGTCCGATAAAATTGAAATAATCGAAGATTGGTTGCAGTGAATAAACAACCAAGCAATTGATCACATTTTCTCATAATCGAACACAAACGATTTATGGAACTGCTGTTTTTGTCTTTGAAACACTTGATGAAGGAACATATCTTCGAAGTTGTCAGGACCTGCAAACTTGTTAAATTCTTAGAAAACTCACTTCACTAACTGAAAAGTCATGACGACTTTCTTGAAGACTCCAGGAAGTTTATGGTCATGATATATTAGTCATCACTTTAAAGTACCAAGTTGCATCATGTTATACATATCTGCAATAACAACCTGGATAGGAAAATCTGTAAAATGATGTTAACCAATTTTTTTCGATGATTGTTTGTTGGTAATGAAGCAATCATCAATTGTGAGATTTCAACACTAGGCCCCACATCCCAAATGACTGCCTATGCATACCAGGATAATGTTTAATGGATGAGTCTGAAGCAATTTAATTTATTTTCGTTAATTCCTCCTTGTTGTTGGGCTGTCATGATGTATGATCACAGTAGGAATGGCAGGACTTGTCAGGCAGGGTGGCCAGCACCCGGTTGTTGTGCTGAGTCGTGTCCCTTGGGTGTATCCTAATAACATTTCCAGGTCGGTCAGCACCAACACCATGAGCATCACCAAAGATGTTAACATTTTCTGCCTGCATTACTCTGGGATTTCATCCCTCATCAAGCTGATACACTGTGATGTAACTGAGATACTGTTCTAAGCGGTGTTAAACTCACTCACATATAGGGGTGATACGGTATGCTCTTACCATGTTACGACACATATTCAGGTACAAGACCTTCGGTTCGGTATGTGAGATATGATCATAATGCAGAATATTGACAAGAAGAGTCAATATATTAATTAACATGGAAAACAAATGACCATAATCTTTGTTATTTTGAATGAACAAAACTGTCAATTTATGACTAGATAGAATGGTACGAAAACAAACAATACCAAATTTTTGGATTGCATTACCGTATACAGAACTGAAGGCAAATACTGCAGTTCTACTAATACTGCGGTGTACCGTTTCAACCCTACTCACATACTCACCTATAAGTCAGTTCTACTAATACTGCGGTGTACCGTTTCAACCCTACTCACATACTACACCTATAAGTCAGTTCTACTAATACTGCGGTGTACCGTTTCAACCCTACTCACATACTACACCTATAAGTCATTTCCGCCAACGTGTGTTGAGACAAAGTAGGGTGATATGTGACTATGGTATGGGAATATAGCTACATCATTACAGCCAGACATCGTGACGCTGACCCTCGATGTGTACTAAACATCATACTAAATCATTCCTTCATGCTATCATGTCCTGTGATTTAGTTGTATTCATTTTTACAGTTTGAATGTGTGGAGAAATCTTTGCATGTACAGTACAAGATGTGTGGAGAGGTGATTTTGGCAACAGTGAGGTTCTGTTAGTCCAGACACCCTGCCTTTGTTGCACTTACAGTAGTGTTTCCTTGGTGTGATAATGGATGAGAACACGTTACAGTAGTGTTTCCTTGGTGTGATAATGGATGAGAACACGTTACAGTAAACCAGACAGGGGCACACTGGAAGACAGAAAGAAGGGAAGGCCCGTGGTAAAGCCAATAAGACAGAGTTGTTTAATCTTTAGTCCATGTCATATGCCAAAGAAACATGTGAGTTAATTATTTTTATAGTCCGAGAATCATTTCAAAGATCATATAATATCAGAGGTGAAAGAATCATGTCAAAGGTCAGAGAATCTTGTCAAAAGGTCAGAGAATCTTGTCAAAGGTCAGAGAATCTTGTGAATGGTTAGAGAACCTTGTCAAATGTCAGAGAATCTTGTCAAAGGTCAGAGAATCTTGTCAAAGGTCAGAGAATCTTGTCAAAGGTCAGAGAATCATGTCAATGGTCAGAGAATCTTGTCAAAGGTCAGAGAATCTTGTCAAAGGTCAGAGAATCTGGTCAATGGTCAGAGAATCTGGTCAATGGTCAGAGAATCATGTCAAAGGTGGGAAAATCCTGCCAGGCTGTGGCTTGAAGCATACCACTGCCAGGTTCCAATTAATTTCAATTTTAATGTTAGCAACTGAACTCAATACGTTAGATTATCAAGCAAAATGTGTTTGTGTTGAACACATAACTTCTTCTCAGCCAATGAATATGGTTGAAATATTTGCATTATAAATGAATAATCTGAGTTGGGCCAAGCATGTTCGACCAAGAGATTGTGTATCATTGATAACTAAAATACCATTGTCGAAAGTGGAGAAGTATTCTTTGAAAAGTCTCTTTTGCATATATAATCCATTTTCATTTTAGGTGTGAAATGTCTTCTCTACTTACCTCTGAAATGGGTTGACCTCTACCAAAAACAAACCAATCTTTCAAGTGCTTCAACTGTTGTGCTCAGAAGTTGTCTCCCATTGGCCTTTACAGCACAACTTCATTTAAACAAAGGAAAATGAAAGAATATTTACACTAAGTGCTTCATTGTTTCACATATATTTGAAAACCAAACTGAACAAAAGTTTTAGGGATCATAAATGTCAATATAATGGGTATATAATTTGATGACATTGAGTGCGTAATGTTCAGAACAAGGGGCGGGTGGTATAGCCTGGTCATTAAAGCATTCACTTGTCATGCCAAAGATCTGGGTTTGATTTATGAAGCCCATTCCTGATGTAAATATAATTACGACTAGGTCTCATGTTTCAGTACACTATACTATTTCATTACTTTAAAGGACCCTTGTTTTTACCTGTTAGAGCCGGGGTGGTGGGGTAGCCTAGTGGTTAAAGCGTTGGCTCGTCATGCCGAAGACCCGGGTTCGAATCCCCACATGGGTACATTGTGTGAAGCCCATTTCTGGTGTCCCCCGCTGTGATGTTGCTGGAATATTGCTAAAAGCGGCGTAAAACTAAACTCAGTCAGTCTGTCAGTCCTGTTAGAGCCTTGAAAGTTAAAAACTGCGAGTCCTCTTGACCCCACAACAAAACTCTGTACTTTCTTGCTGTGTAGCAAGATGTATTCTCATGGCTGTGTTTCTGTTGGTGGTAGTGTTGAAAGATTGCACAAAGTTTGATCCCAATCTGTAATAGAATGCTAACAAATAACACCGGAATCTGCAATCTGGAGTACAGGCATCATGCAAGGACATATAAGAGCTCAAACAAGTTCATTTACTTTACATTAAAATACTGGCTTCTGATTGGCTAAGGAGAGGGCTATTGTTTTCCTTGCAACTGACTCCCAGTACAAATTTCACTATGAAATTTTCTCAGATAACAATCATATCTTGTGTCAGATTGGTTGAGTTTCCAAAATGAACTCGTTTATCCAAATGCATTGAGTAAAGAAAAGGAACATGGTTCGAAGGGTCGAGTCTTGGTGACTTAAGCTGCAGCTATATATTCCTGTCCTGTCTGAAATATGGAATGAATGTCAGTAAGATAAATCTGTTGTCAAGCAGTTCTTTAGGTTGTATGGCATGATGTAAGGCACATCCTACAACCTTCGAGATTGGTTGACAACGTAGCCACTCATACCAGGGTATTGCTTCTGTTCAGACTGTTACTTTATGTTATCTTTTTGCTGGATATGTTTGCCAATAACTATCAAGCCAGTCTGGTTTGTCATGGAAGAATAGGAATGCTTTAATATTGTTAATCATGGTTTTGTTTTCTCTCATTGGTTGATAGTCACAATATAATGTAACATTAGGCCCGTCAATTATCATTTTATCCCTTAAACATACACATGATGAAACAATTGTCTTCAAATAAGCAAATTTGTCAGTGGTCAAAAATAATTTGACACAAATCTCCGTAAACTTTCTGAAGTTAGTACTTCGAGCAAGGCACATGATCGTTCCTGCTTAAAAGATCGGATATTTCAAATCAAAGGGCCATAACTCATGTTAGTCTCCTCACTTCAAACTGCAATGGAAAAAACCCCACTTAACCAAGAATTGCATATTTTGTGATGAATGCTTTTCAAAACAAACCAGTTGAAGAGATATTTCATGTATGTTTTTTTAATACCATCAGCAGATTTGTCACCATTAGAAAATTTATTTTCCTTTCTCTAATTTTTATGTCAGCTGATCTGTTAACCCCCAAAAATACAATTAATCACCTTATCAGGTTGGTGTTAAGAAGCCAAGCTTAACACAGGATGTATAATTATTCATATTTTTATTTTAAGGTCTGTAAACCAGTTACCAAGACTAGCTTACAGGTTGCAGTTACTGCTGGCCTGCTGTGTGAGATAACTGCAGAGTATCTATTACTGTACATACATTTGTGTGTATTGATCGTCTTTCAGTGCAAGTCTAGGTGTAACAATGTTGAATGGATGTAAGCAGTGTTGTGTATATTTAAGCCAATAAACTGTCCGGAAAGGCAGCTGTACTTACAGATGTACATTTGATCATCCTGTTGAGTGTCTGTACAGTGTATTGTCTTGTACAATGTTATACCTGTATTTATGTGTGTACACACAGATTGTGATGAGATGACGTGAGGAGCGGCGAGCGGACCGACCTTCACCCTGAGTTGGCACTCAGTATTAACGGGCCCCTGCTTAATGGCTCGCCTTTTTACACTGTTCAAGCTGACTGGTGAAAGTAAAAGTCTGATCAACATCCGTACCGAGTCTTTGGTTTCTTTTTGTTGTTGTCGAGTACATGAATAGAGGATTATTATATGAGTGCCCATGTCATACTATGTTTACGACACTAAATGTTGGTATTTCCCGAGCGAGTGTTGTAAACAGTGTATAGTATAGTATGATATGGGCACGAATATAATATTAGATTTATCACTGAAGTCGTCAAATTGAGGAAAATAAACCCAAACATAAGCCTGCCATTGCTGCATGCAGAACGCAACCTCATAAAAGAAACATCACTTTACAATGACAAAGTGATATACCCGGTATTGCCCTAGGGCCTCGTATGAAAAATATGAACCCCAATATTTTCGCCCTCTCTTGGGAAATACACCATTTAGGCACTCATGTCGTAAACATAGTATGACATGGACACTCATATAATATCCTCAGTGTGTGCCCAAGAGACAATTACAGGGCGAGCCATGCCATCCATAGTGGGTAAAGCATTTCGGGGGCAGATACAGCTTTGTGAGAATGGGGGGTGAAACTAAACTCGCATCATTCTGAGTGACTGAGGAAATCCTGACGTAAAACCTGAAAGGATGGAGAGGGTGATGCAGAGCATGGACAACGTAATGACGAATCAGATCTATTCCACACGATTGGAAAGCAACATGGGGAGATGTAGTCTTTATTTTTGTCAGTTAAATGATCATAATTTCATATTTACATTGCAAAATATAGCATATATTCATAAACATATGTACAAATGGACAAGGATATTATAGCTATTAAAGGATAAAGTCAGATTTTACTTCATCAATCATCCTTAGTTTCACAAGGCAGTTTTCAACTGGAGATCTAAATTGCTGAGTGCTGTTTGGTACATACACTGCTGAGATTAAGAGTAAATATGCAAAGATTAATACATTTACAATTTCTGCTTAGTCAGCAGTTTGTAACATATGATAATTTACAGAAAAAGCATAATACTGAGTATCTTAGTTTCCAATGAGTTAATACCAATAAGTCTCTCTGATATGAAACTTTGGTCACTGCTCCAGCCATTATTTTGCCATATATGAACACAGTTCAAACTACCTGTTCATGATGTCTTGAAATCAAAAACAGGAGTGACTTCATCAAACTTTCTGAAATGAATCGATGGTGGCAAATAAGTGAGTCGCTTTGAACAGTATTCGAGTGAGTGAGTTTTGTTTTACGCCGCACTCGGCAATATTCCAGCTATATGGCAGCGGTCTGGACCAGAAAATCTAGTGATCAACAGCATGAGCATCAATCTGTGCAATTGGGAACCGATGACGTGTCAACCAAGTCAACGAGCCTGACCACCTGATCCCGTTAGTCGACTCTTACGACAAGCATGGGTTACTGAAGATCAATATTCTAACCCGGACCTTCACGGGTAACAGTATTCAAGTGAATGGTAACTTAATGTTGGAGAAAACAAGGAAGTGATACAGGTCTATGACATTAATACCATTTTGGTGAAGCTCACAAACCTGGGGATGGTGCTTACAAACACTGAAACTTACAATCCATTATCACAGGTTTCTGGCTTGCCAAAGGGAGGCAACTCTGAAGGGAGAACAGCTGACACCTTAGACGACATGGCCACCTATGTCGCCAGGGTATCTCCAGAACTGAATGGCAACACTGGATAATCAAAGAACGAAATAACTGAATCAACAGTTTCTCTGTTAAAATATATGGTACACATTGATGCCATAACATCATCAAAACTTGCTTTTTTTCTGATTCACAGGGTTTCACTGCATATTTTTTTCCCAATCTCAGATTACGTTCTTTACAAGTGTTCATTATCTCAGGAGACCTTGTCACAGTGCTGGGATCATGGACCTTTAACCTCAGAATTTAATGAATGAACAGCCAACCACTAGACTGGACACTACTGTTTCTCAGCAATCTTCTTGTGGACCATCTCTCTGAACTGGGACAGAATCTTCACTTCTCGTTTAGCACGCTCTTCATGGTTGAAGTTTGCTAAAGCTCGCTTCTCGTCAGCACTATATATCTGGTTTTCTTTACGCAATCGGACAGCCTCCATTCTCCGATGTCTGAAAGATAATTACATAAAAATTTACAGTTACATTTAAAAACTATGTTGATTTAGCAACAAGAATTTCAAAACTGCTTTTAATCACTCTTCTTCAGTCCTGCTGATATTAATCTTACAAATAGATCTGACTTGTTTAGGCTAAAGCCTCCCTGTGTCAACCACATCCCACTGATTACAACTTCACAGTTCACACTGATTGAACAAATGACCCTGTTTTATTGTTAAAGTTTTCTGGTTATTTCGAAGAAAGCAGTAGTCAGAGATGGACATAAGTGCAAAGAAGCTGATATAAGGATCAACAAAAAATACTGACACAATTCAAAAGTCTCCACTCAGGAAATACAGAGGATCTGACTTAATTAGCCGAACCAAGGATAATTAACCCTTACAAAAATTACGCAAACACAAAATAAGTGAGTGAGTGAGTTTAGTTTAACGCCGCACTCAGCATTATTCCAGCTATATGGCGAAAGTCTGTAAATAATCGATTCTGGACCAGACAATCCAGTGATCAACAGCATGAGCATCGATATGCGTAATTGGGAACCAAGTCAGCGAGCCTGACCACCTGATCCCGTTAGTCGCCTCTTACGATAAGCATGGGTTACTGAAGATCAATATTCTAACCCGGACCTTCACAGGTAAACACAAAATAAAGTCTCACCTGCTGCCACTCATGACGTAGCCAGACTTCTCATAGCCCTCAATCTCGTTGCTGGTCAATCCGATCTCGCCTCTCCTTGGAATACGTTTCCCTTCAGCGATGTAGGCAGCCATGGCAGCACCTTCTCCCGGCAGCAGAGCTCGGCCATAGCTGGAGCGATAGAGTTAGTATGTTGTATGGCTCTATGAGCAAATATATGCTAGGCAAACAAGCGGTTGCTTGTTTTAGGCAAACCATCTGACATACCCAGTCAGAGTCCATGACGTTCACACATGGTCATAAGCTCAAGTATGCCCTTCCACAACACAATCTTAGCACTATGACAATCATAAGGCAATATTATTTGATCAGAGTTATGATCTCATCAGCTCTAAGATCACTTCGTGAAATTGGGGCTGTGTAGGCAAACAGACACATGTCTACACATAACTTTAAAAGCTAATTATTGAAGGGTTTAACATCGTACTGAAGAGTATATTGCTCAAATGACGACGTCCATGTGTGTATTGTGCTTGTACTAGCCCAGACTTAAGCTGGTTTTATAGTGCTGACTCACTGAGATACCATGACGCAGTGAAGCATGAATACACCACTCAGACACATTATACTGACTCCAAGCCGACCAGTCCTTGTTGTACCCATTAATGCCGAGCGCCAGACAGGAACCAACAAGTATTTTAACGTCTTTTGGTATGATGCGGACGGAGATCGGACCTGCAACCTTCCGCTCTCCCAGGCGGACGCTCTAACTACTATACCACTTTATCAATGATCAACAATCCATCAGCCTGTCCCCAAGAATAATTAAAATTTATCAAATGGAAACTGCTATAAGTTTGTATAGAGGCAGCCCCCTTCACTCCAGATTACACTGCCATAACTGACACGTAGTCAGATGCCACACACATTGAAAACATTAAATAAATCAGGTCAGCCATATTTCAGACAAAGTAAAATGTCATAAAACCAGGGAGGTAAACCAAGTCTCAGCAATCTAAAGACACAGATACAGAATACTTTCCCCTTCGTGGTCTAGAACGCAAGGTTATCTCCAATGTTGGCAGCACCTGCATACTCAGCCCATTGTCTCAAATTAATGTATCACTTTTTTGCTGATAAACACATTGTACTTTCGATATATGTTACCTGCACTCATTATAATTTGGAATCACACATCCATCAAATCTGCTGTACAGGTAATAATAATAATAAATAATAAGTCATCTTCTATAGCGCACAGTCTCCAAACACCAAGTGATTGCTCGTGGCGCTTAATCAGAATCTGATTCTTATTACCCCGGATAACCCAAGCTGCCTGTTAGGCGCTAGAAGGTTATAGTCACAAGACTTTATCCCACCGGGTACCCATTTTTCTGCTGGGTGAACAGAGGCAATTTGAACAAACCCACTTGCCTAAGGTGAGACCACATGCATCACATGTGGTTGGGGCAGGACTGAAGTCCTAGAAACTCTCAGGAGTCAGACTGCCAAAACGGTCATAGTTGTCCGAGCTTGACGCTGCTTAACTTCAACTGATTTGTGACCTGAGCTGTGTGCCAGGACCAGGTAGTAAGTGGTTACAGTGATTTTGAAACTTCTATTTTCTACTTTTTACCAAGGTAGATCTTGGGTACATGTAAACATAAAACATGAAACCTCTTATCATATATCGGAATTCTCCAAAATGATGGTAAAATACACATAAACTCACTTCAGTTTTTCATTAGCACCAGCACCAGCCACAAACGGTTGAGGACCCAGCACGTCTTCACCTTCTTCATCCGACACTGGAACACAAAGAAATACATCATCACATTCATACTCAGCCTAATGTTAAATCACCATCACATATCGGCCAGCCAGTGGCATAAGTGACTTGGGTTTAACATCATTAGGAATATTTTCACCACAATTATAGACGTACGTTTCCTCTCTGTCCATACTGCTTCCACATCCTCGTCATCTTCTCCACTCTCCTCCGAAGTTTCTCCCTCACTCTTCACCTTCGCAATCTTCTTCGCTTTACTCTTTTTACTTTTTTTCACTTTCTTACTGGAAGTAGAAAAGTGGACTATGGTTGAGTGGGAAATTTAATGCGAATGCTAAGACAGAAAACTAAACGAAATAATTTCAACAATAATTTCAAATTTAAAACATTTACCTTTATGTGATTATGCCGAAGCTACATCTATTCTGAGTGAGGGAATGAGTTTAGCTTTATGCTGCACTCAGCAATAGTATTTGGCAGCTGTCTGTAAATAATCGAGTCTTGACCTGACAATTCAGTGATCAACAGCATGAGCATCGGCCTACGCAATTGGGATAAGGTGACGTGTGTCAACGCAGTCAGCGTGCCTGACCAACCGATACCGTTAGTCACCTCTTACGATAACCATGGGTTACTGAAGATCAATTTTAACTTGGATCTTCACGGGTTCTATTCAGAGCCCCATTACCTGAAGTGAATGTAGCGCTACGACAGTCTGTGTTAAGGTATTGAAGTTGCTACAGCCTCAGCGATTTGACAGCTTTGTGAAACGGATCTGAGAATACCAGCCAGTATTCAGAGCATAGTTCCACAAAGTGATCGTAGTGCTACAACAATCATAAGTCTATGTCAAGGCATGGAAGCTAGGATCAACTAGAGCCACAACAGCTTTGTCAAATGGACCCCAGAATTCCAGCCAGTATTCAGAGCCCCATTCCACAAAGCAATCGTAATGCTACGACAGTCGTAAGTTTAAGTAAAGGTATGGGAGCTAGGATCACCTTAGCGCTACAACAACTCCTGAAACAGGCCCCAGAATACCAGCCATAACACTGTTGTGACAAACTGGATCACATAACTGTTTATGGCAGATTCTAAGATGCCTAGCGGTTAGAACAATCGAAAAAAAAACCATTATCAGACAATAAAGGTATAGTTTTTGATGACGTAACAATTGAATGACGTTATCCTGTCACTGCGCCATTCTAGTGTGCCCCCTCATAATCGAACCATTTTACATTACGTCACAATGTAAGCGACGTCACGATGCATGTCAGTTGTCATCGCCTTGTACGGCCTCCTACAGTAAACTACTCCGTTGCATCCCGTTTTTTGGTTTGCAGTTGCTTCACGCAGCTAACATCACTGATGGAAACATTAAGTTCATGTTTTACGATGGTTAAAATGTGTCAATTCGACTCACAAGTTTTCAGCGACACGGTAACTTTCGCAATGTTTACATTCCCACAATGCAATCGTGGAATGTCGCTTGACTACTCAGCTTCATCTGGATGTACTGATCTAAACTTACGTTGGTAGTAGAAATGCAACGTTCATATTGCCCCATATGGTTTACGTTAATGACGGATGTAATTAAAATAATTCAAAGATATTTAATCCAAACGTAAACCGTCATCAAACTGTTATCATTTGTTTGTTTCTGGTAACGTTCGTCTTAACGTAGGGGTCAGACACATCAATAGAACAGCGCGCCAGTTAGCCCTGTGGGAGGATTCTTAATTAAGGTCACCGAAACCGTCGTTTGTTTTCTGCCTTAAATTAATCGTAATTATCCTTAGAAAGTATTAAATTTGGCATCTTAGAAAAAGAAATACAGTTCGCTCTACCACCATGTATAGTGTAATAAAACACACTTTTGCCCTGAACTATTATGACGTTAAAGCACCCGGACGCAAGCGTCCTCATACTTTAACTATAATAGTTCAGGGCGAAAAGTGTGTTTTATTACACTACACATGGTGGTAGAGCGAACTGTATTTCTTAATTACAACATGATTTGAAGACCTTACAAGACAGATGAAAATTAAATCTTCTGGTCCTCACAATTTCAGATATTCTACTTACTGGCAATTACCATGGTAACAGTTGACTATTTGTCTGAATCTGACCTTTTCTTGCTGTGTTTCTTGTGCTTCTTACTCTTGCTGGACTTCTTCTTTTTTCTTCTTCTTCTTTCTTCTATCTTCTGAAAAACCCCAAATCAGTTTATTTTAATGTTTAGCAAATAAAAGCAGAGCTAGACTTAAGGAAATGAAACCTAGTTGCACCTACTTGCACAAGGTAATAACCTGGTTGCACAGTGTTCACGAATAGCGTCTGACCCTCTGACAAATTCCGCCAACAGTCCGATAGAAGTCTACAACCTGCCGGCCCCAGTGTCTGACTGTATATTTCACAATGTTTTTGACTGAAGTTGTTATATGTGACATGTGACACTTGTTTGCTGCTCATAAATCTTATGTTTGTTAATAATTTCAATACCAATTATAAGAAATGTTCAATCTGAAATGTATGTTTAATTTTATTCTATGGGTCCTGTGAATTTTCAATGGGTCAGGCAGACATCTGAAACTTACAGGACCCAATGCCCTGTTACTTTGAAACACCATTCGTGAACACTGGTTGCACAGACAAAAATAGGTTGCACCTGCTGCTCAGTATTAAATATGGGCGGTTGGATAGCCTGGTACTTAAAGTGTTCGCTTGTCACACCGAAGACCCAGGTTCGATTCCCCACATGGGTACAATGTGTGAAGCCCTTTTCTGGTGTCCCCCGCTGTGATATTGCTGGAATATTGCTAAAAGAGGTGTAAAACCATCACTCACTCACTCAGTATTAATAATGTATAATGCTTGAGTTTTGGCTTTGATGATTTAGAACATCATTAGAAATGTGTATGACATAAACAGCAACAGTCATTCAATCACTGTATAATCATTAGAAATATGCTGCTTCAAGCCACTTCCTCATCATTCTGTCTTCCAGATGAAGTCTGCATTCTTTGAACGACACAACATGAACAACCACTGGAGTCAAGTTGGTATAAATGTGTAGTTTCATTTTGCAGTTTCAATTTCTAAATGCTAAAATCGAGCCCTGCATAGATACCACCTAATGCTAAGAAAAGCAAGAACAGATTCACACACTGTAGACTTTAGACATCCTAAAATCTATTTGTCTTTATATCCGAGTGAGCTACAAGTCCATCAGATAGCAACCTACCTTCTGAGCTGCTGTCAGAATCTGAATCTGAGTCCGAGGATGCTTTATTGTTCCTCCGTCCTGCTTCGTCACTGTCAGAGCTGAAGTACAAACACTACAGAATTAACCTGTGAAGACGAGAATGACATTTCAACCATCACAAACATAACTGTCATGTTATTCTCAGAGTGGGAGTTTCAATGGGTATTACAATCTCTTAAGGCTTAAGTCTTTCCAAGTTTTATTCTTTCCTGTTGCGATGATTAATCTTTAAAATTGAATAAGAAGACACTTTTCCCTGTCCACCACCTAAGTTATTATTTCATAAAAATAAGTACCTACATGTTAAGAAAATTTGTAATATTTCACTTGATTCCGCACATCTAATATCTACTATCTTTTCGTATTTAAAATCGATCTTCCATGCTCTATAATTTATATTTTATTTTTGTTGTGTATATTTGTGTTAATATATTGTAATATGTAGTGTACCCTCATTGTATATTCTGCACCATGTGGAAAGGCATTGATATAAGCCTCAGGCTTGTTTGCCAATCCACTCCATTTCCTTACTACATTATATGCACATGCTGTATTGAATAATAAATATTGTTTAAACCAAGTCTTAAGAGCATATGAGTAACATCTATTTTAATATGACTCTACACAAAAGAACTCTTTTTCCCAATCATGTGTTGATACAGGTCATCTTCAACAAAGAAGACAAAAATGTACATCACGTCACATTTAATGATGCAGTGTCATGGAAGGTCATTAGGCCCTTGATGTCAGCTGCTATACTACTGGAATCTAGATATTAGGGCTGCAATGATTTGGTTCGATTCATCGAAAATCGAATCTGACACCTTAGTTTAGATTTTCGATAACCATCACTATTTTGATTTGGTATTTGAATACCTATTTAAATTATTTCCACACAGCAAGAACATAATTTTGACCCCAACTCAAGCAGTTTCGAGTGCTGAAATAAGGCGAAACATGATTGGTTGACGCCGGGCTAATTATCCAGTGAGAACTGTTGTTAGTAGACATCGCCAATTTGACGATGGATTTCACGCTGAAAAAGCCGACTCTGGGAGTTTAATGAAATGTGATGTTTTTTTACTTGTATGAAGAATTGAATCGAAAATGATTGAATCGAGGGTTCAATATCGAAAATCGAATCGAATCGAGGTCTGGGCAAATCGTTGCAGCCCTACTAGATATCCCTGGAGTGTTTTTTTCACATGGTTTTCATAAAAGTCAATTGTTTTTCATGCTTATTTTTTAACACCATGTTACAAAATTGACAGGATGTGCCTACAACTACTACACTAGATGGGTAGGGCTTTTTGTTTTTCAGATATTACTGAGAAGTCAAGCTCGCTAGACCAAACAAGTCACGGACACTACTAAGACCCTGGTTACAAAATCTTGGAATGACAAACTGCATTGTACAGCAATGTGCAGTAAAACTTGGACAAAGTATTGTGACTACGTGTCCCGGACCACCCAGCTGTGAATGGGTACCTCATTAGGATAGGAAAGCCACATTAACTTGGTGCACCTAATGGCTGCAAGAGTTGGATGATCCCCAGGGAGTTGACATTGGTAATATGTTGTGCCACTGAGATTGACATCCAATGATCCGCGAAAATTATGCGGACTTTCGTTTGTTGATATATCAGTGTCTGCGACCAAGGAAGAGAAAATTCAAAAACCGTTTTGTAAGTCCCGCTGAAGCCTAACAAGTAGTCGTTGTCTGATTGGTTAAATCCGTTCGGCCGTCTCGCGTTTGATGGGATGGTCATAGGTCGCTCAAAGGTTAGCTGACACGACCTTCTACTAGGTTTTGTTAGACTCAGTATAGCAGTGCAACGAATAATACTGAGCCTAAGTTTACTTAGACTGGGTTTTACATAGCTTTCAGCAATATTACATTACCAAAAGGGAACACCAGAAATAGGAATCACGTTGTACCCATGTGGGGAATCGAACCAGGCATTATGAGGAAAGGAAATCAAAACAATGGCTGGATATCACTGAGACAGACTTACTTTTCAACATGTGTAGGGGAACTACTCCATATTTCTGGTACACCAGCTTCTCCCAGACGTTCCCTCTCCTGTCTCCGTCTGAAGTACAACAGAGACCAATGAAGTACAACAGTCATCATATCATGAAGTACAACAGTTATATCAGGAAATACAACAGTCATCATATCATGAAGTACATCATATCATGAAATACAACAGTCATCATATCATGAAGTACAACAGAGACCAATGAAGTACAACAGTCATCATATCATGAAGTACAACAGTCATCATATCATGAAGTACAACAGTCATCATATCATGAAGTACAACAGTCATCATATCATGAAGTACAACAGTCATCATATCATGAAGTACAACAGTTGTATCAGGAAATACAACAGTCATCATATCATGAAGTACAACAGAGACCAATGAAGTACAACAGTCATCATATCATGAAGTACAACAGTTATATCATGAAATACAACAGTCATCATATCATGAAGTACAACAGAGACCAATGAAGTACAACAGTCATCATATCATGAAGTACAACAGTCATCATATCATGAAGTACAACAGTCATCATATCATGAAGTACAACAGTTATATCAGGAAATACAACAGTAATCATATCATGAAGTACAACAGTCATCATATCATGAAGTACAACAGTCATCATATCATGAAGTACAACAGTTATATCAGGAAATACAACAGTTAACATATCAGGAAATGTAACAGTGATCGCTGAAGTACAACAGTCATTATACCAGTGAGTGAGTGAGTGAGTGAGTATGGTTTTACGCCGCTTGTAGCAATATTCCAGCAATATCACGGCGGGGGACACCAGAAATGGGCTTCACACATTGTGCCCATGTGGGGAATCGAACCCGGGTCTTCGGCGTGACGAGCGAACACCTTAACCACTAGGCTACCCTACCGCCCCTCATACAATGAACTACAACAGTCATCATATAATGATGTTTAAGAAGACTACTGAAAATCCAAAGCATGAGTTTCAAAAGTGAAATTTAAGAACAAAATATATGAAATCCATGAGTACATTGTCAATGCACATTCACCAGCAGCCATCATAAAATGAACACCACCATAGTATTCTGGAAGAACCATTGGTTACAACAACAGAAAAGTAATCTATGAAAGAGTCCAGTCGAGCGAAAAACGTATATACAACAGCAATATGAATAATAATGGCTGTACCTTTCCATGAAGTCAGATGGCCCTTTATGCATGCTATGTTGATCACGGCTCTGGTGATGGAAGCCCCCAAAACCATTCTGCCTCATTTCCCTACAATAAAAATAGTTTTAGAGATAAATAAACTAATGAAATAATCATATCAAAACAAAAGTTATGATCATAATCAAATAATACAAACATTAGCCATGACAACAAGAAGAGTACAAAGTCATCAATATCCCTCCTAATGGTAAATATTTGTTGTGAGTAAATATAAGAGTGAGTGAGTGAGTTTAGTTTTACGCCGCACTCAGCAATATTCCAGCTATATGGCGGGGGTCTGTAAATAATCGAGTCTGGACCAGACAATCCAGTGATCAACAGTATGAGCATCGATCTGCACAATTGGGAACCGATGACATGTATCAACCAAGTCAGCGAGCTTGACCACCCGATCCCGTTAGTCAGCCTCTTACGACAAGCATGGGTTGCTGAAGATCAATTCTAACCCGGACCTTCACGGGTAGTTGATCTCAGACAGGAGAATTATCAATCTCTGGTCAGCCCTAAAGATGATCAACATTCTATGTTATCGAGTCAAGTCACAGCAGCTCTTAAGCCATGGGTTCAAGTCCTACCTAACCTGAGTAAAATGTATATATATCCTTCCAAAGACTATAATTTACCTGTCTTGCCCTCTTTCAAAAGGGTTACTTCTCTCAGGTGACCTTGACCTCTCCCTACGTGAAATAGGTGATCTAGATCGTGATTTCCGCAAACCTGGTGACCAGTGTGTATCATTCTTGCTTGATCTTGACATTCTGTAATCGTTATATTGAGGTGAACCACGAGGCTCCCTTTTATAATGAGGTGATTTAGACCTCGACCTCTTTCTTCGTGAGTAAGGTGACCTTGACCTACTCCTCTTTGAATATGGTGACCTGGACCTATTTCTCTTTGAATATGGTGACCTAGACCTACTTCTCCTTGAAACAGGTGATTGTGATCTGTCCCTTTGCATGTGGGCACCATTCTTTTTCCTATGTCTTTTCATGGCATCTTTTTGTCTGTGACGTGAGTCCTCTCTGTCACTGGAGGAGTGACGTCTGTAACGTGGGGAAGCATCACGACGTCTGTATTTGTCTGGAGTGGGACTCCTTGAACTGGCTGAACTTGATCGAACCATTGTCCTTCAGTGCAAACTGTGAATGAAATACTTGAATAATTCCTCAAACACATCTATTTAAATGAGGTGCATCAATAACTCATGGTTATTAAATGGAAGCTGAAATTAGTTTAGAGCTGCCAACCCTAATTCAAGCTGTGAAGTAATCAGTGGAGTGAAACTGAAAAGTAAATTCATGTCTACAAACAGATAAATGAATGATGAAATGGCATTGCAGTTTGGGGGTTCTTTTTAAAATGACAAATCTTGGACCTTGTTTCATTGAGAAATGGATATTTCAACACCACATAAATTGAAAGCATGCTTCTCTTTGGTCAGTATAGATTTACTGTTGAATGGTTCATTTCACTGTTGCATAAACAGTATTTATTATTATACTATATGTATGTAAATAATTCGTGAAAAACACGACAAAAATTGTCATTTGGTGGAGTAACGGTGTAATTAATTGTTGCCTCAAAACTGTAAGTATTATACAAAATTGTTATTACTTGGCATCTCTGCACATGTTCATCCATTTTATAACCATAGCTGGGTTCAACAACTAGCAATAAAGGCTACCAATATATAGTATATGGCTAGCCTCAACACTTATCCATCTTATTGTTTGGGGAAACTTTAGGAGTTTTGGAGTAAGACGGGGGTTAAACTTAACCCAGTTAGCTGTAAATTTACCACCTTCTTCCTGAGATTGAAAAAGATAACACCTAACTAATGTGCCTGTGTAAATATGTACTTGTGCGTGTGTGATTTATTAAAGGTGTTAATCACCCTACCACGGGCTCCATATCACCTCGTGTGGCAGCATCCGTGACCTGTGGTAAAGGTTGAGGGTTTGCCAACCCATTTGCCAAGCTTTGCTACGCTTCTTACTAAAGCGAGTGCGATAGTTAAGAATATTCTCGCACACTGACTAAAATTTTTCCACTGCATATACTGTTTCCGACAAAGAGTATGGGCCCATAATAAACTCACGTTCTTCCAACGTTGTTTCTAAATGATTACATGATCGAAAATTGGACGACAGAAATAACTGTGCATAATGACACAGATCTGTTCTGCCATCCTCACCTGAACTCGCAGTGAAAATCAAGTAAGTTCTGTGTATGAAATGTGCATGTGAAATTCTTTTCAGGTTAATTATAACACCTCTACAAGCAATATAATAGCACTTTACGAAACGTAAACAAGTACCTGACAATTCAATATGGCCGATCTCGCGTATTGTTGTCGGACGTACGAGAATTTTTTGTAATTTAGCTATATGTTTTATTTGTGCGTAACTAATCATCCTTTGGTTATCGTTTATGGTTCTTTCAACTAAGCAAATTTAAACAATAATAATGTAACACAGTTTAACTGGGATAACGTCTATTGATCACGTACTCAGACAGCAGTACCAGTTGGGTAGAGTATAAAACATGTTCAGGATTTCATAAACGAACACATGCTGAGATATTGCATTGTAAATATATTTTAAATTTATTTCATATGTAAAATAGCTATATACCCAACGTTCCTCGCGTTGTTTAGCGAGTGCGTTGTAGATGAAAGATTTGTTTCATAACTTTTTTCAGAATAGGATTCGGCCATGTCAACTTTTGGATGTAACCGCGGTTGCCCTAGCGATGTTTCAAAATGGCGACGGAAGGCGTACGATTTGATGATGAATCTGGTGTTTTTGCGTCAAATTGTTTCCCGGTCCGCAGTATATTTGGACATGGATACGACGGTACACTAATAAAATGAATATGATTGTTGTGTATTATGATTTTTGGTTTGCTGTCAAAATTTCAGACTTTGAAATTGTGTCAGTTTGCAAGCAGCAAAGTGCGTGTTCTGTAAATACGATTATCGGAGTGTCATTTAAAACATTTCACTTTCTATCATTGTGAATTTTCATTTCCATTTCACATATACATGTGTACAGTTATGGTGCTTAGGTCTTGGCCTAAATGTTCAAAGTAGTTTATGTGTCACATTTCCTATTCTCTCGTGACACTCATATCAACAACTTTCTCGTCTTAACTGTTTATAAAATTGTAGGTTAGTAGTTCTGACAGCAAATACCTCTATAAACGTATGTCTTGATGATGAACATATTTCTCCTTGTGTCTGACTGCCAGGTACCATTATAAACTATTTAGCATCATGTTAATTGTGTGATCACCAAATCAATGGAATTCTTAATCTTTAACTTATTAATTGAAATAGGAATATTGTAATCATGCTCTAGACAACTATTTTAAGACATTACAAATTTACTAAAATGTAATCATTTTCATTTGTTTTGTTTCAATTTGTCTCTTTATTTTATATAATTGTATAATATTTTATGTGTCATTATAATTATATCCTATCCAACATGTATAATATGATTATAATGAAATATAAAATATTAAACAATTGAATAAAATAAAGAGAAAATTGGGGATAAACAACAAATGAAATATCTTAAAATAGTTATCTGGAGCATTATTACAATATTCTTATTGTTACATTGTGTTCCAGTCCTGGAAGATTTTACTTTTCACTTGTTTACATGATTTTTGTCAATTGTTACAGAGGCATATGACATCCTCTATTGTATGTAATGCCATTTACTCACTGACCTTCTTGACACATGCAGGGTTTTACATAGCTCTTCGAAACTAGAAGTCCTGGGGACTCAGGGCATACTTTTTTGAGAGTCCATTTCCAAAATTGGGGGTCCATCAATTTGCATTAAATCAATGATAATGAATGCTTCCCATTTGGTAATGATTATGTTAAGATATGTGTTACTTCCAATGTCATTAGAATAATGATTGTAAATAGAATGTTTTTATTTTAATATGGGACATCATTACAAACTCAGAAAGTTCTTTCCCAGAAAAAAATTATATTGCGTCCACAAGGACGCACAGGATTTTAGTTTGGGGGTACTTCACCAAATTTCTGCGTCAGTACGCAGGAATCTTGCGTCCCGTAAAACCCTGCACATGTCATCGTATCCCAGTTGTGTAGATTGATGACTAAACTCACTCACTCACACACTCACTAATGTCATGTATGTTTTACAGCTGTTGGAGTATATGTCAGTGAAACTCCAGTGAAATACAACAGAAATCTGTGTTTGTGTTTACAACATCACTGAACATATGCATTTTTCACTTTACAGTGTAATTAAGCTCTTGATGGACAGAAGTGATTTTCATTTGAAATCTCAGGCTCACACTATCAGTTTAAAATAACAAACCTGAAACCAAATAAATGATGGTTCTACTTTCAGGAGGTGGAGCATGGCTAATAGCTCATAGGGCTGAGCAGAGGAGAAGATTTAAAGCTGTCCTGTGCACAAAACCAAGGACTTACTCAAGGATTAGAGAAGAAAGGAAAAAGACAGAGCGTCTTGGTACAACACTTGATGGCCAGAGATTTGATGAAGATGAGGCGGAGGAAGAGGAGGCCGCTACCTTGGATGGCTTCTTTCTTGTAAGGATAACTATTGGATATGACTGTAGATAAGCTGATCTCATAGCTAAGCCTTAAAATCAGGATCAAAATGCTTACGTACATCATCTCATTATGATCAGTCATTGGAAATAGAACATCAACAAATCTGTATCAGTTTACTGGAGAAACAGACATGGCAATCGTAATACCTGCATATAATGCATGGCCTATCAAAACAACTGAAATGGTAAATTATCGTACTGAAGTAAATTATCACATGTACTGATGTGGTGATGTTTATTTGTAAAGTTGACAGCTGCACTAACAAAGTCGTTTTCTTCTGTTCACATGAAGCGATACAATTATTTCTTCACCACTAGAAAAAATGTTTAATGAAAGTGTAACCTTTAGAAAAGCTGATCCCTTTCAACAGAATACTTTTTCAGGTTCTTGTAATTCGTTTTTCATCTTCAGTCATATAAGGTATCTCTCTGTATCTTTCAACTCAGATGATGTCCTGATTTCTATGTAATTCAAACTAAGTTGCTTAATGTCAGGTATCTGAACCATTTTGTACAGTGTTGTGATGTTTAACTGTTGCAGATGAAGCAGTGTTGTGTGGAGGACCCATCAGACCTGTGCTCTATCAACATCGCAGGCAAGGAGCTCAGTGAGGTCAAGGAGGACGACTTCAGCCTCTTCGACAATGTTGCTTATGTCAACGCGGGAGAGAATTATCTCCCCTTTGGTGAGACATTTGTAATGGTTTTTATTCATTTATTCAGTTTTTTATCCTACACACCTGATGTTTTATTAGGATGCTTATGACCTCAAAAGGCCAAGTGAATCAAGAGCTTAGCTTTCTGAGTGTGTGTGTGCATTTGTTGTTTAATGCTACTCTCATCAGCATTCCCGTGAAGATCTGGGTTAGAAATGATCTTCAGTAACCCATGCTTGTCGTAAGAGGCAACAGGATCGGGTTGTCAGACTGGTCAGATTGATTGACACATGTCATCGTATTCCAATTGCGTAGATCGATGCTCATGCTGTTGATCATTGGATTGTCTCATCCAGTCTTTATTATTAACAGACCGCCACCATATAGCTGGAATATTGTTGAGTGTGGCGTTAAACAACAAACCAAAAAACCAACTATCAGCACTCCAGCTATAAGTCATCAGTCTGTAAATAATCAAATCTGAGCAGACAATCGGGGAATTATAACCAATGATCAATTTCATCAAGTTATGATATCACAGAATAAACTAAGTCACCGAGCCTGGCCACCTGATCCATTTAAGGATTAGTCGTTATTGAAGGGCATGCAAATGTTTGTGGCTGTTTGCCCTTGTCCAGACTGATGCTAATTTTATAGTGTTATCCCACTGAAGCACTCTGCTACAGCTTAGCATCGATACCCCATGCAGATACAGCCTGCTGACAGAGCAAACCAATCCTTGACTTATCACTCTATTGCCAAGCTTCAGTCTGGGAAACAACACAGATCATCTTTTAAGGAGGATTTGACACATCCAGGGAACACTAGCATGTGACCTTCCAGTCTCCGCAGGGGTGGAAATAACCCATTGCCCGACGCCCGAGTCCAGTGAATTTTTCTGTCGGGCAAGCAAATTTGTATATCACACTGTATCAGTGTCCAGTTGACTTTCCAATATTAATTATGTTGTTTATTTAAAAAATCAACAAGAAAACGGGCGGTATAGTGGAAAAATTATCAGGGCAAGTGATTTTACATGTGCCACTATACCGGAGTACACTAGCAATTTTAAAGTTATTTCCACCCCTGCTCCCGGCTTGACACATGTTCCACTACCACATACCACCAGACAAATGTGTCCACTCTGACTGTGGTATCTGAAATGCTTTATGTGTCTTGATATCAGAATAGTCTATTAAATATTTTCTTTCACTGTTTCATTGTCAGAGGCCTTCCGTGGCTTCCCAATCATACGTGAACTTGAGATGCCTTTGAATGGTTTGCGCAGTTTGAAGATAGATGTCACAGACTACCCATATCTGGAGGTAAGACGGTGTTCTACATGTACAACATAGGCGAAAACCATGAGTAAACGGCAGTTTGTGACTAACAACATCATAGTTTCATAAACAACTGTTTCCAGTGATGGCATAAAATAACAAACAGCAGATATTGTTGTGTACAGGGTATTCAACTATTCATCGCTGTAAACCATATTGAAACTAAAATGACTATCTACATATTCTGAGTTATTTTGAAACTTGTTGCACTGAGTATCCACCATTATAAGCTACCTTTACCACATACCACTACCACATACTACTACTACTACCACATACTACTACCACTACTACATACTACTACCACTACCACATACTACTACCACTGCCACTGCTACATACTACTACTACTACTACCACTACCACATACCACTACCACATACTACTACTACTACCACATACTACTACCACTACTACATACTAGTACCACATACTACTACCACTGCCACTACTACATACTACTACTACTACTACTACTACTACCACATACCACTACCACATACCACTACCACATACCACTACCACTACCAGTACCACTACCACATACCATTACCACTACCACATACTACTACCACCACCACATACCATTACCACTACCATTATCACTACCATTACCACTACCACATACTACTACCACTACCACTACCACATACTACTACCACTGCCATTACCACTACCACTACCATTACCACTATCACACTACCACATACTACTACCACTACCATTACCACTACCACATACTACTGCCACTACCACTACCACTACCACTACCACTACTACTACCACTGCCATTACCACTACCACATACTTCTACCACTACCATTACCACTACCACATACTACTACCATTACCACTACCACTACCACATACTACTACCACTGCCATTACCATTACCATTACCACATACTACTACCACATACTTCTACCACTACCATTACCACATACCACTGCCACTACCATTACCACTACCACATAACACTACCATTACCATTACCACATACCATTACCACATACTACTACTACTACTACCACTACCATTACCACTACCATTACCACTACCACATACTACTACCATTACCACATACCACTACCACATACTACAACCAGTACCACTACCACATACCACTGCCACTACCATTACCACTACCACATACTACTACCACCACCACATACCACTACCATTACCACTACCATTACCACATACCATTACCACTACCACATACCACTACCACATACCACTGCCATTACCACTACCACATACTACTACCACTACCACATACCATTACCAATACCAATACCATTACCATTACCATTACCACTATCATTACCACTACCATTACCACTACCACATACCATTACCACTACCAATACAACATACCACTACCATTACCACTACCACATACAACATACCACTACCACATACCAGTACCACTACCATTACCATTACCATTGCCACTACCACATACTATTACAACTACCACTACCACTACTACATACAACTGTTACATCTTCTCCATAGTACTACATACTTTGACTGTGTGTTACAGTTACTGGACTTGTCGTACAACAACCTCTCCTCTGAAGACGTCCTGGCACTGGGGTTACTCCAGAACCTCAGGGTTCTACACCTCAGCGGCAACAACTTCAAGACTCTGCCCGCTGACATGTCGCTGCCCTACATCCCAGATCCCAAACAGTCAGTGTGCTTCATCTCCATAGACCTTTGTAGACAAATAACAGCTATATCTCTTGCCTATTTGGATGTAGGATACTAGTAGGTTAGAGCTCAGTTAAAGGAGGATTGGATGGTTGCAGTGTGTGATCTGGCTGGTGTCATTGTAACCCGAAGATCATTGCTCATACTGTCAACCACTAGGTGGTCATACTGTCAACCACTAGGTGGTCACACTGTCAACCACTAGGTGGTCATACTGTCAACCGCTAGTTGGTCACACTGTCAACCGCTAGGTGGTCACACTGTCAACCGCTAGTTGGTCACACTGTCAACCGCTAGTTGGTCACACTGTCAACCACTAGGTGGTCACACTGTCAACCGCTAGTTGGTCACACTGTCAACCACTAGGTGGTCACACTGTCAACCGCTAGTTGGTCACACTGTCAACCACTAGGTGGTCACACTAGTTGGTCACACTGTCGCTAGTTGGTCACACTGTCAACCGCTAGTTGGTCACACTGTCAACCACTAGGTGGTCACACTGTCAACCGCTAGTTGGTCACACTGTCAACCGCTAGTTGGTCACACTGTCAACCGCTAGGTGGTCACACTGTCAACCGCTAGTTGGTCACACTGTCAACCGCTAGGTGGTCACACTGTCAACCGCCAGTTGGTCACACTGTCAACCGCTAGTTGGTCACACTGTCAACCGCTAGTTGGTCACACTGTCAACCGCTAGGTGGTCACTAGTTGGTCACACTGTCAACCGCTAGTTGGTCACACTGTCAACCGCTAGTTGGTCACACTGTCAACCGCCAGGTGGTCACACTGTCAACCGCTAGGTGGTCACACTGTCAACCGCTAGGTGGTCACACTGTCAACCGGCCGCTAGTTGGTGGTCAACCGCTAGTTGGTCACACTGTCAACCGCTAGTTGGTCACACTGTCAACCGCTAGTTGGTCACACTGTCAACCGCTAGGTGGTCACACTGTCAACCGCTAGTTGGTCACACTGTCAACTGTCAACCGCCAGTTGGTCACACTGTCAACCGCCAGTTGGTCACACTGACAACCGCTAGTTGGTCACACTGACAACCGCTAGTTGGTCTGTCACTGTCAACCGCTAGTTGGTGGTCAAGCACTGTCAACCGCTAGTTGGTCACACTGTCAACCGCCAGGTGGTCACACTGTCAACCGCCAGTTGGTCACACTGTCAACCGCCAGGTGGTCACTGTCAACCGCCTGGTCACACTGTCCCGCCACTGGTCACACTGTCAACCGCCAGTTGGTCACACTGTCAACCGCCAGTTGGTCACACTGTCAACCGCCAGGTCAACCGCCAGGTGGTCACTGTCAACAGTTGGTGTCAACCGCCAGGTGGTCACACTGTCAACCGCCAGTTGGTCACACTGTCAACCGCCAGGTGGTCACACTGTCAACCGCCAGGTGGTCACACTGTCAACCGCCAGGTGGTCACACTGTCAACCGCCAGGTGGTCACACTGTCAACCGCCAGGTGGTCACACTGTCAACCGCTAGGTGGTCACACTGTCAACCGCTAGTTGGTCACACTGTCAACCGCTAGTTGGTCACACTGTCAACCGCTAGTTGGTAACACTGACAACCGCTAGTCAGCCTAGCTTTTGAAAACAGAAACAGTGAATGCTGAGTTCAATATATATTATAGATTTTAAAACCTTTTGAGAAATGTAGAACTCTTTTGTAAATGTATATACATGCTGTGATGATTCTTATTTCTATTATATTTCCAACCTGTGAAGATCCAGGTAAGAATTGGCCTTCAGCAACCCATGTTTGTCATAAAAGGTGACTAACAGGATCGGGTGGTCAGGCTTGCTGACTTGGTTGATACATCTCATCATATCGATGCTCATGCTGTTGATCATTGGATTGTCTGATCCAGACTCCATTATTTATAGACCGGAACAGCTGGAATATTGCTGAGTGCGGCGTTTAACAACAGACCAACCAACTATTTTATTTCCTGATTCGGAATTGTTTATTAATCATTCTTCTTCATTTCCGCATCAGGAGTAAAACAATATCACCAAGTCAAATATCATCCCTCTATTTTGTTTCCTTCAGAAAGACACGATACCAAAGGTACACAAAGCTGGAGGTCCTGATGCTGGACGACAACAAACTGAGTGATGTGAGCGTGTTCGCAGCACTGGCTGGCTTACAAAAGTAAGAAACAATATTAACATATCCACTGAATTTTATCCATATAAGCACCACTGACACAAGGAGCATAACTTCTATTATTATGCAAGCATATTTTTCCGGCTACCTGATTGGTCTAGAGGCGGTCACGTGACCGTCGACAGAAAAGCATATTGACTCCAACCCAGGTCCGACCAAAAGTCATATTGACCTGAGTTACTATGACATCAAGCTATGACGTCATTCTATTGTTTACATGTCGCAGTATTGTTGACATAACGTTTTTGGTTTCTAGTGAAAATAAAATTACTTTTCTTGACTAAATGGACATGTTTTGGATTTTAGAAGTGTTTTTTTTTTGTAATTACATAATAAAACAATTATAGACTAGCGAATTCGGTCAATACATGTTTTTATGGTCCCGTGAAGTCCTCGGTCAGTATTGCTTTTTGCGGGTCCATAAAACCAGGTATTTACCAAATTCGCCAGTCTATAATTGTATAGAATAAGAAAGACTGACTGAGTTTGGTTTTACACCGCTTTTAGCAATATTCTAGCAACATCACGGCGGGGGACACAGAAATGGGCTTCACACATTGTACCCATGTGGGGATTCGAACCTGGGTCTTAGGCGTGACGAGCCAACGCTTTAACCACTAAGCTACCCCACCGCCCCAGAATTAGAAAGAATAATGATGGGTTCACTTTGTTTTGGTGATCAACTTGTATTGGTTTTTATGCACAGACCATCTGGCCAAACGACTTGTTGGTTTTTCAACGAGTAAAGCATAATGTTTCTTTATAAAGGGTGTTAATTATGCGCCTTTATTTTAAGAAACTGATGGAAAACAATAACTGCTTTGTTTGGAGTCAGTGTTCATTGTCTTAGTAGGGATACTTGTTAAAACTATGCCATTGTATCTTGGTAGGCTGGCATAGTAACATTGGCTGTAGTCAGGACAGGTACAAGTAGCCACACACACACACAAGTACATCACTATAGGGCCTGTAAGTCTCGCCAGGCACTCCTTCGGGGACTAAGCTGCTTGGTTGTCACAGGTGTTGACAGTCGTAATAGTTGGCTAATTTGGGGATGGTTAGATCGGTCAGCTGACAACCTAGAATAACGATTAATCTCTGAATATATCATTTTGATTGTAACAAATAAACCCATTTAAATTGAAAAGGAGCCCAAGGGAGACCAGAGATTTCTGAACCTGGGGAAATCTAGACTTGCTTCATTTAGGACTTTAGCATTGCAGGGAGGGCTAGGCAGTAGGGAAAATAATATGGTTCAGGGACTGTGAGACAGACTACTGACAACCATGAGACCATTTGAAAAGGTATGAAACGTTGTTTGTCACATGCTAAATGCAGTGACCTACTTACGGGCCCTATATAAGTGCAGTAATCTGGAGCACAATACTAAACCTTAATTCACCTCATATCAACTTCCTAATGTCACTGAAAGAGATAGATCAAGTAAAAGTTGTCATCCGTTTCAGACTTCATCATCTCAATATGGAGAAGAATCAAATTGCTTACGTTCCACAACTAAAGTCAGTGGAGGGCAAGGTCGTGACCCAGGAGGTCACAATCCCTGAAAAGAAAAGCAAGTCAAGCGCAAGGGGAGGCAGAAGTAGCCGACGCTCGAAATCAAGAACAAGTAACTCTGCACATTCCACTAATGCAGATGTGCAGAGAGCCGGCACTCCTGAGGTCAAAGTTTCGTTTGAGGTCAAGGCTGAAGCAGTGAAGGAGGTGTCTCATCTGACCAAAGTGAAGGAGGAAGAGGAAGAAGAGACTTGTGAAGAGAAACCCAAGATGGAGGCGGATCCCGTGCTGGATAACATGACAACAGAAGAGAAAGGTAAACTTGACTGATGCTGTGAGGGGACAATAGCAGTGAGTGAATAAGTCTAGTTTTACACCGCTTTTAGTAATATTCCAGCAATAACTGTGGGGACACCAGAAATGGGCTTCACACATTGTACTCGTGGGGAATCAAACCCGGGTCTTTGGCTTGAGCGTTTTAACCACTAGGCTACCCCACTGTCCCCCGAACAATAACTGATTTACACTGACAGTATTACCATATGTGTACAAACCTGTGGAGAACTGGATTAGAATTGGTCTTCAGCAACCCATGCTTGTCGTAAGAGGCAGCTATCAGGATTGGGTGGTCGCTGACTAGTTGATGGGTCATCGTATCCCAATTGCGTTGATTGATGCTCATGCTGTTGATCACAAGGTATGGAGTAATGGAAATGGTCCAGATCCAGGGTCCTTGTGTTCACATGATGACCTCGTTAAGAGTTATCAGTTGTTTCGTTGTGCTGAAAGTCAATTATTAAGTGCTCAATGTCACCTCTGGCTGTTACTGCTGCCCCTGTTTTCAAGCATTTGACTGTGATCTTCTTCAGAGAGATTAGAAAACCCTTGGTTGCTCCCCAGCAGATGCCGTTTTATTTTAGCAAAGTCAGTACTGAGTCAATCTCCTTTGTTTTCCCCCACCCTTAGATGCCCCCCAAAGTCAGTACTGAGTCAATCTCCTTTGGATGCCCCCCAAGAGATGCTTTGGATTTTGTAGCAAAGTCAGTACTGTGTCAATCCCATGGTTTCCTTGTTACAATGTTTATTTTATGTTTAGCTGAAAAGTCACTCTCTAATGCTTCATTTGGATTTTTGTTCCCCGCCACACTGCGGAATGGGGAACTATGTATTCAGCAGCGTCCGTACATACGTACATCCCAATTGTTGTGAACACGAATCTCATGAACTGTTGTACTCAATATCTTCAAATTTGGTGACAGCCTACATTGGGGGATTACACAGTCACCAGTCAATTTGGGTGACCTTGACCTTATTTTAGCGGTCAGAACTTAGTCAACATTTACTGGTCACTGTTGTGTGAATTGTCTTGTTTTAATGCCAGCATTTAAATATACTGTTTTGTCTATAGATCTGTTGAACGATGACCTAAGTTTGAACATTGGAGACCTGACCGCTCGGTTGGCCATAACCAGGATGAACGAATTAAATGATGAAGGGGAGACAACACAGCGTGCCGAGGACCAGCAAGCATCACAGTGCCCCTTCCCCGAGCTACGCTATCTCAGCCTGGCTCACAACCAGGTAATGCTCCCTTCAGGGCATGTTAGTTTGTGTTAAGTGCCACTCTCAGCAATATTCCAGCTACATCGCGGCAGTCTGTAGATAATCAAGACAGGACCAGACAATCGAGTGATTGACATCATGAGCTTCAACCTACACTTTTGGGACTCCATTCCTTTGCCTCTCACACAAGCTGGAGACCTACAGTCTTACCCAGAATCCCTACGGCACCATGTTAGCCTTCATTTTGCACTGTTTGATATGTTTCTGGTCATTGCAATTTGTTCTTCTCTGAATGTGCTTGTGACCCGTGAAGATCCAGGTTCACACAGGCACGCGACGCACGCACGCCTGCATACGCGACGCGCTTACGCGACGCGACGCCTACGCGCCTACGCCGCGCGACGCGCCGCCACGCGCCGCGCCGCCTTACGCACGCGCACGCACGCACGCACACACACACACACACATTTGTATAGCGCCAATATGCAGCTCAGCTCAGCTGCTCAAAGGCACTTTGTTTTTCCCCCGTTCACTGGATGTCAGTCTCAACGGCACATCGTATTGTCAATCTCAACTCCCTGGGGAGCATACAACTCTTGCAGGGAGCATACAACTCAGGTTCAGTAACCCATGCTTGTCATAAGAGGCGACTTACAGGATTGGGTGGTCAGACTTGCTGACTTGGTAACATATGACACATGTCATCGTATCCCAGTTGTGTGGATCGATGTTCATGCTGTTGATCACTGGATTGTCTGGTCCACGACCGCTGCCATATAGCTGGAATACTGCTGAGTGTGGCGTAAAACAACAAACCAACTAAAATCATCTGAAAATGAAATTGTAAAGTAAAATGTTATAGATTTGTTTACATGATATTGGGTTAACCCCGATTATGTTACTGCTCACAGGAGTATTGCATCTAAGTCAGTGATGCTGTTTGTGTGTAGATCAGTGACGAGGATGCCTTGCTGGCGGTGGCGGCTTGGCCCATGCTGGTGGAGCTGGTTCTACACAACAACCCACTGACCACCAACCACAGTGGCAACCCACCACTACTGAAGCGCTTCCTTCATGACAGGCTCGGCATCAAGCTGGTCAGGTAATACATCGTACAATCTCAGCTCCCTGGGGAACATACAATAAAGCTAACATTAATAGGCTTGGTGCGGTTTTACATCCACGTTGTTGTCTTCCAATCAGATATTCATTCACAACTGGGTGAACACTGATGCTTATGTAGTCTGTCTCACAGTCCCTGAACCACAATATTTTCTCTACTGCTAAGCCCTCTCTGCAGTGCTAAAGCCCTAAATAAAGCAAATCTAGATTTCCTCAGGTTCAGGCTTATATAACACAACTACCTGCTATTGGCGACACAGGACATTTCATTATCTGTGACTCACTGTGGGGTTGGACTGAAGGCCTAGAAACTGTCAACAGTCAATACTGGGACCAATATTTAATTTGAACTATCTTGATGTTTCAGGAAAGAAGAACCATCACTGGTGAAGCCGCATGTAGAGGTTCATTCACATAAACACAGGACGGTTAGTCATTTATTCCAGTACAGGGCGGTGGGGTAGCCTAGTGGTTAAAGCATTCGCTTGTCAGCGAAGACCCGGGTTCGCTTCCCCACATGGGTACAATGTGTGAAGCCCATGTCTGGTGTCCCCCGCCGTGATATTGCTGGAATATTGCTAAAAGCGGCGTAAAACCATACTCACTATTTCAGTAAAGTTCATACAATTCAAACCCCACTTCTGTCAATTTCAATTTTACTTAAGAAAGTGGTATATGATAGAATGACTGTGGCTTCTATTTTGAAAATGTCATGAACGACAAGAATATTTCTTTAACAGGCCCATATGATGGTGTGAGCATGGCATGGACTGAGCATGGACGCTGATGGCTGTATTCTACCTGCATTCTACCTGTTTATTTGTAGGTGTCTGGCAGTGTGCCAAAGGTCCCCAAACCCAGCATAGAGGACAGGCTCATGTTAGAAGCTCCCCCAAAACCAGCCCTTCAACAGCCTGAGCAAGGGGAGAGAACTCTGTCTGGTCTGGATCAGCAAAAACCTCTGCCACCAATTTCATCCCGGGTCCCCAAAGAAGGTCCCCAGCCATCACCACGATTTGATGCGTGGACAGAGGATAAGACAGACACCACAAAAAATGAAGATGCCTTCTTTATGACACAGGTGAGATGGTGAATCCTTCCCCAGTGCTTGTTGTGAAATCCGGGTTAGATCGGTCTTCAGTAACCCATGCTTGTCTTAAGAGGCGACTAACGGGATCGGGTGGTCAGGCTCGCTGACTTGGTTGACACATGTCATCGTATCTCAATTGTGTAGATCGATGCTCATATTGTTGATCACTGGATTGTCTGGTCCAGACTCACTTATCTACAGACTGCCGCCATATAGCTGGAATATTGCTGAGTGCAGCATTAAACAACAACCAAACCAAACCGGAATGCTTGTCGTGAAAGGTGACAAGATGGACTGGGTTATCAGTCTCTGTAATTTTATCAGTTGTGTGTCCTCGTATCCTGACAGCATGGATTGTTGCTGACAATGTGAATCACTGGATTGTCAAGTCCAGACTTGACTGTTTACAGGATGCCATTATATAACAAAGAAATAAATTAAGGCTTGCTTACAAGTTAAAGCAACCGCCTCCGTGGTGTAGTGGTTAGAGCGTCCGCCCGGAGAGCGGAAGGTCGCGGGTTCAATCCCCGACCGCGTCATACCAAAAGAATGGTAAAATATGGTACTTGTTGGTCCCTGCCAGGCGCTCGGCATTAATAGGTACAACAAGGACTGGTCGGCTCGGAGTCAGTATAATGTGTCTGAGTGGGGTATTCTTGCTTCACTGCGGCATGGTATCTCAGTGGGCTAGCACTATAAAACCAGCTGAAGTCTGGGCTAGTACAAGCAACCGCACATACACATACACACGCATGCACGTCGTCATATGAGCGAAATATTCTCAAGCACGACGTTGAACCCAATTTCACCTCACCTTACAAGTTAAAGCAATGTTCCACTGAAGGTATGATGTTACATGGCACAACAAATGTGATGGTTACCATGGTGACTGACTATAATTTGCTTCAGGTTGAAGACCAGGAGGAGGAGCAAAAAACTGCTCCAGAAGAGGAGACGGAGAAGAGACCTCGAAGGAAGTCTGGGAAGACCACTGATAGGTATCGTGGATATGAGGAGTTGCTGGATATAGATTCAGACGAAGAGGAGGGGGATATACCCAAAGGTAACTGTTACGAACATTTTCTGAATGTTTTTGTGGTTGGCAGCTAGCGTTGACCTGTATCTTTTATTTTATTATCTCCCTTTCAATAACAAACAGTTCGTCTGTGCATCTCAGGGGACATGTTCGTCAGAGAATGTCTGAAAGGATATCTGAAGTGTGTAGCTGCATTCACATTAATTTCATGTCTATAGTATGGGATACATTCACATTAATTTCATGCATATAGTATGGAATACATTCTCATTAATTTCATGTATATAGTATGAGATACATTCACATTAATTTCATGTATGTAGTATGGGATACATTCACATTAATTTCATGTATATAGTATGGAATACATTCACATTAATTTAATGTATATAGTATGGAATACATTCACATTAATTTCATGCATATAGTATGAGAGATACACACATTAATTTCATGCATATAGTATGGAATACATTCATTTCATGCATAGTATGAGATACATTCACATTAATTTCATGTATATAGTATGGAATACATTCATAATTTCATGTATATAGTTGGGATACATTAATTTCATGCATATAGTATGAGATACATTCACATTAATTTCATGTATATAGTATGGAATACATTTACATTAATTTCATGCATATAGTATGAGATACATTCACATTAATTTCATGTATATAGTATGGAATACATTCACATTAATTTCATGCATATAGTATGAGATACATTCACATTAATTTCATGTATATAGTATGGAATACCTTCACATTAATTTAATGTATATAGTATGGAATACATTCACATTAATTTCATGTATATAGTATGGGATACATTCACATTAATTTCATGCATATAGTATGAGATACATTCACATTAATTTCATGTATATAGTATGGAATACATTCACATTAATTTCATGTATATAGTATGAGATACATTCACATTAATTTCATGTATATAATATGGAATACATTCACATTAATTTCATGCATATAGTATGAGATACATTCACATTAATTTCATGCATATAAGTATGGAATACCTTCACATTAATTTAATGTATATAGTATGGAATACATTCACATTAATTTCATGTATATGGTATGGGATACATTCACATTAATTTCATGCATATAGTAAGCCTGTGTGAAGATGAAATCATGTCACCAGCAAACATGACCGGCTGCAACCCACTGTTTCAGATATCCAAGGCAATGTACGAGCCCTGAAGTACGCCCTGACCCATCAGCTGGTGTACAGGGACCCGACCATCCACCTGGACAAAGTCAAACGGCCGGTCCAAGAGTACAGAAGGGTCAGTTTGTCATCTTACAGCTAAATATTCCAAATTTTGGGAGTTGGAATATTTGTGACGTGTTTGTAGCCTGCATACTTCTGGTAGACTGTAGATTTCAATGCTGTTGTCGACAGCACTATCCTTGCATGGCTACAGGGTACTGAGCTTGCATGGTAACACTCTCCTTCCATAACAGCACTATCTTTCCTTGCATAACAACACACTTATGGCTACTTTGCAGCTTGCAACACTATCCTTGCATGGCAACACTATCCTTGCATGGCTACAGGGTACTGAGCTTGCATGGTAACACTCTCCTTCCATAACAGCACTATCTTTGCATTGCAACACTATCCTTGCATGGCTACAGGGTACTGAGCTTGCATGGTAGCACTCTCCTTCCATAGGAGCACTATCTTTGCATTGCAACACTATCCTTGCATGGCATCATCATCCTTACATGTCACCACTCTCTTCATCCTTGCGTGACAACACTATTCTTGCAGTGCAGCATTAGCCTAATGGTTAAAGCATCTGCTTGTCACACTGAAGACCTGGGTTCAGTTTCAGTGGCTACAATGTGTGAATCCGATTTCTAGTGTCCCCCGCCATCACACTGCTGGAATATTGCTAAGGGACCATTCATAATTTATGGCTAGGAGGGGTGATGATGATTTGGCAAGATTACAGAATACCGGATACCTATCCGCCATTTTTATTTTGATTGCGCATTTATTTTTTGCGCACTTCCGTTTTGTTTCCTTAGCAACGGCACGCCATGAATGAAGGCTGTGTTGAAGCAGCGTTCAATATAAAATATTAAATAATAAACAATATTAAAGCTTAAAAAAGGTAAGATAATGGGGGTACCTACCTTACAGCTGGAAATCATCCAAACTGTCGTTTTGATTATCCTGGTTGTAACGATTGGCCGGTTTTAATGGCATCCTAACAAGTTCACTGTCCTTTGAATGAGGGTTGTAGATTCTCACAACAAGATCGATAAAAGTTTCAAATTTTTCTTCAACACACAAATATTTCCTTCTGGTGCAAAATTCTTCAAAGTATGTTGAATATAGGCTTTTTTTGGTGCCAGACCTGGGTAGGGAGCGTTTTAATGCACCCCAAGTTGACTCGATGGTGTTTGTATGTGCCCCGGTCTCGGGGTCCTTGAAATTTATGGAATGATTTACTTTTAGGTGAGTAAAGTCTTCCTCTTTCAGACAGTCATATGCTTTCTAGCAATCACTAATAATAGTGGTTCCGGGTTTCATGAATTTTAATATCAGTGGAATCAATGCCTCCAAAGACCCACTGTCCCTCTACCCTCTTTCCCCTATTAAATTTCCTCTTTCCAAATTTTGACTCATCTATTTCTACTACATGTCCCACACCACCTATCTGTTCACTGTCCTCATCAACAATGCAAACACATACTTCCCTGCAAAAGTTGTACCAGTCCACAGATGTACTCCCAGACACAATGTCTAATTCTCTACGCACAAAATCTTGTGGCAATTTATACACCCAACAGTATGTCAACAAAAGTAGTGTTCCCAATTCTAATTTACTGTTTTCAAAGAAAGAATCGTGCCTTATAGAAAATTTCCTACCACAAGTTTTCCTTGAACATTTCCAGCATCTGCCATCTTTCCCGTAAGATTTGTCCATGCACAAATAATATTTTCCAACACCACACTTACTACAAATTTTGCCTTCCCAGTTACCAAAAAGTCCCTTTCTTCTTAAAAAACGTATTAGTTCCTCGTGATTTCTTGCTATTTCATAGACATCCCAAATTTTCATTTTGTGTCTGACATAACGCTTCGTCCAGAGTGAGCGAACTTTCCATATTAGGAACGTGTTATTGTATTACGTCATTAGAAATCAACCAATCAAAAACACTTACCATCAGAGTGTTCCCCACGCTGTAGAGTTCCTTTTCCCAACATGCATTTGAATAAAATTTCCATACACGATTACTTTTTACTCTGTTTACATCAGTGAACGCTGTTAAAATCCCCAGTGTAGGTTTCCTAAACCGGAAGTAAGGTGAGGAATTCGATTTTAACCTTATTTTTACCTTAAATTTGTATTTTTATTGGATCGCTTCACAGGCTCAAGGCTCTCTGTTTCTTCTATATATAGGAGCCTCACGCGCACATTAGAATGTATATAATTAGATATCCGGTATTCTGTAAGTGTACCGATGATTTTAACGGGGGTCACCCATTTTGTTCTGGGGAGCTAGGGGTCATCAATTTTGTACATGAAAGTATGTTTAAAATTATGCTTAGAAATTAGGGGAGCTGTCATTGATTTTGTACATGGCACATGGGGTCACTTATTTTGTACATAAATTTTAGGGGTCATGTTTAAAATTATGCTTAGAAATTATGGGAAGGGGAGGGGTCATTGATTTTGTACATGGCATGCAGGGGTCACTTATTTTGTACATAAATTTTAGGGGTGTCATTCACATTGTACATGCTTCTCCATAAAAGTCATCATCATCCCTCCTAGCCTTAAATTATGAACGGTCCCTAAAAGCGGTGTAAAACCATACTCACTCACTCACTCGCTATCCTTGCAGTGCAGCATTAGCCTAATGATTAAAGCATCTGCTTGTCACACTGAAGACCCGGGCTCAATTTCCCACATGGCTACAATGTGTGAAGCCCGCCGTGATATTGCTGGAATATTGCTAAAAGCGGTGTAAAACCATACTCACTCACTCACTCACACTTCCTTGGCGTACAGATCTGTATTTGTATGAAAGCAGTACCCTAGCATTGCAGCACTCTCCTTTATCCTCCACAAACATAGTCATAACAGGGCCTTACACACAACTTATCTAGTATCTGATTTGTCTTTAGGTGCCAGTGCCTCCAGCTAAGCCCAAGACCAGAACAGAGAAAGTTGATGAGGTGCTTGAGAACCTGCGGACTCGAACCACTGTGGATGAAGCCAGTCTGGTGGATGTGCTGGGCCACCAGAAGCAATACAGGAAGCAGTTCCCTGAAGCCCAGTCTCTCCTTCACCAGGTAACATTGCTCACAGGGAAGGGTAACCTATAACATTATTTAATGTCTTTTGCTATCAAAGCCTTCTGCTCTATTGGGAGACAAGGGGCGGTGGGGTAGGCTAGTGGTTAAAGCGTTGGCTCGTCACGCCGAAGACCTGGGTTCGAATCCCCACATGGGTACAATGTGTGAAGCCCATTTCTGGTGTCCCCCGCCGTGATGTTGCTGGAATATTGCTAAAAGCGGCGTAAAACCAAACTCAGTCAGTCAGTCAGTATTGGGAGACAATGCTCCCCAGGCAGGGTAACAAGTACCATCACTTAATGTCTTTTGGTATTGAAGCCTTCTGCTTTCACTCATCTGCCAAACAAATTTATCAGGAGTAATGATTTCCAATTGTTTTTAAAGAGTTCTTCATTCATTCATGATCAGGAATAATAATACAATGTTTATTTTATGTTTAGCTGGTGCAAAATTTCATATCTTTAAAGGATGACAAGTATGTAAGGAACATAAATTTCTTAGAGTCTTTAAGATATATTCATTTATGACTTGGAACGAGCTTGTAGTGCTTATGAAATGTAACAGACAAAACCAACCTTGTGAAATATATTGTTTATGAAAACAAGTGTTCCAGCTTTGTTTGTGTTCGATTATGAGAAAACATGATCGAATGCTTGGTCATATAGTCACTGCGACCAATCTTCGATTTTTTTAATTAATCGGACCACCACTATTTGACACCTCTGAATAACTCCAAATAGAGTATTTTAGTAACTATTCTAGAGTATAAGGTTATTTGAACTACTGAAATATTGTTGCGATATATTAAAACATTTTGCACATGTAGATCTCATGATACCTATACCTTGATGAATCCAGTGACGAACAACTCGCATTACTAAGGGTAATTCAGGGAGTTTATGAATATTGTCCAGAATAGACACCATAGTGTTGTTTAATGGGAGTCACTGACTGATTGTGTATGTTATAGATCCAGCGTCGCTACAACGTGGTCCGTGTGAGCTCCATGAAGGAGGCCCGGGAGGCCAGGAAGCACCTGCAGGGGGCTGCAGATGAAGTAGGGAAAGCCAACAAACACCTCACCTCCCTCAAGAAGAAGGGGGTCAAGGTGTGCGAGTGACCGCATCTCACCAGTTGTGGCCTGATGTCCCTCCAGTATGTTGATAATACAAACATGTTGCTTTGGAAGTCACTGTGACAGACAAGACATTATTTTCTAACATCGTTGCCTTCAGTTCAGTGGTTGATTTTATGAACATGTCGCGATTGAAGTCTGTTACAAACCTGTGACTGTGACAGACAAGTTAGTTTCTGACACAGAAATTTCTATTCTTCTGGGTTATGTCAATATGCGTGTTGTCACATGTTGTGGTAATCAGATTAGACTGATCATTCATGTATTTGTGGTTGTTTTAGTTTGGAATGTTTTAGATTCTGTTTGAAAGTACAAGAGGTTTTATTGTTATTATTAATACATTCCTGTGGAAAGTTAGTTAATAATCAATTTGATTGATTGTAAATTTGTTAAATTACATAACTCCATCGTAATCAATGTGATGCTGATCTGTGATAACTGATAAGTGAGTTTTATTGTATACACTGCTTGTATTCAAGCTGAACAAATTGTTTTCATGGTTGCCTCTTACAGATAAATACTTTCATACATCATCAGTTTTGTTTATTACGAGGGCCCAAAGACTTTTGGGACTACAAACCTAAACATGGCTCAGTATCATTATTCAAAAAGAGTTTTTATTCGATGGGGATGATGCGTCGCTGTTGCACAATGTTACTCAGTCACTAGGACTGGACTTGAATATTTACTGGCTACAGGAACACAGTTTGAACTGATATCAAACACTATTCACTCACTCATGAAGAAGCTCATCAGCAATAGCCACTTGTGGGGATTTCCAGGGTAGAACAGCCCACGAGCTGGTGGCAAGGGATGACAACTTGGCATGCAGCATTATTTGTACATCAATCAGTTGACTGTTTACTGCTGGCTCAAAATATTTAGTTGCTGCCATTATTGTAGCTTTATTTGGCATGGTGTTGAACAACTAGTTGCTATGTCTTGTGTTAGTTGTAACTTGACGTCTCAAACAGCAGTATTTTATTAACAGCAAGTTCTAGTCTGTAAATGGTCAAGTTTGGACACGACAGTGTGACTGATGCGGTCAACCTCACTCTCAGGGGTATCAGGTGTGTCTCAAATTATGAAGCCTGACCTCTCGATCCTCTTGGAACTAGCATGAGCTTTTGTTGGCTGAACAGTGAACCCCTACAGGAAGTCCTCAGTGTAGAACTTGTACATATTGGCTGGTGGAAGCTTGTTACAATTGTTACTTGCCAGCAGACTAATGGCCTGGATGAATCCTACACTGTCCCCAATACCTGGACACAACTTCTTCACCAATGAAAACTAACACTGATCAGTTTTCTTGATGTTTATTTGAATATCATTATATTTTACAAGAAATGGACTTGATTAATATCAATCAGATGTAGAGATTAGTAGTGTGGCAGAAAGAAGAAATGTCCTACATAAGTTTCATCATACCAATCAATATGGCTGCCAACAGCAGACGGACGCTATTACACAACCGAGGAGACAGATCACAGGTTTCAAAATGGAAGAAGGGGACGAGATGGATTATCTCCCTTTACCGAGATATCGTTCCCACTAACAGCAATGATTCTCAGTAAAAGCTCTCTAATTTCCCATGAAAACTACAGCGACCACAGAAGACATTGCTGGAGGGCCTGGCGTCTCCCCTCTTTCAGTTCAAATGTGTGGCAACCCATTACCCAATGTTGTAAGAATGTTTATGATACAAGTAACTATATTCCACTACAGATATATTAAGTGAGTTAATAAAATATAACCATTGGTCTCACAGAGGAATATGCTACCTGACACTGGCTCTGTGTGTCTTGTCATTGGAAATTTGGACTTAACGAAAATCATGAACATATTCTAACCCAGAAAGAACGTGTTGGGATTAAACCAACATACCTAACGAATCAAAAAGCTTTTCTCACGGTAAGAAAGAAAAATTCAACAGTCCATACAGCTTATACACAATAGGAACTAATTAACAATGTAGAATTTAAATCGACAACATGCAAATCAACATATTTCTTGGCACATCAGCTAAACAACTTCATTAATAGGGCTGATTGATAACAAAAGAGTTGCTTTATTTGTCAAGCGTTGCTTCCTCAGCCCTGAAACAACCACATATGAACATTACTCTGTAAGCTTACACAGTACTACATAACATTGCTCCTTGGGAATAACTCCAAGTACCAATCTATTAAGAAAATACTTTATTGATTAACAGCAGTGATCTTAGATTGAGACTGCAATACGTAAGGGAAATATCCGTCCAGCATCAATACGCCAACTTCTGTGAAATATTCATGGTACGCTGTGGGGGATGATGATGTATACATTGTGAGTGAGAATGTGATGATCCGGCCCAAGTCAGAGCACATATTTATCCAAGACATAGAAAAATAAATTAAACATCATATTTATGCAAAGCATGATACATGAAGATAACGTTTATTCTTTTTTTCCAAAACTAGCATGTACCGTTTGCTGAACATAGCTCTCGTCATCTAATGCCATTGCAGACACTGCAAGACACTTGTTTACATCGTGTGTATATAGAATTATTTCTGTGTCTAAGTTTAAACAGGTTACTATTTCCAATGACAATATGGCTAGTGTTATGTAAGGGTTATTCAGTTGGTATATTTAATAGTGCTCTAGTCATTAACAGTACTTCACAGGCCCAACAAACCACAACCTGCCTTCTCAGTGAATACATACATCCAGTCAGTCATAGCTACTTTCATATTACACTGCATGTATGTATTGCTGGTTGGACTAGGAACTGGTGAGTACAGACCTGTCAAGTATTGACAACGTGATGTAGTTACAATGATGAGACTGTGCGTGAGGATACTATCGACATCTAATATTCCCCTTATAGAGAGTAGCATTTGATATGGAGAATACATAGTGGGTGAGTGAGTGAGTATGGTTTTACGCCGCTTGTAGCAATATTCCAGCAATGTCACGGCAGGGGACACCAGAAATGGGCTTCACACATCGTACCCATGTGGGGAATTGAACCCGGGTCGTCGGCGTGAAGAGCAAACACTTAAACAACCTCACCACCCTACATATATAGTTGGGGCATTGGCTGAAAAACACAAACAGCATGTCCTCTAGTGATTACTTTTAAAAGGAGTCGTGTGAGATGGCCTATTTTCTTTTGGTGTGAAAAATATGAGTTACCCAGGTTTGGATGCTTTCGAGAGCAGCGAATACTGCCATCATGCAGGGGAGGTAACACATACAGGGTCTGAGAACCAAGATTATTTTAAGCTGTATTTCAAATGTCAAACTGTTGTTTAGTAGTTTTACATGATAACCCACAGTCATTAGCTATGTACAAGCTATATCATCTGCTTACTACAAAGTATACAGATCTATATTTACAAATAGAAATTTGCCCAGCATAATTTGATATAACCATAATTTCTTGACAGGTGAGGTGGTTTGTTTCCACTAACAATAAATAGATTGTTTCAAATTCATTCATCAAATTTCTAAATTTCTTTAAAAGCATTATTTCAGGCAGTGATTCACTAACCCATTCAATCTACTGCTGCATTACAGGGGATAGATTCAGACTTGTCTTTGTCTGCTCTGAACACATTTGAAGCAAAATGTCTGTACGTAGGTCACGGCGCTTCACAAGACCTTAGTACTTCTGATGACAAACGTTTCATGCATGTTTGAATGGTTTCATGGCTGTAAGTTGACAGTAAGGAAGTGATAATCCTTTGCAGGAATAACAAATTTCCGATTTAACCATCCCCAAATTAGCCAACTATTACAACTCTCAACAGCTGTGACAGCCAAGCATGGTTGTACACTTGGTTCGGTCCAGGAAAGTCATATTTGGTGGTGGTGGTGCAATTTGTAACCAGAACTGGGCCCTTATTCTCGAAACGTTCGTAGCCCGAAGAATTCTTTACTTTGATCGTAGCCAATGTGTTAAGAATGGGCTTAAGAAGTTCGTAGGACTACGAAGGTTTCGAGAATAGCTAGCCTGGTTCTTGAATATACACCTGTCACTGGAAATCTGGTACCGGAAGTAAGCTGGGGCCTGTCTCACATATCACAAGTTGGCTCGCGCAAAGGGAGCCGGGAACCAGCTTAGTGAAGGAAGTAGCACCTCAAGACTTACATGCCCTATGGAGAATGATGTTGATAAACTGGGCTTCAAACCTATACCTTTTTATATGACAACACTATGGCCCTAGGCTTGCCCATTTTCCTAACCTTATCAGAGCGTCTCCTACTGCAGTGAAAGTGAACACCATTTTGAAGGGCCCTAGAGAAGCAGCTTACATGTCTAAATCTTTCAAATCCAGGAGGATCTTAATCAGGCAAATCTAGGATTTGAACCAAGCAGCAGATCCTTGCACCTAAGGGACATAACTCCTCCAGACGTTATGTCTCACTAAGAGTGTAACTTCCACTAGACTACTCTAAATGGATGAATGGATTTGAAACAATACAAAGTGGTTACTGACAGTATATGACAAGTACAACAGGTTCAGAGATTAAAATGAACACATATAAAAACAAGAAAGAAATATACAGCCAAAAATGTAGAATTTTGCACACAATACAAAATTATTTCTATCATACATTGTTAGATATATACTGTACACATTAATGAAATCGTCTCCATATATACATTATTAAATCAAAAATAAAATATATGTGTAGCACAGGACTGTGGCAGACATAATTTGCTCCAAATATTAACACAACAGATGTTTACACAATGTGCATCACATAGTATAGCTTGGAGTGAAAGCTACATAATATATCTCTCTCTAGTTTGTTATATACATAAATAAGATCTGACAGATATGATATGTTTCAATGTTTCACGTTTCCACACCTTTTCATTTCATCCATCCATCTTTCCTGTAATCTGAAATCTTTGGATACACACACAGTAGGGGCGAAACAAAGAGTCACGATAACAGTTATATCACTATACAGAAAGATTAACCCTAGTCGATAAGTTCAATAATGTACTGAAATTACCCTGCACAGCCAAAAATTACTTCTATACTGAAAACTATGTATCATTTAGTATCGATAGAGCAACTTCCAACTCAATAGTTCAGCGAAATGTGAAATATTTGTCAATCAACTCATTACACTGGACAAACATTCCAGTGATCTGCGATACAATTGTCATAATGAAATTTGATGAATCTGTGAATCGCCCCAACCCTAAAACATAGAAGGACAAATCTTCCAAATTTAACAACAGCACACAATATGCCACTTTAGAAATACTAATTTGTTGCCAAGGGAACATATTTTTGCTGCATATTCAGGGAAAGATGGTATATTTCGTCAAGACTTCACTGTTACACAAGTGGATGTTTGTGTGCTAATAAAACAGTAGCCATTTAATTTCCCAACAGAGTGTTTTCAAAACTTGTATTTAAAAAAATAATGTGGACTGAAATTAACTTGGTGAAACAAACTCAAAATTGAATATTGCCAACAAAATATAACCATACACAAGAAAGGATATAATAGGAAAACTGTAGAAGTAATGGCTGCTGCTGCGTGTAACCATAGCAACAGCTTCCATCACTGTCTGTAACCCTAGTGACAGCTTCCACCACTGTGTAATAAACCAAAAAGTGCGTAACCATAGTACCACCAATGTAACCAGTGACAAGTGGCGCTATGTGTTACCAACTACAATGATCAAGTTGAGGTTTGAAAGCCACTTTGAAACTAGGTGAGTAACCGTAGCAACAGCTTCCAACAATGTGAGTAACTAAAGTGACATTTGACCAGTCAGTTGAAATTGAAACGAAAGAAGATTTTTCCCAAACCCCAGACACATACTAAGAAACAGATGCAGCTATTGGCACAAGGTGGCTAAATACGTCTCATAAATAAACCTATAGATACAGAACGATTCATATGACACAGGTGCGTCGGAGCTGCAGGATTCACATTTACAGCATTAGCGTGGCAAAAAATACACCTGAAAAATCCATTTCAGAATTTCTATCCCTACCATAGTCACTTCGCTTTAACTTTGAACTTGCAACCATGGAGGCTGTTCAGTTGAACCTACTGGCTCGAAGTACTTTGAAGTGCTGTTTGTAACCCTGGCTCTTAGAAACGAGTATTTTAGGTAGGAAATTAATCTGTCCAAACCTTGCCATATGCAATGGAAATCTACACAGTGGATTTAAGTGACGGACCGAGAAAGAGGTATCTCAATATGATAATACTGGAATGCACTACCAATACAAATGGGTGAGAGTTATCCCCCTTACATACATTCACTTAACTCTGGTGTACCATGGACTACGCGTCGTTACATGATCTGCTATACTACGATATCACTGATTCATTGGAATACACATGTGCATGAAATACGTATACTGCTGTTATAATACACTGCAGTCAGGTTAACAATGGAGTTTACTTTGAGGGTACCTATATGTTAGTATGGAATACAACATACACTCTTCCTCTGGAGAAGAGGTGGTGTTAGTAACTTAATTGGCCATATTGTTTCCTTCACAGACAGGAACCTGAGTGTGGTCACACACGGGCTGATGAACACCAGGTTCCCACAGAAGGTTGAGGTTTCGTTCGCTGCCAACAACGTCTTGTGTACACCTCATGCCAGATGTAGAAATATCCAACACAAAAAATTTGCTTTAAACATAAACTCATCACTGGAGCGCAAATACAAGCTGTAGTGGGCTTTGTGTCCAACTGTGATTGTCGAGGATGATCTGATCTGTCAGGTCAAAATGAGGATCTCTTTGTAGTCACGACATCAGGGTCTGATCTACCAGGTCACTTTGAGGATCTCTGTAAGCAGGGCATCAGGATCTGACAGACCAGGTCACTTTGAGGATCTCTCTGTAAGCAGGGCATCAGGATCTGATCTACCAGGTCACTTTGTGGATCTCTCTGTAAGCAGGGCATCAGGATCTGACAGACCAGGTTACTTTGAGGATCTCTCTGTAAGCAGGGCATCAGGATCTCATCTACCAGGTCACTTTGTGGATCTCTCTGTAAGCAGGGCATCAGGATCTGATCTACTAGGTCACTTTGAGGATCTTTCTGTAAGCAGGGCATCAGGATCTGATCTACCAGGTCACTTTGAGGATCTCTCTGTAAGCAGGGCATCAGGATCTGATCTACCAGGTCACTTTGAGGATCTCTCTGTAAGCAGGGCATCAGAATCTGACAGACCAGGTCACTTTGAGGATCTCTCTGTAAGCAGGGCATCAGGATCTCATCTACCAGGTCACTTTGTGGATCTCTCTGTAAGCAGGGCATCAGGATCTGACAGACCAGGTTACTTTGAGGATCTCTCTGTAAACAGGGCATCAGGATCTGATCTACCAGATCTTAACGATGATTCTTTTTATTCATGGCAACAGGATCTGATCCATCAGGTCACCATTACGATCTCTATAAGCATGACATCAGCATCTGATCTATCCCTCCTCTCACAAAGTGCAACAAATGGAATCAATGAAAAAATCTATATTGGAAGATCTCAAGCTCATGTTTGGTCAGCATTCACACCATGGCACAATTCCACATGATCAAGCACAAATACATCTTGTGAATATTAGAAAGGAAACCTTTAGAAACCTCTTTCCATTGCCATAACAGTTCAACAAGTACTGCTCCAACAAAACCTGTAGGAAACCTAATAACGAGCACTCTACCCTTTGAACTGAACTGTTTCCATGGTATTGCGCTTTCTGCTGTTTCAGGGGACACAACTCCTATACAGGGGATATAACTCCTCCTCATCACCAACAAGCTGATGAAGATGAAACCGTGGGCAATACAGAACACAATCCAGGAACCCTCTACAGGATCTCTGGCTATTCTGGAGCGATGACATCGGCTGCTACTAAGTTTAGGAATGGTGTCGGTAGATGCAGACTGTTCATGCAATGTTCAGTTGATGAGCTCAGTCAGTCCAGCATCAAGTCAGTAGTTGGCGTAGTAGTATCATGGAATTGTCTATATACAGAGCAACAACAGTGCAGTAGAAATTGTTACAGTTGCCCATTCAAGTTGGTCCTAGGAAGGTCTGCAAAGGAAATAATAACTTGTAAACATGTGTTTTTAGCATTAGTGAGTGAGTTTAGTTTTACGCCGCACTCAGCAATATAAGCTATGTGTAGACGGTCTGCAAATAATCGAGTTTGGACCAGTCAATCTAGTGATCAACAGGATGAGCATCAATCTGAGCATTGCAGATACGATGACATGTGTGAACCAAGTCAGCGAGCCTGACCACCCGATCCTGTTAGTTGCCTCTTATGACAAGCTTGGGATACTGAAGATCAATTCTAACCCTGATCTTCATGGGTAATTCAGCTAATTACATAACAGAAGAATTACATAATGTCAGAGAATAAAATGTGTCAGAATCACTGGATTATGTGATCCATATTTGATTACAGTATACTATGTTTATAATGAACACACTTCTAACAAACTGATGGATATAACTTTATTTGGGTACTGGTCATTTGAGTATATTTTGTAAAATTCTTACAACGAATACAGTTATACTGAACAAAAATTAGTGGTATCTTTGAGTTTGTTAGTATCATAGTTTACTGAAATCCAATCTGAACAAGATAATCCAGTGATTTACTGTATAAGCATCAACTTACACATTCAGCTCACTATGACATATCTGCAACCAAGTCAGCAAACCTGATCAAACATCTAGCTTCTTACAACAAGCATGGGTTGCCGTTGCTGTTGACCATTTCTAAACCAGAGCCCTGATCCACAAATTATCCGCAGTGCTACAAGCTAATGTAACTATGTAAGTTATTGTTGGCGAATGAATATTGTAGTGCTACAAGCACTTTGTGGATCGGTCCCAGATCAGCAAGGGGCTCCAAGCAATGGATTTGCCTCTTTATAATTAACACCCTGCAGATAATCCAGTGGTTCACTGCATGAGCATCGATCTATGCATTCAGCATACTATGACAAGCTGCAGTGAATTAGTGAGTGAGTGAGTGAGTGAGCTGGGTAAACACCGCTTTTAGCAATATTCCAGTAATATCAAGCCAGGGGACACCAAAAAATGGGCTTCACACATTGTGCCCATGTGGGGAATTGACCCCGGGTCTTCAGCGTGATGAGCGTATGCTTTAACCACTAGGCTACCCCACCACCCCTGACATGTGGGGTAAGCAAGTCAGCAAACCTGATCAAACCTGTTAGCCTCTTACAACAAGCATTAGTTGCTGAACCATTTCTAACCTCTAATCTCAATCTCCATGGGGAGGAGCCCCATGAATGCAATGAATTTGCCTCTTTAGATTTAACACTGATATATATGTGCTCTCACCTTTTGACTTTGTCCACTGCCCGTCTAATGTCCATTTCACTCAAAGACGGTGTCCCTAAACGATTGAGTATCCCAGAGATGAGGTCATCTGCCAGCCCTGGACATGACTTCTCAGCCAGATCAAATGCATTCTGCAACTCATCAATGGCCTCCGTTTTCTGGACGGGACGTCCAAGACGCCTGTACTCATCACGGTAGTCGTCTTTCAGCTGTGAGGGCCAGATCAGGAATTAATGGAATGCACAGGTAAAAGTTAACATGGTAAGAGAGAAGTTGATGAAAAACGAAGGATCAATTTCATTATGGCCTCATACTAGTGGTGGTCCGATTAATTGAAATAATCGAAGATTGGTCGCAGTGACTAAACGACCAAGCAATCGATCATGTTTTCTCATAATCGAACACAAACAATTCTGGAACACTTGTTTGCATTAACATTATTTTTCACAAGGTTGGTTTTGTCTGTTACATTTCATGACCACTACAAGCTCGTTCCAAGTCATGATTGAATTTATCTTCAAGACTCCAAGAAATTAATGTTCCTAACCTACTAGTCATCCTTTAAAGATGTGAAATTTGCCAATGCCTTTTGTGCAATTTGCAAAAACACCAAAGAACTACAGGGTTTTTTCTTTATTTTATTTGTCCATTAACAAACATAATCAGGAAAATTTCATAAATGACGCTAACCAATTATTTTCGATGATTGATCGGTTGTTATGAACCAATCATTAATTATGAGATTTGACCAATTCCCAGCACTACCTCATACGATGTGAACAGTCATTTTGTCCAGCCAATACGAACCTTGTCAATATTGATTTAAGTTTCATAATATGCTTAGCCGACAATGCGGAGGTTGGTTTGTATGTTGTTTAGCGTTATACTCAGCAATATTCCAGCTATATGGCGTCAGTTTGTAAATAATCAAGTCTGGACCAGACAATCAGTTTAGGATACGATGACGTGTCAACCAAGTCAGCGAGCCTGACCACCTGATGCTGTTAGCCGTCCCTTACGACAGACAATTCTAACTCGAATCTTCACAGGTCGAACAGTGAGGTGAAGCCAACTCACCTGAGAGAGTGTGGGGTGTATCGCACATGTGAGAGTAGCTGACGGTGAAGGTCGGATGTCATTTTCCTTCTGCCGGGGTGGCTGGGGTGCATGCTGCTTGGCTTGCTGTAAGTTAAGAGCATTGTTTTGTTAGGATCACTGACAACAGACCTCATTAGATACTCATCTCTTACAGAAGGTAATAGCATGTCGGCAACATCTTTTGTCGCTTTTATGGAAGTGGATGTATGGATCATATAAGCTGAAAATAAACATTTTTTACACATTTGACACCACACTGACATTTGTAGAGCTATATTTACACAGAAAGCTCTCATATTCAAATAAATGAGTACTTGCAAAATTAAAGAAAAATCTTGAAGTTAAAGAAAAAGAAAAGACTGGAAATATTACCTTCTTTCCAGTCACATATAAGTGTTGCATAATATGTATTGCCTTGCCTTTCACCATTAACTATCAGACAGTATATGATATATATATATTAACAGAAATATGCAGTCTTCAGCAGTATCTTACCAAAGTCCTCTTCAAGTAGAAAACATCCCATTACATAATCACATTATATTTTTACCTTATATTAATGTATTCTCATCAAATCTTCTTATTTACCAATGTAATCTTCAAATGTTCAAGTTTTTCTTTTATCCATCCCAACTTGACACACAATCAGCCCATCTTGACATACACCCAGCCCATCTTGACACACACTCAACCCATCTTGACACACACTCAGTCCATCTTGACACACACCCAGCCCATCACCCAGTTGACACACACCCAGCCCATCTTGACACACACCCAGCCCATCTTGACACACACCCAGCCCATCTTGACATACACCCAGCCCATCTTGACATACACTCATCCCATCTTGACACACACCCAGCCCATCTTGACGTACACTCATCCCATCTTGACATACACCCAGCCCATCTTGACAGACTCAGCCCATCTTGTCATAGACCCAGCCCATCTTGATGTACACTCAGCCCATCTTGACGCACACATCCAGCCAATATTGACATACACCCAGCCCATCTTGACGTACACTCAGCCCATCTTGACATACACCCAGCTCATCTTGACGTACACCCGGCCAATCTTGACATACACCCGGTCCATCTTGACGTACACCCAGCCCATCTTGACATACACCCAGCCCATCTTGACGTACACCCGGTCCATCTTGACGTACACCCAGCCCATCTTGACATACACCCGGCCCATCTTGACATACACCCGGTCCATCTTGACTTACACCCGGCCCATCTTGACGTACACCCAGCCCATCTTGATGTACACCCAGCCCATCTTGACGTACACCCAGCCCATCTTGACGTACACCCGGCCCATCTTGATATACACCCAGCCCTTCTTGACATACACCCAGCCCATCTTGACGTACATCCAGCCCATCTTGACGTACACCCAGCTCATTTCGACAGACTCAGCCCATCTTGACATACACAAAGCCCATCTTGACCCACACCCAGCCCATCTTGACATAGACCCAGCCCTTCTTGACATAGACCCAGCCCATCTTGACATACACCTGGCCCATCTTGACGTACACCCAGCCCATCTTGACATACACCCAGCCCAGCCCATCTTGACGTACACCCAGCCCATCTTGACTTACACCCAACCCATCTTGATGTACACCCAGCCCATCTTGACATAGACCCAGCCCATCTTGACATGGACCCATCCCATATTGACATTCACTCATCCCATATTGACATAGACCAATCCCATCTTGACATACACTCATCCCATCTTGACATAGACCAATCCCATCTTGACATAGACCAATCCCATCTTGACATACACCCATCCAAACCTAAAGCTATCTAGATACACACATATGGCTGGTGCTTTCTTCACATCACCAATGGCATATCCTGACAAATGCACGCTCTAGCTTTCTACACACCCACTTCACATCCTGTTACAGGTGCTTTTTCCAGATTCCACACACCCACTTCACACCCGGACAGAGCATCACCTTAAACTGCGGGACAGTTTCAGGAAGAGCATCATTTGGGTCACATTTCTATAGAAGTATATATTCCCAACACCCTCTATAAGAAATACCACAAAAGAGTCACAAACTGACCACACTAAAATACAAGGTCATCAACATAGTTGATTCAGAATTCATCTCAGCATTGTATGAACCGCAGCTGAACTACTGAATTAAAAAAGAATGATCTAGCACTCCCTCCACAACTAAAGTTCACATGTACTTTTACAAACTTCTCACACCAATGACAATTGCATTAGCTCACTGACAAAGATTTTCAAAGACTACTTCCATGAACTGACTTCACCTCAATAGAGAAGCTTAATGTTACCACACCCAACCCAAACTAAATGCATTCAGCTTCATTGATCGCCTGTCAAGTCTGTGAACACAATGAATGAACACGAGGACCTGTGATGGTCTGTGTGTTGTGTTGTGTGGGTATATGGGTTTAGTATGTTAAGCAGCTGACTGAGAAGTATACAGGTTGTAAGGTTGTTAGTGCAAGGAGTACATGTTTTTCGGAAGCATAGATGTACGTTGGACAACAGACGGAATGTAGAAATAGAACTAGCTGACTGTCTGCCTGCCCATGTTGGACAATAAGGCTGACTGAAATACCACTGTTTTACAGACCAACCTTGCAATTCACTTATAATACAGATTTTTATTAAAATTCACCAAAATTATGTTTTGAATAATAGCGACCAATCTTTGTAAAGGGTTAAAAAGGAATAATTCTATCAAGAACATAACGCTATAGTTAGCTGACGAACAAGCTTTGAACAGCGGTGAGATGAAATAAGTCTGTAAAGCTATCTTTTCAGTGCAAGACTGAAATCCTATATGCTGTCGATTAGTGACCCTTGAAAGATATTCTGCAAGACATGTTACACAAAAACAGCAGCTAGAGAATGATCGTGGTAATAGTCTTAAATTGTGCGAAACATTTCACAGGGAAGATAGAAAACTGTGAGATTGTTGATTGTGATAGGGTCTTAGCTTTTGTTTAAACACAGTTGTGTAACTTTCTCTCTGTTCATTTGTGTAAGATATGATGAACAGACACCGGTTTTGCTAGTATAAAATGGTCTACAAGGGAGGTCACTCTTACCTGACCCATAACACTGATCCACAAAATGATATTATTATATACCACTACTCTAAAGCACATATCAATGGCTGATGTATAACTGCCAAGATTTCTATGTATACAAATTTTCAAAGACGTGTAGAAGAACCAGTATGAAATCATGTAGTTGTGTAGGGTTTGTGAATACACAGCCGCCAACTTTCCTGAAACTACAAATAGTACTTTGTTACGATCTTGTGATCAGCCATCACTGCCCAACAATATGACGTGATTCCGAAACTCAGATGATAATTTTACACTTATTGTCTATTTAGGCTACAGAAACTGTCCATAAGACAAATGGAGCTGTTTAGATAATAGAATTGATAGATGCAACACCATAAATAGCTTTAATATCCGTTGATAAATGCGTGCATGAGAGGCTAAACAAAGACATCACTTTACCAATGTCGTAAAATTTCAGCTTTTGGTTACTGGACCTATAAATTGTCATAATATTCATATGAATTTTAAAATAATAACCTATCATTCTTATGAAATTAAAAATATGTCCTGTTTTCATATTTCAAGTCGTAACAAATACGAAATGTTGGGAACAGTTGGCAGCGATATGAGTGTACAAGGGGTGAGAGCATGCAGTGCTGCAACCAGGCAGACAGTGGACGTCCCAGCGCCAACATTCTGGATGTACAACGATGCAAGCGGGAACCTGATGGCGAGGACCAGTTGGTTGGCTAGAGCAGGATACATGTACATGCGGACAAAAAAACAACTTACACTTGAATACCCATGAGGTGGATGGACATACTGAGGTGGCTGCCGCGGGGTAGCCCGGGGATTGGATTGGCTATTGTTTGGAATATCGTATTGAGATTTAGGCCTCATGTCGTAACGCTGAAGGCAAATTGAACAGTTGTTAGCCAGGAAAATGGACGCCACAGCTATCATTTAATGCCGATCACGATATTCTCTAGAAATTTCACCAAACAAGTTTCTGTTACAATGAAAATGAATTTATTTGTTGAGGAATTGATAAGTTTTGCACACTTTATCTAAAAAAAGGCAAAAGATGAAATTCCAAAGGGTCTTTCATTAATTTATTTGATGAGTTTTTGAACACTTTATCCAACAGAATGGTAATAGTTGGAGCTATCCAACAGGAGTTATCTCCCCTGTGACTTACTTCCTGTTGAGGGGGTGTGTTATATTTGGGTGGTGAGACGGGCTGAGCAATGTCCGACCGACTACGGAGATGTTTAGAGCCTGGGGACTGGAAGAAGATAAACCGGTCAAAATGCGAAAAAATACCACAACCACAATGAACTCCCCATATACAGAGCTAACGGTGAGACACAGTACTGCGAGGTTACTGCTCTACTATGATGTGATTGGTTAATGACAATAGTGTTACATGGGCTTACACAAAGCTACAACATTCAACAAGTCTACGACATCGTACAGGTCATGCCCTACAATATAAGAAAACACATATTGCATAAAAAAAGAAAAATTAAGTAGAAAGTAATAAATAACTTAACCAAGACAGAATGAGAGAAAATTTACATAGAAACTAATTCTTGGATAATTGTGACTTTAACAATATGGATTTACAATGAATTTACTGGGGGAAGGTGACTGAATCTTGTGATACAAAGAAACTCCCGTGCAGATATTGGCAGGGTCAATTCTTCACAAAGCAAGCAACCATGTAGCTATCTACTGCAACTAGACACAGGTGGGAGCTTGTACAACATGACTAGCTTGTCTTGACAACATGTTGAACAACACTGGACATGCTGATGATAACATAGTAACTACTGTACCATGGATGATATTGTGTATGTAGATGGTAACAAGGATTATCTTGTACATTGTATAAAAATGGGTATGCAGATTGTAACAATGATTATCCTGTACATTGTATAACAATGGGTATGTAGATTGTAACAATGATTATCTTGTACATTGTATAAAAATGGGTATGCAGATGGTAACAATGATTATCTTGTACACTGTATAACAATGGGTATGTAGATGGTAACAATGATTATCTTGTACACTGTATAACAATGGGTATGTAAATTGTAACAATGATTATCTTGTACATTGTATAACAATGGGTATGTAGATTGTAACAATGATTATCTTGTACATTGTATAACAATGGGTATGTAGATTGTAACAATGATTATCTTGTACACTGTATAACAATGGGTATGTAGATGGTAACAATGATTATCTTGTACATTGTATAACAATGGGTATGTAGATGGTAACAATGATTATCTTGTACACTGTATAACAATGGGTATGTAGATGGTAACAATGATTATCTTGTACATTGTATAACACTGGGTATGTAGATTGTAACAATGATTATCTTGTACATTGTATAACAATGGGTATGTAGATTGTAACAATGATTATCTTGTACATTGTATAACACTGACTGACTGACTGAGTTTGGTTTTACGCCGCTTTTAGCAATATTCCAGCAACATCACGGCGGGGGACACCAGAAATGGGCTTCACACATTGTACCCATGTGGGGATTCGAACCCGGGTCTTCGGCGTGACGAGCCAACGCTTTAACCATTAGGCTACCCCACCGCCCACATTGTATAACAATGGGTATGTAGATGGTAACAATGATTATCTTGTACATTGTATAACAATGGGTATGTAGATTGTAACAATGATTATCTTGTACAATGTATAACACTGGGTATGTAGATGATATTATTGATTAACCTGTACATTGTATAACATTTGGTATGTAGATGGTAACAATGATTATCTTGTACATTGTATAACAATGGGTATGTAGATTGTAACAATGATTATCTTGTACAATGTATAACAATGGGTATGTAGATGATAGCATGCATTATACTTTGCAAAGTAACAATGGGTATGTGGTTGGTAACACTGATTATCCTGTACAATGTATAACACTGAGGATTATGATATTGATCATACTTCACTATGTGTTAATGTGGGTATGTAGATGGGTAACACTGATTATAGATGCTAATATATCTACAAATGACACAATGTTAAAATACTTGATAACCCTGATGTCAGTGATGAAGAACAAGATGAAGAATTAGGCAATGGTTAAAACAGATGGAAACTCACCCAAAGAAAACCAGTCGACAGCAAACAAAATGTGAAATATTGCAAACAAGACACAAATAAAATTAAGAGACAGCACTCATAAAGTCTCTTTCGCAATGATTAAAAACCTGCCTCATTTTAAAAGGAGACTGCTACAAACCAATTGCATTTTGCCTGTAATTTGTGTGGCTATTTCTATCTCACATTCCATAGTTTGTTTGCCCTCTGTCAGTTTTTTTGGGAAAGCTGAAGATGGTTATGACAAAAAGATAGCACTTGTAGGATTAAATATCATAACTTTTCTACACTTTAGTAATGTCACCCAAATTCTATAGACTGGGTGCTTTTTCATTTTTTTAAAAAAATGACTGACTGACTGACTGACTGAGTTTGGTTTTACGCGCTTTTAGCAATATTCCAGCAACATCACGGCGGGGGACACCAGAAATGGGCTTCACACATTGTACCCATGTGGGGATTCGAACCCGTGTCTTCGGCGTGGCGAGCCAACGCTTTAACCACTAGGCTACCCCACCACCCCTAAAAAAATGATGACTGTCCCATAAACATGGCAGCCTGAATTGAGGAGGATTCCAGACAGCATTCCTGCAACGGTTTTCCAGACACTACATTCCTCCATCACTGTGAATACATACTGCCAGATATTATGTACTTGCTTTCTTAACTAACAAATCAAATGAATGCCTGCTTCAAGGAAGAGGGAAACTAGCAAACATCCTGACCAATGAGCACTCATGTTACATAGGTAAGAATACAAAAAAGGTCGGAAGAGATGTAGGTTCCGAAAGAAGTTGGCACAGGTATTTCTGCAAATGCAGTGAGTGACCTCAAGACTGGTAGTTTGATTTATCCATGATAATTAGAATAATATCAGAGCACACTTTGTAATATTATTTACTTTATCAAAAAGGCGAATGTTGGATACTCAACAATAGGGAGTGAGTGAGTTTGGTTTTATGGCGCTTTTAACAGTATTCCAGCAACATCACAGCGGGGGACACCCAAAATAGGCTTCACACATTGAACCCATGTGGGGAATCGAACCTGGGTCTATGGCGTGCCGAGCGAATGATTTAACCACTTGGCTACCCCACAGCCCTTTTGACAATAGGCACAAGTGACCCCTATATTGAGTGTTATAGGTATGTATTCAGTGACAGAGGAGCGTAGTGTACACAAACCCGTGAAGTTGCATTCCAGAAGAAGGTTCCATAAGTGATATATTGTCATTAACACCTGGAACCATCTCACTTCATCCATGAAAGCATGATGCTGTACAACAACATGGTGACTCAAAAATAAGTGGGTAACAGTTTCAGTGATTAAGGAGAAGAAGTATTAAGGTAAAATCATAAATCATTTCACATTGCAAGGAAGGAAGCGTTGGTAAAGGCATAGTGTAAACAAGCTTTTATTGCAATCTTTAATTTAAAAAAAGTTTACTTCAATCAAGCAATGACTTAAAAGATGCAGTGAAAAGTTTAGCAAAAAGGCTTGAAAAGCAAATGTAAGCTGGCAATTTGAAAACATTGCTATGCATTATAACATTATCTGTGAAACACAATTGAACACAAATGTCAACACAAACAGATGCAAAATATTGGGCCACAGTGTGGCAAGGGTAAAATTTGGTTAACTTACGAAATCATTTTGGGACTCTGTCAAAACAGGGGCAGACTCACTTCGACCATGATTAACTTGACCAGCACTGACATGCTAGAAGAGAGCAGCAAGATATGTCAACACTAGTTCATGCCCTGGGGGGGGGGGTGTCAATGGGTGGGGTGGAGGAAACAGGAACAGAAAAAGAGAAAACACACACAGGGCACAATGGGAGGGCAATAAGACACATATTGATTTTGTTAGATTTAGAAGAAAAACAAATTCAATCACCACATTTACTAACTTAAATGATCAAAACTTCAAATCATGAAATGAAAACGATTAATCCCCCAAATAATACAGCAAAACGTGAGCGAGCTGACTTTAATGCTCCAACAAAACATGATTCCAGTTATTAGGTCACAGCTGGTCAGCTCCTGTGGGATGATAAACCATGAATATTGTGCTGACACACAGGCTGGATTGAAGCATTCACATTAATATAACCAAATTTCCTGTTGAATTAGTTAAAATTACTACTAACAGGCACATTACGGTTTTTATAGCATCTGTATTGCTTGTGACAACATCTCAGTTGAAACCTTCAACTGAGACTCATTCCACGAGATTTCAGTGCTAAGGCAATTGTATCTCATGTATTAAACACAGACTAAGACAGCTGTGGAACCAAGGCAGCTTTGAAGAACAGGAGCCTGTGTCAAGACATTCTTTGCTTTCATGTCCGACCTTGCTGTCCAGTACCATGGTCTCTAACCACATGGGATCTTAGCACTGAGATCATGGTAACTCCCACGCTTGAACATAGACATGGGGGAGTCATATGCTCAGATGGCCTTGAGAGACAGATCTTAGCACTGAGATCATGGTAACTCCCATGCTTTAACATAGACATGGGGGAGTCATATGCTCAGATGGCCTTGAGAGACAGATCTTAGCACTGAGATCATGGTAACTCCCATGCTTTAACATAGACATGGGGGAGTCATATGCTAAGATGGCCTTGAGAGACAGATCTTAGCACTGAGATCATGGTAACTCCCATGCTTTAACATAGACATGGGGGAGTCATATGCTCAGATGGCCTTGAGAGACAGATCTTAGCACTGAGATCATGGTAACTCCCATGCTTTAACATAGACATGGGGGAGTCATATGCTCAGATGGCCTTGAGAGACAGATCTTAGCACTGAGATCATGGTAACTCCCATGCTTTAACATAGACATGGGGGAGTCATATGCTAAGATGGCCTTGAGAGACAGATCTTAGTACTGAGATCATGGTAACTCCCATGCTTTAACATAGACATGGGGGAGTCATATGCTCAGATGGCCTTGAGAGACAGATCTTAGCACTGAGATCATGGTAACTCCCATGCTTTAACATAGACATGGGGGAGTCATATGCTAAGATGGCCTTGAGAGACAGATCTTAGCACTGAGATCATGGTAACTCCCATGCTTTAACATAGACATGGGGGAGTCATGTGCTAAGATGGCTTTGGGAGACAGATCTTAGCACTGAGATCATGGTAACCCCCATGCTTTAACATAGACATGGGGGAGTCATATGCTCAGATGGCCTTGAGAGACAGATCTTAGCACTGAGATCATGGTAACTCCCATGCTTTAACATAGACATGGGGGAGTCATATGCTCAGATGGCCTTGAGAGACAGATCTTAGCACTGAGATCATGGTAACTCCCATGCTTTAACATAGACATGGGGGAGTCATATGCTCAGATGGCCTTGAGAGACAGATCTTAGCACTGAGATCATGGTAACTCCCATGCTTTAACATAGACATGGGGGAGTCATATGCTAAGATGGCCTTGAGAGACAGATCTTAGCACTGAGATCATGGTAACTCCATGCTTTAACATAGACATGGGGGAGTCATATGCTCAGATGGCCTTGAGAGACAGATCTTAGCACTGAGATCATGGTAACTCCCATGCTTTAGCATAGACATGGGGGAGTCGTGTGCTAAGATGGCTTTGGGAGACAGATCTTAGCACTGAGATCATGGTATCTCCCATGCTTTAGCATAGACATGGGGAGTCATATGCTCCAGATGGCCTTGAGAGACAGATCTTAGCACTAAGATCATGGTAACTCCAGCCATTTTAGCATAGACATGGGGAGTCATATGCTCAGATGGCCTTGAGAGACAGATCTTAGCACTGAGATCATGGTAACTCCCATGCTTTAACATAGACATGGGGGAGTCATATGCTAAGATGGCTTTGGGAGACAGATCTTAGCACTGAGATCATGGTAACTCCCATGCTTTAACATAGACATGGCCTTGAGGAGATCTTAGCACTGAGTCATGGTGCTAAGATGGCCTTGAGAGACAGATCTTAGCACTGAGATCATGGTAACTCCCATGCTTTAACATAGACATGGGGGAGTCATATGCTCAGATGGCCTTGAGAGACAGATCTTAGCACTGAGATCATGGTAACTCCCATGCTTTAACATAGACATGGGGGAGTCGTGTGCTAAGATGGCTTTGGGAGACAGATCTTAGCACTAAGATCAACGTATCTCCCACGCGTTAACGTGTACCTTTGTGCTGAGACAACTTTGAGATACAGAGCAACAAAATCTTACATGGCACTTTCATAACTGTATTAATTAGTTTTCATAACAGTGCATTGTTATGTTTAAACATAAATTTCAATTTGTGCAATTATGCCCTCTCATTATGCTGGTTAGGGGCTGAAGGGAGCAACAGAAGGTTAATCAAAAAGAAAAAATAATGATTAAACAAGGAAAACAAATATATAAGAACAATCACAAATCAATCAAAGAAAAGTATGAAAGGACTGAATTCATGCACATGCCTTTGTGTGATACTTTAAAACAAATTCTTTTGAAGACTCATGCCATTTGATAAAAATTATATTTCTAATGAAAACAAAATTATCTTAATAAAATGAAAGAAACAAACAATTCAAACAAAAGAATATATACCAAACAAAAAGAAAAGGATCAAGGATATTTTGGAGGATATTTTTAGTCTTCATAACAAGAAAAATACTCCCCAAAATATTCAGGATACCTAATTATATTTGTTGAGTATAATATACGAAGTCTATATGGAGTAGGTTAGATAATGAGTTAGTTGGCATCTATTTACTACAAACAATATATAGCACTACCCTGAAGTAAAAGTATGTAATATACACATTACAAAATGTCTAACCATTAAAACATCAAGTATGGTTGTCAATATTGTTAGGTGCATTATATAAAATTCTGATGTACTTTCTACAGGTGTTAGTGAAATATAACTGCCTGCTGAATATTTTCACCAGAACACATGTAACTGTAAGCAGCTATCTAAATAATAATAATAATAATAATAATAATAATAGGCCATTTATATAGCACCTTTCCACGTCACAGGGATATGCTCAAAGCGCTTCCTAAAATCAAGTTAAAACTATATACAGCTGGCAGGTACGGATGATTGGAAGTCACTTGTAGCGGAGAAATAGATGAGTCTTTAAATGCATAAAAGTTACATCTCAGGGGGTTGAATGTAAAAGTACATCAAGAATTTTATACTAACCTTTTTGGCCACAACAAATTATTTGGGTGTTCTAATATATTTTTCTTTTAAATATTTCTTGTTCACAGTGAATTTTGTTCAAAATTTAGCTAATAGTAATCCCATTATCCCTTGTAGAAAAAGCATGAAAATACTGACAAAAGAAAGTGGGCCCTGACAAAGAACAAACTGTTCATCTGTTGTGGCCATGTCTCATTGTAAGTGTGGATCGTGCATAATTACAGATCAGTGCAGGCGATGTGAAACTACAGATGCAGTGCATGTGATGGTGATGGAAGTCACTGAATCTGTTGTGCAATATTCTAAACCGATGGATGTTGTGATGGATGACTGATGAAACAGATGATCATTCACCAAACAGAATGTGTTATTTTACAGCCAAACCCATTTTCCCCTTCATAAAATGAAATACAGTGCGACCACATAGAGGCATTTAGAGTGAGTGAGTATGGTTTTTTGCCGCTTTTAGCAATATTCCAGCAATATCACTGTGGGTGACACCAGAAATGGGCTTCACACATTGTACCCATGTGGGGAATGGAACCCGGGTCTTCGGTGAGATGAGCGAATGCTATAACCACTAGGCTACCCCACCGCCCCTGCACACAGCAGCACGGGATAGAATAGGCGACAGACACCAGTAATGCAGCACAGTCTATGTTCTTTAAACCTCAATCAGCAATATTCCAGCTGGGGACGGCATCATGTAAATACTCGAGTCTGGACCAGACAATACAATGATTGATATCATGAGCAATGAGGAATTTCAAGCAACCAGAATGATGTGGTTGGTTTGCTGTTTAACGCTGTACTCGAAATATTCCAGCTATATGGCGGCAGTCGAGTCTGGACCAGACAATCCAGTGATCAACAGGATGAGCATCGATCTACGCAATTGGGAACCGATGACATGTCTCAACCAAGTCAGTGAGTCTGATCACCGGATCCCGTGTTGCCTCTTACAACAAGCATGGGTTACAGAAGACCAATTCTAACCTGGATCTTCACGGATTAGCAACCAGAATATAACCCAGATCCATTATGTCACTGCTTATGACAAGCATGAATGCTGGGACATTTTTCTAATCCAGAATCCCTCATGAGGTGCATACCAGCTATCACTGCTGGTATGGATTTCACAATTTGTCCTCTTGTAAGGTGAACATCAGTCTATCCAGCCAAACCAATGGATGATAGTGTGAACACCAATCCAAACCAGTGCAGTGAGTATAGATGGATGCCGTTATCAGCAATACTGAAGCAACATGGGCTTTACACGCTGTACCCATGCGAGGAATCCAAACCAGATTTCATCGTGAAAGGAAAGGTCATTCCAGAAAAAGCCAGGAATTGCCATCATATAGATTACCAATGTTGGGGATCAAACTTTTGTTAGAAGTGGGAACACTAACTACTCTGCTACAATCTGTGCCATCTCTGGTAGAACTCAGGGACTGTCAGCTAACAGATGACCCAATTGTTAGTCATAAACTGAATTTCATCACTCTGACTACATGAGGAAAGGCTGGGTTCAGGTTGACAGTTTGGGGCTATACTGAGGGTTAGTATCTCATGCATGTGACTGAAGTCTCAGCTGTGATGCAGCACTGGTCCAGTGTCGTGTTGTACAGCCAGTATAGGTGTCGTGTTGTACAGCCAGTATAGGTGTTGTGAGTATATAACTGATGCTACAAGTAACTCTCAAATAACCCCAAAACATAAATATGTTCACGAAGAAATACTCTGGCCCATCACAAACAATGTGTGTGGATTTCAGGATTTCCCAAATATCCAAACAAGAATATGTGTAAAGAAATGTGAGTGTTACGTTGCAACCATTAAAGAATACAAGTCATACAGTGGAGATTAATGACCCAATAGTAGAGGTTATATAAGGGTTACTACTCGATCCACCGTGACGGTGAATACGAGCATATATGAGCACGCAACTTACTTGGACTGGCCCTGGATACACGTTATGGGCGGAGTACACTTTTTGCCCTACGCCATAAGGTTTGGGGTACGTAGGAGGAGGCAACTCTTTCTTAAACCCCCAACTGCGATTGTCCTGGAAAAATGTGGCTCAACAATATACAAGTCTCTAACAAACACACTTATGTTACATATATTTCATTCTACATAGTACAAAACAAAACAGTTGATTTATACTGACAAACAGTTTGTTTTTAACTTATTTTAAAGAGCATAAACAAGGTTTAATACTATCTGTAATTTTCTGTTTTACAAATTGTCCTGTTACTGTTGTTCAAGTTTGTAATGTGTTATACTGATAAAGAAGAGGATCACACATGTTCACAGCAAACAAAGCAAGGGAGAAACACAAACAAGGTCAAGGTTAATTCAACTAAGGGAGATCACTCTCATTTCTGTCCATATCCACTGCACTAACGGATAAAGTTGAGAAACTGGCACACACTTTGAAAAAAGGAAGCCAAAGGGAAGCCAAATGGAACTGTTTGAAGTTTCATATTCCAAATAGGTTCTTCTAGGTTTCAGAGGCAATTACTCAGTATTGCTTCAAGGTGCAATTTTGCAGTTTTTCACAGCTGCCATCATTTTGAAGAGATTTGGCTACAGGGATAAACATAATGATCATTATGAAAGTTGTTAGGAAATAAACACTGACAATATTAAAGAGTAAACAGACAATATACAGTTATTGCAAGAGGATAGGACATTTCAAGGGGAAATTGTATCAGCGGAAGGAGAAAGACTAACAAACCATACAGAACAAAATCAGAAATACTATATATATTACATAAAGGGCAAGTGGCACATACAGTTCACTTTAATACTAGACTATAATACTTTTTCCAAATTAGTAATTTCTGCAAGATGTTTATCTTCATCCATGAAAATTCCTCTGTTAAAGAAGTTGAGCTGATAACTGAACTAACAGGGAACTAACTTCAACACTCACTCTGGCCTTGCTTCATTATCATTTCAATTTTTCTGATCTTTACATGTACCTTTGTAACTGTCTGTCACAAGCCAATGGTGGGGGTTGGTTCAAGGAAATTATTAATGATCAAGTTTGTGTCTTACAATGTCGATATACACATTTTCCCATCTCAACTGACTGACTGACTGAGTTTGGTTTTACGCCGGTTTTAGCAATATTCCAGCAACATCACGGCAGGGGACATCGGACATGGGCTTCACACAATGTACCCATGTGGGGATTCTCAACACTGTCAGTCCAAAATGAAATTTCCAGGCGATCAAATAGTCAGCCTGTAACTTACAAAACAATGGTTGTCAGCTTATTTAAGACCCCTTTCAATGTTGATTCTGTTTATGGTACAAAAGTAAAGATCATAGTGTGTACACTGTGCCAATCAGTACAGCTAATTTGGGTAGAATGTGAGTTTTTTCTACACCATTTCACTGTAAGAAGCAGAGAGATGTGTCCCTTTATTCCAGTATTTCAACATGAAGCTATTTTCCCACTGTGGTGTAAACTTTCTCAGATTCAAATATCCTAATGAATATTTATACTCGTATATTACCTAAACCCATTCGTCAAGTGTCAACATTTGTAAAACGTTTAACGTAAAAAAATTGAAATCATAAAATGGAACTATTAAGGTTTCAATCTACTGATTCAATCTATCTGAGTGAGATGATAAATGAAGTGAATATGACACTATGAAGACTACAAATAAACCATATCAGTTCCAAACAAAGATGATTCTGCTTGTTCACACTTCATCCTTCACAAACTTTCTAGCCAAATCAACACCTTTCAGAATGTCAAAATTATTACACATAAAGATAGCACTTTCTGGACTAGTTCACTAACAAGTACTGTTAAAATAACATACATTTTTAAGCAACACATGATTTGAAACACCATCGATAATAGTTAACATTTTCAGGAAAGAGTGGAGATGTCTCCAAAATGCAGTTGATTGGATTAAAAAAGCAATCTATTGCTGTAGTAAAACTTACAATTTTGAAATGGACTAATTCTATTTAAAAGACAGTTTGTGAAGGTGAATATGGACAGCCTACCTTGGAACATCTTAGTGTCTAAAATAGATCCTTGAAATATTTCTAAAAAGTATATAAAATAATAGAAAGGAATATTTATTTTGCATTATAAGAAGAACAAAACTTTTAGTGTAAAAATGAGCAATAAAAAATAACTAAATAAAATTTAATTGTAACACGAAGGAAGACAAAAACAGCTAAACTAATCTTGTATAAAAAACAGCAACAGATATTTGTGAGAGAAAACAGACAATAATATTCAGTCTAAAACTACACAACAGGAAGAAAGGTCGGTGTGCAAGTGAACTCAGCTATAGTGAAGGAGCAAGTTAAAGTGTGAGTTAGTCAGTCACCACTTCAGTGTCAAGATGGATACCTCTATGAGATGTGAATTGTCACTCTGTGGGAGTGGCACAGGGGGTGCCTGACGTTTGGGCACTGGGTTATTTACACGAGCCATCTACAACACAAGGCACGCATGCATTCAAACAAAATGGCCGACTAGAACCAAAGAACACATCGAGGCTGATCACAACATTCTCCAGGAATCATGCAGAAGAAGATTTCAGAACTGGTCCTAAATCAAGTTTCTTTTGCAATGTTATTGGATATTTTGGTTTTATTAATACATGAAAATGACAATTGAAACTAAGGATCTAGCCACTAGTTCTAGAATTATTGTACTGAATATTAAATGCACACATTTTTAGCATTCGCTAGGTAAGAAATACGGTTCACTCTAGCCCGATGTACAGTGTAATTAAGTACAGTTTTTTCTGAACTATTATTGTTGCAGCAAGTGGATGCTTGCCAATTGTATTAATTCTGTATGTTTGCCATGTATTTACATGGAAAATAGCTATCCACCAATTCCACTCGATTACCTTGCTTACATTCAAACAATGACAGTACTTCCATTCTGGGATATAAAATATGGAAGCTGGGATTCAAATTTACAAAGTAACATTAACTTACAAGTCTGAGGCTATTAAAATTCAGGAAGGACTCAAGACATTTCCTTTTGAACTACCTCTTTCACAATTTGATTCGAAAAATAAAAACTAATCGTAACTCCAGCCAGGCTGATATTTTTCAATAAAACAGTCAGTCCGACACATGTTCTTACTCATGTCCACTGGAATTTGTCTTGTGGAACCGCATATTTGTGGTATCATCCAATCACATCTGGTTGTTCAAATAGTGGTTCCCCAGTCACTAGTCATACAGATACACCACTGTGATGCAAAGCTTTAGTTGGCTCGTGAGTTGTTAATTGCTTTCATCTTGTAGGCTGCAGCATGTTCTGTGGTGGTTAATTACCTATATACAAGCTTCAACAGCAGGATTCTCTCACAAAGCTACCTATGTCAGAGCTTAGATACTCTGACACAAGTCACATGAAACTAGTCCCACTTAGCAAAGCAATTTCAGTGTGATGACTGCTCCAACTTCAATTCTGTCACATGGACTCACAGTGATTAAGTGAGTGATCGAGTATGGTTTTACGCCACTTTTAGCAATATTCCAGCAATATCTTGGCGGGTGACACCAGAAATGGGCTTCATACATTGTACCCATGTGAGGAATCGAACCCGGGCCATTGGCGTGACGAGCAAACGCTTTAACCACTAGGCTACCCCACTGCCCCCATGGTAGAACACCTGTTCATGTTCTGTTCGACCTTTCACCCACACGCTTGTTGTCCGTGTTAGAATGTTCATGTTACCCTCACTAACTGAAAGAGCTCTTGTACAGGTATGTGTTTTGTTTTCAGAGTTCAAAACTGACACACATTTGGACAGTTTTCTCTGTCACAACAAGGGGCTCCCTAAATTGGTGCAACTCAATGTGAGGACTACGCAAAGGACCCCTTGATTAATCAGAACACCAGAGTCTGATTGTATTCTTGCTCTCCCTCATACAAAAAATTATCATATCTAATTCTCTCCCCACCTTTGAACGCAAATGGTGTGTTGAAACATCCCTAATGGGACTTGACATGAGCACAACAGCAAGTAAACCCAACAGCCATATTTCATGCATCTCCTGACCAGTTGTACATCCTGAGTATCCTCCTCCTCCTCCTCCTGGTGAGAGCATCAACCCTGTCTTGTGCTTATACAACATTACTGCTTCTGCCTGTTAAGCCATGCCCGACATTGTCACATGCTCAGTGATAATGTTTGCACTACATCATACGCTGGGTGACAATGTTTGCCCACAAGATTGTGACAATGTTTGTCATACACTGAGTGTTTGCACTACATCGTCCTACACTGAGTGACAATGTTTGCACTACATCGTCCTACACTGAGTGACAATGTTTGCACTACATCGTCATACAGTGGGTGACAATGTTTGCACTACAAGATTGTCATACACTGAGTGACAATGTGTGCACTACATAGTCCTACACTGAGTGACAATGTTTGCACTACATCGTCCTACACTGAGTGACAATGTTTCCACTACATCGTCCAACACTGAGTGACAATGTTTGCACTACATAGTCCTACACTGAGTGACAATGTTTGCACTACATCGTCCTACACTGAGTGACAATGTTTGCACTACATCGTCCTACACTGAGTGACAATGTTTGCACTACATCGTCATACACTGAGTGACAATGTTTGCACTACATCGTCATACACTGAGTGACAATGTTTGCACTACATCGTCATACACTGAGTGACAATGTTTGCACTACATTGTCCCCTCTGTGGTAATATTTGCACCATATTGTCCCCTGCAGAAGAGTGTGTACATCTGCTGCAGCACTTACTTGTTCATTCAAGCCATTCATCATCAACGTCCTGTCAGCTTCCTTCACAGTCATAATCCACCCCTCCTTCATGACTTCTTCATCGCTGCCATTTTCAGAGCTAAAACAGTCACATCATCTTGTTACAGCAGCTAAATAAGTCATATCTTACTTGATTATGCTGCATTAATATCAGAGCTAAAACAACCACAAAACCAAGCTCAGCATCCCATTATCAGAGCTGAAAGTGTCACACTTTAATTGCCATTCTCACTGTGTAGAATTCATACGGCCTTCATACGGATTAAAATCACAAATTAAAAACAACATTTCAAAGATAAACTCACTCATCACTTTCATCATCACTGTCACTTTCATTGGCCCTTTCTGCCTTCCATCGCTTGTGGCGGTCTATCAACTCCACCAGGTAGGCAGTCTTCTTGGCTCTCTTCATGAACTGATGCCGCAACAACTCCTTCGCGGACGGCCTCTGCAATGTGCAAAATGGCAGAGAAGGTACTGGCTGCAATGCTGCTTTAAATACACTGTTTAAAATGTTTATTTTATTGAAACATTCAATTCTGTTCAAGACACTGTATATTTTGCAGATCAGCCTCTGCTTTCCAAACTACCTAATGGAAGGTCATCCAAGTCCCAATTTTGGCTCCCAAGGATGACATTCTTCTTGACAATGACTGACTGACTGAGTTTGGTTTTACGCCGCTTTTAGCAATATTCAAGCAACATCGGCAGGGGACACCAGAAATGGGCTTCACACATTATACCCATGTGGAAATTCGAACCTGGGTCTTCGGGGTGATGAGCCAACGCTTTAACCACTAGGCTACCCCACCGCCCCTTCTTGACAATGAAGGAAAGTAGAGGTGAAATTGGGTTTAACGTCGTACTTAAGAATATTTCGCTCATATGATGACATGCATGCATGCGTATGTGTGGCTGCTTGTACTAGCCAAAACTTAAGCTGGTTTTATAGTGCAAGCTCACTGAGATAACATGCCATGGTTAAGCATGAATACCCCACTCACACACATTATACTGACTCCGAGCCGACCAGTCCTTATTGTACCCATTACTGCCGAGCGCCAGGCAGGGACCAACAAGTACCATATTTTAATGTCTTTTGGTATGACGCGGTCGGGGAACAATAAAGGAGAACAAGTGATGTACGTGATGCATGGTAACATACAGTGTCTTGATGCCAGCAATGATATTAACACATCCCACTGATGAACGAATCAATGTGTTTTAATTATTTATAAGTCAAAAACATAGTACTTTTATGCAAAACGTGTAAAATAACAGGCCCATATGCCTCAATAATTAAGTGTAAATTTGGTGTCGCTGTAAACAAGCACAAAAAGGGAGTCAAGTATATAATGCCCATAAACCTCATTCGTTTGTCAGTAGGAAATATCACATTTATACCATGTTGGGGATGTTTATATACTGAAGAACTGGAATGACTAATATACAGTGATCGACAGATCAAATACTTACATTGTTTGGATCTTTGTTCAAACAGAGCTCCACAAATTCTTTAAATGATCTACTATAGTTGCCCATTAGCTGGGGGGGATTGTTCTTGGGTATGAGGAAGAGGACCCTCATTGGATGGAGGTCGGAGTTGGGAGGTTCACCCTTGGCCAACTCGATTGCTGTGATGCCTAAGCTCCATATGTCTGCCTGGAATAGGAAAAGTGGCACAACATAACCAAAAATGAAAATAACAGTGAATGGTTAAATGAGTTTGATAAATTTTGTTTTGGGTCTCAATGCAGTTATGGTGTTAGCTAAATCTGGGAGGATTGCCCCATGTCTTAGACTTACACCTTGGTGAAACCCACAAGCACAGTTATCGTGATGACAAGCTTAGAAACATAACCAGGAAAATCCATGATTCGGAACCGGCATGCCAGTTGTTTTTAGCAAACCTAAGGGACGCAACTCTGTATTGTGAGCTGTTGAGGCTCAGACAACAGGGTCTCCAGTTAATAACAGAAGTGAGTGAGTGAGTGAGTTTAGTTTTACGCCGCACTCAGCAATATTCCAGCTATATGGCGGCGGTCTGTAAATAATCGAGTCTGGACAAGACAATCCAGTGATCAACAGCATGAGCATCGATCTGCGCAATTGGGAACCGATGACATGTGTCAACCAAGTCAGCGAGCCTGACCACCCGATCCCGTTAGTCGCCTCTTACGACAAGCATCTTCGCCTTTTACGACAAGCATGGGTTACTGAAGACCTGTTCTACCCCGGGACCTTCACGGGTCAGTTAATAACTGCAGGACAAACACTTGGTTGGTATTCTGTTTGTCAATACAATGTCCAATGAATGCTCCAGTTGGACATTCCCTGAAGTCTTACCTTAGTATCATAGGCTGATTGTTTAATGACTTCTGGTGCCATCCAGAATGGAGTGCCAACAAATGTTTGCCGTTTGTTGGTTGTATTCGTTAACTGACCCGCTACACCGAAGTCCGCAAGCTTCACATCTCCGTTTTCAGATAACAAGACATTAGCAGCTGGAACAGAGAGACATCAAGACATGTGAACCACTGTGGGTGTTATCACTTTATCAATACAAGCATGGCACACTTACATTTTCACTCGGACCTCTTGCTCACATTTCATAAATTTCAGTTTTTGAATTTTGACAATCTGAAATCTTCAGTATGTAACAGCAGGCCCTTGGACAAGGCTCCCTAAAACCCTTTGCTTAATACACTGATATCAAAACCATGCAGGATCCTAACTCTCCAACTCATAACAAAAAATTATTTCAATGAGGGCAGTATTTCATCATATTCATCACCCATTCCAGTGTTTAGGAATAGCGTCTGACCCTCGGACAAGTCCTGCACATTTGCTCTCAATCCGATGGAAGTCTACAACCCGCCAGGCCACAGTGTCCGACTGTATACATAATGAAGTTCATACTGACTTTCACTGAAGTTGTTATATGTGACACGTCACACTTGTTTGCTGTTTATAAATCTTACATTTGTTAATAATTTCAATGCCAATTACAAGAAATGTTAAATCTGAAATGTGTGTCTATTTTTTCTTCTGTGGTCCCGTGAATTTTCAGTGGGTCAGACAGACATCTGAAACTTACAGGACCCAATGTCCTGTTATTTTGAAACATCATTCGTGAACACTGCCATTCAAGTGGCAATCACAATCGATACTTGCTGCTTAGACTCAGACTGATTGTCTGTCGAGGAAATTAAACATTCTGTGACAGCTCTCACAAACTATTTCAAAGGTACTGACAAATACAGTCCAAACTCAATTTTATGGATGCCTACTTCAATGGGGTGGCAGCTTAGTGGACAAAATCAGATAAAATATAACTCATTAATTAGTGAATAGTTCTCTTTGGTGACTTCTTGTTGAACAATGACAGGACAAAGTGTTCTCTTTGGACAATTCTAGTAAGTTGTGGGGAGGTGAACGTCTTTCGTTTTGACACCTTTAGCCTTGACCTAAGAATTTCTAAATACAAAGAAGTAAGGTTTTGTTTGTTAGTCGTTTAACGCCTCACTCAGCCTTAGCAGTATCCAAGCTATATGGCGGCAGTCTGTAAATAATCGAGTCCGGACCAGACAATCCAGTGATCAACAGCATGAGCATCGATCTACACAACTGGGATATGATGACATATGTCAGCAAGACAGCGACCCTGACCACTCGATTCCGTTAGTCGCCATAAAGAAGTTAGGAAATGGTTACCTTTAATATCTCTATGTAATTTCCTCTCTGAGTGAAGGTAATCTAATCCTTTAAGAATTTCCCTAATGATGATTGCTATGTCATTTTCTGTGAAAGGTCCCGCCTTCATCAGGTCTAGGGCGGATCCACCGCCCAAATATTCCATAAGGATCCATAACTTTGAGCCCTGAAAAAGAAGAGAAGACAACATTCACTGGGGTCCAACATACTGACTGTAACACAACGCCATTAATGCCATTGGTTAAAAGGGGTTTAACATCATGTTTGCAACTATTGCACTTATATGGCAATGTGTGTCTGATTGTGGACTGACATCGGTCGACAGTGCTAGCCCACTGAGACGTCACAGGTAAACAATGATACCTTACTTATACTCAGAGCTCTCCAGTACTTGCTTTATCCATTTGATGCTGAGCACCATGCAGAGCAACAAGAAGTACCATCTTTAAAAACAAACCTAATGATGCCTTGAGACACTGACCTTCTGTCTTCCAGGCAGATGCCCCATCCTGGGCCCCATTTCACAAAGCTATCGTAGCGTTATGACTGTCGTACCTCTTTACAACATAGACTTACGACAGTCGCAGCGCCCCGATAGCTTTGTGAAGGTCTCCTCTCTTTAGTTGAAATTTTATAAAAGAGTTGAGATTGATATTGATATGATTTAGTATTTAAGTAATATCAGGCCTGTCTTCAACACCATGATCTTGATGGGTGTGGGGTGACGAGCGTGGGCTGTGGGGTGTTGGGTGGTGGGGTGAGACGTGGGTGGGGTGTCGGGGTTCTTTGTACTTATCACCTGTACAAATGAAAACCCACTTTAACACAGCTATTCCTTTATTGATACTCCATTCTGGGTGCATTTGCCAGTGTGCTTAGAAACAACAGGATGTAAGAAACATCCACAACAATATACTGCCACCCCAATACTTACAATCACATGCGAGCACCCCCTAGTCTCAGCTGTACAGAACCCTCCCTCTACCAACCTCAGGTGCACCTACCTTGAGATAGGAGCCATAGTATTTGGTAACATACGGACTGTCACACTGGGACAGCACCATAATCTCCTGCTGAATGTCCTCAATTTCATCTTCTGCTTCTTCCAAGTCAATTATTTTGATAGCCACAACCTGTTTCGTGTCATTGTCAATTCCTTTGAACACTTCACCAAATGAACCTTTTCCAATCTTTTCTAGCTTCGTAAACCGCTCCTCTGGGTCGATGGTTCCTCCTCTACCCTGCAATACAAAACAGGAAGTGAGTAAAGGAAGATTATGCCAAATCCTTTTAATCTTTACATGTTTACAAATCCCTGATCAAAATAAAACATGAAAAGTAGTGTAAACATGACAGATTATAAACAAACTAGGTATTTTATAAATACCTTTTAAAGTATTATATTTTATCAAAATGACGACAAATCCCCTGATCAACAAATAAAAATGAAAAGTAGCGTTTTTTATACTTTACATGACAGATTAACAACAGTAATATAAACAAACTAGGTATTTTATAAATACCTTTTTAAAGTATTATATTTTATCAAAATGACGACATACTAGTAATGGAGAAATGACGAGGTACTAAGGGAGTACAACAGGCTTGTTCATTGCCAAGCACCAAACACACATACACTGACCATATTTACTGTACAGGAGTGAGTGAGTGAGTGAGTGAGTGAAGTTTTATGCTGCTTTTAGCAATATTCCAGCAATATCACGGCGGGTGACACCAAAAATGGGCTTCACACTTGGTACCTATGTGGGGAATCAAACCCGAATCTTCAGCGTGATGACCGGACTCCTAAACCATTAGCCTATCCCAAGCCCCTTTACTGCATAGGAAGAAAATGGAAAGACACAAGAACCTGACTTTACATGTGACATTCTGACACAGGGCAATTTGCCACAGTCAAAGAGGCACAAAGTGAAACCCCCAAATAATCAAAAGTATACAATGAACAGTAGTTGTGTTCCGATGATCGAAAATAATCGAAAATCGATCGAAAGGAGGATAAAAAATAATTATCGATTGTAAAAAACATATTTTCAATTAATCAGAATTTTGCTGTTTCAGTATAACACACTTGAATGAAGTAAACTAACCATTAAAATTGACGAATATTCACAAACAACCATGCGCTATGAATAAATTTTACATCTATTCTGAAGGTAATGAGATATACTGATAAAAATTTGGCAATATTTGTTGTGTAAATAAACAGAATAATTACATTAACATTAATTAGAAAAGAAAAACCTGGGGAAAAACCCTTGAAATTGGTGATTACATTAAAAATGTATATATTTCGATTATAATCGATAACCGTTCACCACAAGTCCTCCGAAAATCGGTGTGGATTGGTTTCCGATTCTCAACACTAATGAACAGCGAGGCAATGACATCACACAAATTACACTATCTGCCCCAACCAGCCCTAGTTAAGTCCCAGCTATATCACAACACAGTTCAAGTAGTCATCTTATCAAGGTATACCATTATCAGATTAAGTCCACACCAACATTCTGTTTGAGGACATTTCCACAAGGCTTGACAGCATTTGTAATTGTGAATAATTGAGACATAATTTCACTTTACATGCTTCCAGGGTATCCGGGCAGTGAACACCATGAACAGAAATTGGTGTAACACTTGATATTTCTAGCCAGTGGAATTTATCTGCAACAATTTGTATTTATATATGTACCACAGTCATAAATAATCATGTTGCCTTGTTCCCCTACTTCTGCCTATGGGGTGGTTAATCATAAATGTTGGAAGATGTGCTGGCGAGTGCTTTGCCAGGGGCTCCACACAAATGACGATACCTCATATTTTGGGGCAATATCGAGCCTCTTGCCACGTTTTATATCAGTACAGTCCATCAGTTTCATGGTCAGTGAGTCACTTGACCCATAGTATTCTGCTAAAACTGAAGCCAAGGACAACTGCATGACTGCTTTACGTTCAAACAAGTTATGTGGGTGGCGGGGTAGCCTAGTGGTTAAAGCATTCACCCGTCAACTCCGAAGACCCAGGTTCGATTCCTGCATGTGTACAATGTGTGAAGCCCATTTCTGGTGTCCCTTTCCGTGATATTGCTGAAATATTGCTAAAAGCAGCATAAAGCTAAACTCACTCACTCAAGTTATGACAGCCAAACACTCTTTCCCCAGCTCCAATGTTTTGACTTTCTATTCCATTTCTGTCATGAAACAGTTAAGTGAGAATGCAAGTGGAAGTGTGGTGCTTTTCAATTTGTCTGCAATCTCAAACCAAACTGATCAAACAAAAACAAATTCATCTATGATTTAGAAAGCTGGTCGTAAAGCTTTTCCCATTTCAACAGAAAGCATTTCTACAGATGTACAGACAAATACAAATTTCACAAACATTTCTGGTTCCAGGGAAACTACTAAAGATTCTCGGAAAGGTTGCTTAAACACTAATGTCAACAATGTTTCCTGGAGGGTAATGAAGATGTCACAGACGAGGAAGGAACTTAGATTACTGAACACTAAACATGCTACGGACACCATTATCTGCTTGAGATCTTAGACAATGCTTATCTGTAGGAGGTTAAGACTATAGGTCCCAAGCACCCTATGCCTGAGAACCATGTGTATTGGGTGGTTAGGCTTGGAGTGAGTGAGTGAGTTTAATTTTATGCCGCTTTGAGCAATATTCCAGCAATATAACAGCAGGGGACACCAGAAATGGGCTTCACAAATTGTACCCATGTAGGGAATTGAACAAAGGCATTTAACCACTCTTAACCCCAAGGCTTGGAGTACCCATGTGAGTTTAGTTTTATGCTGCTATTAGCAATATTCCAGCAATAAAGGCTTTAACCACTGGGGAATCTACCCCTATGGCTGATAGAAAAGCTTTAACCACTGGGCTACCCCACTTAACGCCCCGGTCAGGCTTGGAGTGAGTGAGTGAGTTTAGTTTTATGCTGCTATTAGCAATATTCCAGCAATATAAAACATTGTACCCATGTGGGGAATCGAACCTGGGTCTATGGTGTGATGAACGAAAGCTTTAACCACTGGGCTACCCCACTTAGCCCCCCGGTTAGGCTTGGAGTGAGTGAGTGAGTTTAGTTTTATGCTGCTATTAGCAATATTCCAGCAATATAAAACATTGTACCCATGTGGGGAATCGAACCTGGGTCTATGGCGTGATGAACGAAAGCTTTAACCACTGGGCTACCCCACTTAGCCCCCGGTCAGGTTTGGAAATTGCTGGGCTATATACTGATGGTGACAGTTCAGCTGTAACACTGCAGGTTGCAGCATCAAACAACAATACATCCGGTGGACACAAGTCTGACTGATGTTATCGATACATGGTGCAGGAATGCTACAAGGGAGACAGGATGCTAAGGTTCAAGTGTTATCACATGACTTCACAAATGAAATGAACAAAATTCATGAGAAGAGTTGCTCCCCTTAGAATCACTAGAGTCCTATGAGTATGATTGTGGGTTAATGATCCTGTAACAGCTTTTATTTTGTCAGCATCATACCCTTGCAGTGGGTTTCACCAGAGACCATATAATAGAGGGACAACCCTCCCCAACAGTTTATCACTAACCATCAGCGCTACGGTCTGGAATGTAACTGATACACATCGACACCCTGCTGCTAACTTCCCTCTACCGGTACACATGCGCAACAGATGCGCAGCCATTCGCAAATGAGCACTCTTGTAACCACGTAAACAATATTGTGTAATATCCGGGCTGAGAGTTAATTCCCTTAGCGAGATTTCACCGGCTGCGTTTGACAGTTAAACATTACATGGACAGCTCCAATAAACTGATTACAATAATCTTAATTTTTATCTTATCTCTCATTTGCACATGTCAACTGACAACATCGCAGAACATGTATCATTCACGAAATGAGTGTCGTCAGAAGCCTGGAATATTTGTTTCAAAATTCGGCATGGCCATGGACGACTTAATTCATTCACTGGGATGACTACGACAGGACACAGAATATCAACCAAAAATACAAAAATCAAACTAACCCAGTCAGGTTAAGGCAGTTTTAACATTACAGTTGCCAATATCCCCGATGCTCGCTAAACGTATCATCACATGGCTAATCTCAAGATTTACTTGCAAGTATTCGTTGGCACAACACGAGGGTGTGGTCGAAGCAAGCCCTCTGGTTGGTTGATGTTTGTTAAGGAGACAGTTACAACTCATTCTTTCTTTTGAGAAGCCATTGCTGGAAAAAGAATTCTTACATTTTAAGTCAAGCAGTCGATGAAAGTAAAAATGCCCGCAAATTTATAAAGAATGTGCAGATTTGCAAGCGTTGGCCAATCAGAGGACTTGCTTCGACCACACCCCTGTTGTGTGCGGACATATCGTCATCCATCTGTGTCAAGATCGTTTAGTTGAGAGTCAAAATCGGTTTTCAATTGACTTGTAGAAATAACAATAAAGAATTGGTAGGTGTCATGAGTGTTGCTCGATAGGCCAATCATCCATGATTATGTTTTAATCGATTGCATGCGATGGTAGCATAGCGATTGGCAACGCAGTCGGGTAGGGTGCACCCTAGAAGTGTCCAGCCTTGTTATTATTTATTGTACTGTGAAGCATTTCGAGTCGGGGTGTCATCTCAAAAACAATATTTTTAAAATCATTAATCCTCGGAAAAACACGAGGGCCTGTGACTGGCTGTTGTTTCACTAAATGACGCTATTAGTCTCTGATTCTAATTTTATATTAATTCGCATAATTTTATATTATAAAGTTGATAGTCCCAACGAAACACGATTTCACATTATCCAAGAGCATTAATGTTTTTATAATGCCAGTTTGGGGCTAGCGGTGATTATGCTTTGGGCCGTACGGAGACATTTGTTTTTTTCAATATGGGCTTCACACATTGTACCCATGTGGGGATTCAAAGCCGGGTCTTCGGCATGACGAGCCAACGCTTTAACCATTAGGCTACCCCACCGTCCCCACTTAATATGAACTGACAAACCATGAAATAACTAAAATATAACCACTAAACCAACCTCACTATCTACTTCCACTGAAACAAACAGCGATATTTACAGCAATATTCCTGTTCACCTGGTAGACTATCTCGAAGTAAATTCCTAACAATATAAAATGAACAGTACATTAGATATATAACCTGGCCCGTCAATGACACTGACCTCCTTGTCAGAACAGTTTGTCAACACTGGGCGTGCCTACTTTACATAT